CTGTCGCCGTAAAAATATACGTGTTTCCGTCTGCAGTTTGCTTTAATGGACCAACAAGATCAATTCCCATCATCTCAAATGGGTATGTTGCCTGTCGAAGAGAGGCACAAGTTTTTAACAACTACATTTTCAGGGAGAATATTTTCGAGCAAAAGAAAGGTCAGGGAAAAAATTAGTCATCTTACCCTGATTTCTTAATATGATTTTAAGTTATTCATGAACAATAGATTCTTTTACAACCACATCAGAGCTCTATTTAGCATTTATTGCAAGAGATAATATCTGCTAGGTGTAATAAATGATCTTTTTATTAACTGCCCTTTCAAAAATTTATATTGTTAGGGAGACATTTATTGCAAAAATTAGAAATTAGCCTTGATTTACTTTGAATATTAGAAGACTTACTTTGATTGGCTGCAGATCTTCTTTGATCACTTTAATTGGGCAGCTCTTTTGGCATTTATCACAAGATTCAATCTGAAATCAAATGACCACATCTCCAATATTTATTAACACCAATAAATTGTTGTAAAATTAAGAAAATAGAACATTTTCCACTGGCTTAAAGAATAATGTATCAGTAGATCTTTAGTTTTTATCAATAGAAACAGTAAGTTTTGACAAAGACCTTTAAATGTGCAAAAGTATGCAACTTTGAAGCATTCTAAAGAATTCAAGATATTTCAGAGATTCATTACATCTTTGACTTTATGAGACAAATGAAGCTAATAAAGCCTTGTTATGTAAGCAAAAGACAATTTCAAAGTAACAAAGCTATAGTGGCAAGAGCAAGCTATTTTGGATCATTACATTATTACTGGAAAGCCCTGGAAAAATTTTATAGCTGGGACTAGAATGGATCTTTTGTATAAATCAGCAAAGTAAAGCTTAGAACAGCAAAATAGTTAATGCTGGTAGTAGGAAAAGTCTAGGGATTAGTGTAATACTTTCCATAACTAAGATTTTGCTGTGTCTGAAAACTTAATCCAAGCACAATGTTTGCACATTTAATGAAATTTTAATATCTCAATATTGGAACTAGGGAACCCATTATTGAAAAAAGAACACATTTCATAGGCTAACCCATTTTTTTGTATCTTGCCAAATACCAGGCCAGTAGTATCTTGCAGCAATAGCAGTACATGTTTTTGTTGTTCCAGTATGACCCCCCATCAAACTGTCATGGAAGGCATCAAAAACACGCCGTGCTTCTGTCATGCCTCTTACCACCTGCCTATCATCATGGGCTACTTTTGAACCTCTTGAGTTCTTTTCAACCGACTTGAAGAGCATTCTCCCACCTTTGAGAACAGAAACGTTGAAATACCATTTAAATACATTCAATAAAATCAGGGTTTCTCAAGGGCTGTCCCTGACAGAATGATTCGATCATAAGCATCACGCTCCCTTGATCTGACAATATAAATTTAAAAAATAGTAGAATTAAGTAATTGCAGTTTGAAAACTCCTCTTTGAAAACTATAGGCTGCTCTGTGGGGGTGTGGGATGGGTGGGGGTGTGGGATGGATTGGGATGGTTATCAGGCAGTCTTTGCTATTATCTTTTCGGAGGGAGCGGAGGTTGTGTGGCAGTTGTTCTTGTTGGTCCTATGGCTCCCTCCTGGGCAGCCTGTGGTTTAAATACTAAATTAATAGATTGTTACCACAGGGGGTGATCTCCCCTCGATTAGTCTATCTATTGAGAGAGCTCCTCCTTTAAGAAATTCCTGCATGCAAATCTCCTTCGTTTTTGTAAAATCATCTATATTTTTTTTCTTGTTCTCCGTTTCTCTCTTTGTATGTAATGCATTTCATCTTATGTAACCTGTTGCTGTATTTTAAAAGATTTGTATGTATAGATTTTTAAAAATGAAATGAACTGAACTGAATGAACTGAACTGGGAAACAATCTGGCAACAAAGTCTTTCACAAAACATGGAAAAATTCTAGCACTTGCAGTCCCTTTACAATGCTTTCAAATGTTTTGTTTCATCATCCTTATCATTTCTTCCTTTCTTGGTTTATATTTATTACAAGAAAACCAGAGACAATTGGACAAAACCTAAATTATGATATGCTATAACCTTAAGAAATTGTTTAAGTCATAATAATCAAATTTTCTACCACTGATGAAAAACTTCTTGCTTGCTCTTCTTATGTCCTTTCTTTGATTGCCATTTTCTGGGAGCTCATTTTTCTCCAAAAAAGTATATATTTGGTCATATCTTTTTTCTTCCATGTCTATTCAGAGATCTACAGGTATGCAATTTAGGTATTAAATTAATGTTGATTATGAAATTGCTGTAAGAACAGCATCATTTTATTATGATAACTGCCTTGTAATGTAGCGATCAACAAGAAACAAGCGCTAAGAAGACGCCAAGACTGGCGAAGTCCCACTAAAACTTATGGCTGAAAAAATTCTGCAAAATTGTGCAAAATGATCACACGCTGCATTTCTGTTATTAAGAAAGACACACTTACTGGTTGATTCTATCAGTATATAATTGAATTCTACAATAACCATTGTATATGAATTTTGAAAACCTCAGTGCTAGGCCTATACTACGAACTGAATACTGGAAGCTAAATTGCTACGCTCGTGCTACTTATGGGAAGAATTAAATGAAACCCCTGAATACATAAAACATTATACATACAAAAATGTACACTTCTACTAAATTAGCAAGTAAGAAGTCGATGAATGATGTGAAATATTCGCACAGTCGAGCACACAGCCACACTTCACGAACTCGTAGTGTGGTCGCAATAGACAGGTATTTGGATCCACCCCACGCCTTGAACATAGGAAACCTCGTATTCATTTTCAAGAATCACGTGATGCTTTTAGTCAGGAACAACAATAGAGGAACATACTTATTCAGGGAACAGAGTTATTCTTGACACCGGAAACCTCTCTACTGCGTCCTCAATTTCTATGATTTCTGTACGAAAACGAGGCTTACATTGCATAGCAGGTATAGCAGATATTTTTGCATTTTCTAGACTAGAGAAGCTGATTTTATTCAGAACAGAATGCCAGAGTAAATTTTTGTTAATTCCGTTACCTTTTGTAATTTTAAAGGCTTTGAAGGCCTGTTTACACGGGATCGGATCCGAACGGATCCGTATCCAAAGTGGTTCGGATGGGCTTTGTGTTTACACTGGACCTGGCGGATTCGATCCCATTTGGATCTGCTGTCCGTACCCGTTTGAGATCCCTTTTGAAGATGGTCCCGTTTGGGATAGGTAAGGATAGACAAGACATTTTATTGTTTCGAATCTTTCGACTTGGTTTAACCTCAGCTATCAAATCTTTTATCAAAATTTCTGCTTTTTTAAAATGAATAAAGAGGTTGATAAATAAAGGACCAAAGAGCAAAGTTTTTGGTTGGACTGATGAGGGGACGGCTCTACTGCGGAAAGTTGTGCTGGAAAATAAAGTAAACGAAATCTAAAGAGCATCTTTTTGAGAAAAAGTAAAACAAGATACGAAGGCAGATACAATAGCCTTCGATCTCTGTAAAATAAAAAATAATTAAACAGGGCCTAAATATCGATGTCAGGGGGGAGGGGGAGTTGGAAATGATAGTAAACTTCGAAGACCTGATAAAAAACATTCTTTGTACACAACAAAGCCAGAAACCTCCAAGTTTTAACTAGAAAAAGCAGGTTGAAAACCGTAATGTTGAGGTACTTACGATAAAAGGCCTTCTAATCGTTCTTTTTTCGTTTTCATTTTTGAAGGAATCTCGTCCTCCAGCGGTTTTTCTAGAGGTCCTCTTATTCAAAACTTGATAACACTACGCTGCTAAAACATTTTACAGTCAGGCAGTACTGCTGTCTCCTTCAAAGAGGTTGACAACCCTCGGTCTCCATTGTTTTATTTTGAGCTCCCTTCTTCGTTTCTTTAACAACTTCATCCTGGGTTCGCCTTTTTTCTTCTGGCCTTGGTCTTTTTTCAACTGGAATTTTTTTGCTAGTATGTCATAAGATGGGGAAAGAGACTCGGCCTTTTGATTTTATAATTTTGATTGATTTCTTTATACGCCTGCTGCTGGTAACATATTTCAGATGTTTCTTTACCATTGCTTTGTTAACTGCCCCAACTTCGGCTCTATGCAAAAGGACACACAAACACACACACTTACACAGCGTCATCTTTAGCCAAATTGAAATTAAAAGCTTTTCATTAAGGGTTTTTTACACTATGGTTATATTTAATTTCGCTCTCACGTCTTCCATCGTTTAGTGGTAAAATTCAAAGAAAGGCAGGCTTAGCTGTCTGCTTCAGATCTTTTCCATCCGCACAAATGTCAAATTTTTACTTTTTATTACCTTCCCTTTCAAATTTCCTCATTTGTCAGTTTTCGAGATATTCAGCTAGTAGAACCATATCGTCAATATGCCATAGGTTATTCCGTTTTCTTCACTTTGTTGATGACCCCGATAGGGTCTGGTTATCAAACTATGCTGATGTATGCTTTCGGTGGCTTAAATTGGTTGAATAGCAATGGTGTCAGTGCCCACTCTTGCCAGACTCCTATTTCCGTCTTCTGTTCTTACTCAGGAGATCTTTGGCACAGTAACTATTTCTTTTCTTGTTCTATATAGGGCCGTAGAACACGAAGTGCCAAATTGGTTTATTCTTAAAGGATGGAAAACTTGAACCCAGTTGCTACAGTGCAGCAAAAGCTCTTGTCTCTCTAGAGGTCCATTACCCAATGATTGAAATCACCGAAACATCTTTATCAAAGTGTTAGCAACAGAAAATGCATGATAATATTGAATTGTTTAAGTTTGTATAAATCTTTATTTGTTTTGACTGAAGGTTGTTGCATTATAAATTGCCTCAATGACAGTTGAATGTCGAAGATAAATCTCCAAATTTTCATGTTTACTCAAATTTTCATTCTCTATTTTCATTTCCCACCAAAAGTTCCTCCTGGAACGAAATGTCCTTCAAGAACAGGCCCTTAACAGCAACAACAACAACAGTCTTGTCTCCGCTCTCCTTTCCTTCCTCGAGTTGAGCAACCACCATCACGAGGTGTTCCATTTCGCAATTAGATCTTGAATTTCGCAAGGCTGGTCAAAACAAACCTAAAAATTCCAAGATTTAGAATATTAGCATTCTCACATGCACGCTGAGGTTGGGTTTGCCCCACAAGACTGAAGATGGTTCTCGTAGAAAAGATTTTTGCCTTTCTCTTCGAGTTGGTACAAAAGTTCAACTATTTGTCGCTGGCTTTCGTCGTGCTTGCAATCTTGCTAGTTTGGCAGTTGATTCGGATATGGAAAGCACCATTGGCAGCAGTGAATCCATTTTCAACAGAGTTTTTGCGAAACCCGAGTCCATTGGTGACTGACAAGAGCAAGAGGGATGCTGTTATCAAAGACGTAAGGCCACAATTTCTTGTAGAGTTTCAATGCTTGGATCTATGCCTGTGTTTTTCAAGTTTCAGCTAAACTTAGCCAATGTTTCGCAAAAATTTATTCACCAAGTGATTAAATATATAAAGATGTTACATTATTTTTCACATATGAGCTGCCACTTGTAGCAACTTCACAATCAAAGAAAACAAAATCGTCCTTTGTCCTCTAATTTGAAGAGACAATGTCTCGTGAGGTTTCTACATCTTCAAACTTTAATCATACAACTGGTCACTGCATGCATGTCATGTTGTGGTTACTAAGCTTGCATGTCAAGACCTATCTAAAATTAAGGAAAAAAAGTTTAGTTATTAAATGCCTGATGAATCTGCCTTTCAAATGTGAGCACTCATTAGGTAGTATGTCTGAATAAAAGAAGACATGAATAAGAGAAGGTGTCTTTCTTAGAGTCCAACTACAAGCAGGGTTTCAAGAAAAATTAGAAATCCCTTCAAGTTTTTGCACTGCAAGCTCAGATGAAAATAAAAGCAAGCTAAACATTTTCTGCAAATGTTCAAAACATGAAATGCATGGAAAAATTAAATGACCTCCACTGAATAGAAAAGTTGCCTCGTATGTTAACTGCCTATTTTTCACTTGTAAAAGAGTTTTGAGTACTAAAGCAAAGAGTTTTTAAGTCCACCTTCTAACACCTCCAGGGGGTATTAAAGCACTGAAAAGAGGAAGATGTTAAATTATTTCCTTCCATGACTCAATTCTAATTCAATAGAACTAAGGGATTTCTTTCTGATGAATCTTTTTCAAATGTATAACTAGCATATTATCAGAGATTTTAAACTTTATTGTTAAAATTGGTTCTTTTTAAATGTTAGCAATTAGACTTGTAGACAGACAAGTCCAAGACTGGTATTCTTATCAGTCATTGGTACATGCTCTGTGTAAGGGTTATTTTACATTCCTTTCAGGGGTTCTCGTCAAAGAAAGTGCCTAGCAATCTTGATGCTATTATAATTGGTAGTGGAATTGGAGGCCTAACAACGGGTGCCCTGATGGCAAAATCTGGAAAGAAAGTTTTGGTTCTAGAACAACATGACCAAGCAGGAGGATGTTGCCATACTTTTATTGAAAAAGGTTAGTATTTAGAAACTTGATTTATATGGTTATTCCCATAAACTTTTCATTTCAGCGTATAGTCAATTAATATTAATTTAGATCTGTTTGTTATTTATGTTGCGTCCATTGATATTATTTTAGTTGCTAGATGTCAATGAGTCAATAATTTTGGTAATCAACATTTGCTATTATATTAATTTAAATGACCAAGCCATTCTTTTTATGCCTAAAGTATTTGCATATTTTCGTTTTATAATATGCTGTGTTATCTATTATTCATTATGTTCATTTTTCAATAATTACTTTTGATTTGTGGAAATGTTGAGTTGCAAATTTTTCTTTTTAGGTTTTGAGTTTGATGTTGGGATTCACTACATTGGCAATATTACAGGACAGTCTATGAACAGGGTTCTGACTGACCAGATTACTGATGGACAACTTGATTGGGTTCCACTTGACGATGTTTTTGACACAGTTGTGATTGGCGACCTAGAGAAAGACCCTAGAAAATTTCCAATTGTAGGAACAGGTCCAGAGGAATTCAAGAAAACCCTCATAAAGCATTTTCCCAATGAAGAAAAAGGAATTAACTCATTCATGGCATTATTAAAGGTAAGATTAGCAAATTTGCATGCACATTCTATTTTATTTGCATGTATATCTTACTGTTTTTTCTTCAGTACCTTTTATGGAATAAATTTTATTCTAATATATTTAGGATTAGCAAATTTTGCATGCACATTCTATTGTGTTTGCATGTGAAGTGTGTTTTATACTTTAATATAGTTCTACCATTCTTTTGTATTGATAATGTCTTAAAGTTAACTGCTTGCAAGTCATATTGTTTGTGCATAATGGTTCAATATGACCATATTTTCCTCCAAAAGTGTTCTCTCTTAAGTTATCATTTTTCTTGTCACAGAAAGCTAGAAAAAGTGTCACTGGCTATATTTTGGTGAAGACATTGCCTTTATGGATGTCCAAAATTCTAATCAAGACTGGTTTGCTCAACTATGTGACTGACTTTTTCAAGTTTTCCGAGAAGACTGTCCTAGATGTACTTGATGAAATCATCACAGACAAGGATTTGAAGGCAGTGCTAGCTTATAACTTTGGCGATTATGGTGAGATTAACTGATACCAAGTGTTTTCTTACATTTATCATGAGGGTAAACTTGTTCAAGTATAAATACTGTCATAAATGTTTCAGACAAATACACCGGGCCTTGATAGCTCTTCTGCTCAAGGGAGGTTTTCAGGCAAACTTGCTTTTATTTGCTGAGAAGCTTGAAAATTTGCAAAAGCACCCCTATATAGCAAAATACCTTTATTTTAGAAAAGAAAATTTTATTGAGGGGAGATGTCAGTAGCTATTGAAAGGTGGTTTCCCCAGTAGCTACAGCCCTGCAAAAACGGTAAAAATGACAGATTTTGGACTTTCAATGCTTGGTACCAGGCATATATTTTGGGACTGGGACCAGGAATGTTATTCAAAATAAACGTGACAGATAAGTTATTAACCTGTGGTGAAATATTGCTAAATCCAATCTGTTTTTTTAAATTCATAAAATTGTGTCATAGTCACTTGAAAATTGGCCTTAATGAGTTTTCAGGTTGTGCTCCAGGCCCCTGACTTGATAGAGGTCTAGAACACAGGCTACCAAACCGTAGAATACAACTTTGTTCACCTTGTGTTAACCTTGAAGAGAGCACAAGATGCAAAATCACCATTTAAAAATTTCAGTCTGTTATGGCCAGCTTGTTTAAAAGGCATGATCTCTCCTGGACATGACCTGAAATATTCCAGCACTGTACTTACTGTACCTTTAAGTCTCAGGTGATGGTGATTGTAGAAATGATGAAACTGAAATTTTATTTTCTTTTGAAAGGTACTATCCCTAAAGATGCCCCATTTATAATGCAGAGCCTCCTTCTGAATCATTTCATGCATGGTGGGTATTACCCTTCTGGTGGAGCAAGTGAGATTGCCTTTCACTCTGTTCCTGTCATTAGAAGAGCTGGGGGAAATGTACTTGTCCGAGCACCTGTAACTGAGATTTTGGTGGACAACTCTGGGAATGCCATTGGTAAGTTGGTGCATCGATAATTTTGTCTGTTTTTTTAAGGTTTTTGTCATCTTATGCGTGTCATCTTATTATTGTGACTAAAAGCTGGTTTCCACTTGAGCAAATCTTCAGTGAATTCGTCAGCGATTGGAATGTCTTCTGTTCTTTTTGAGCATAAGCGAATTTACTAGCGAAATATGAAAGTTGAAAGGAGTTCAAGTTTCCAGCGAATTTTTTGCCAAGAAATAAGAGGAGAGCCATAAACACGCTTGGAGATTTCTCGGAAGAATCATTTAAAATTCGCTCAAGTCAAGTGTAAACCGGCCTTTAGTTGTGGCTTTAGTAATTAAAGAAAAAATAGCTTCCTTAGATGCCCATTTTCCTTAAGTCTTTAGTTTTTGATGTTTCAAACTTTCTTTAAAACATAATGAGAAAAAATTGAAATTTATTGACGAAATATGCAGAAGTTTTTGTCCCAATTTTATTCCATATTTTAAACGACCATCTAGATGACATTTTTCCCCACTATAGGCGTAAGGGTGAAAAAAGGAGGTGAAGATTTTGATATAAAAGCACCACTGGTTATATCAGATGCTGGCATATACAACACCTATGAGCGTCTGCTTCCACCAAGCTTGAGACAGAAACCAGAAATAAAAGAAGCTCTGTCTTGCATCAGACATGGGCCCGGAGCACTCACTGCCTTTGTTGGACTTGATGCCACTAAGGAAGAGCTTGGAGTGAAGCGTCAGAATTTCTGGGTCTACTCAGATAATGATTTTGACAAAATCTTTGATGATTACATGAGTCTGAGTGCTTCCGAGGTCGGTACCAAGGACATACCCTTGTTGTTTGTCTCGTTTCCTTCCACAAAGGATCCAACATGGGACCAACGCTATCCTGGAAAAACAACTTGCGCAATTGTAACATTAGGAAACTACAACTGGTTTTCAGACTGGGATGGAGCGAGAGTTGGCAAACGTGGTGATGATTATGAAGAAATCAAAAACAGAATCGGGGAGCGCATGTGGCAGCAAACTTGCAAACTTTTCCCTCAAATCAAAGACAAAAAAGAATACTTTGAGGTTGGTTCACCTGTAACCAACAATTACTACATCGGTTCCCCACGTGGAGAGATCTATGGTGCCGATCACAACAGGGCACGTTTCAGCCCAGAAGCGGCTGCAACCCTTAGGCCTAAAACGTCAATACCAGGTCTTATACTCACTGGGCAGGATGTGTTCACATGTGGCTTTTCAGGTGCATGTTTGGGGGTCTGATGGCTGCTTCGGAGGCGCTGCATCGCAACTTGCTGGTCGACATCGTAAGATTCACAGGGAAAATGAAACGGGAAGCAGAGAAAAAGGTGCAATGAAAGACTTTATGAGTCAATGAGTGATAAGATGCATTTAGCATGCATAAATTTAGTGAATTCCTAGGCATTGTCTCTGATTGTCCGCTCATACAATGTGTAGTCATATCAATATAGTACTGGAAATGTTAAACTGTTAATGATTTGTTTTTAGTTTTTAGGCTGATGTGATTTCTGTAGCTTTCGCTTGATTTGACCATTATTTAGGGTTGATTTTTAGCTGTTCCTACATTTCGTTTCATCCGCTGTGGTACTTTTTAGTTCAGTGACAGTCCGCGCTGACTGTACACCAAGGCTGGTGAAAGCCACTTAGTCGTGCTAAAAAATCAAGATCAATTTTTCTTCCTGGCAATCTGTTTTCTGGCATATGAACATTTTGCAGATATAAGTTACAAATTGCTGATAAAGACTGATTCATCTAAGGATTGTTTTTGTGTTTAATTGGCTGCCTCAAGGACGATATGTCACTTGCAATAAAACTTAAAAGTATAATTCGCTTTTGTCGAATACTCTCGTGTCTAACGAGTTTTCTGCCAACTCCGAAAATTTTCTGGCAACCCAGTTTCCGAACCCAAAACTTTTTGCAGCACTAATATAACCATCATTTTTGTGATGGACAAGTCTAAGAAATTACCTTCTCACCAGAACCAACAAATTGATATTGCCTTTGAACTCTAAAGTTAATTTTTTCTCCACAACCTTAGGCATTTAAGACATCATAAAAATAATTATAAAATTATAGTAGAAATGCTTCGATAGAAAGGCACGACATAATCACTTTTATTGTGTAAATGAAACTTTATTGTAATTTATCTCATCCAATTTTGTTCATCAATTTATAGATTCAAAGAAAATATATTTTTGTGTAGAAGCTAGAATCAGTGGCGTAGCGTGACCTTTCTTGCTGGCAGGTGTGGGAGATGCAAAACCATATTTTACCGACAGAAGTTCTTTTGTTTCATTTGGTAAAAACTTTTTTGTTTGAAATGTAAATCTACCGACGAGTTCTCTGAAAGTTGGGAGCGTCACACCCCACACCCCGCACGCTACGCTCCTGGCTAGAATAAATACGCAATTTTTTTGCTGTTCCAAGTGAAAGATACGATTATTGAATCTTACATTATAGTTCGTCACATAACTGATTTATTTCTCTGTTTCGAAATATCAGAAAGAATCTTGTCTCTCCTTTGCGAGATTAATAGATCGGAAACTTCTTGTTGTTTCAAAAACTCTTTGATGCAAAACTTTTGCAGAATTAATCATATTATTTTTCTTTCATTAATTTTTTATATGAATTTACCATTAATAAAATCAGCATTAACTGTTAGAATCCCAGAAAAAATATGGAAATTTATTAATGGCTTAAAATCTGACGGTTTTAGCTATTTGATTTCAAGAAAAAACTTAAATTTGTGGCGTTCAGAAAACTTATAACCTATCATTCTGAGCCAAAGAGAAAGAACAAATTTTCCTCAGTTTATAAAGTCAAGGGAGCATAGATTAAAAGCAAAGATTTTCAATGTAAAGAACAGCAATCTAAGGGAAGTTTTGTTTTGCTTCTTCGTAAGAGTTGATCTTGACGGATTTTCCTATTCTTTGAAGTTTCTTTGTGTTTTTGATATTTTAAGCAATTTCCTATAAAATTATTCTTCATTTCCATATATGTTCAAATTTGAAGATGGCACGAAATAGCGGAAACATTGTTTACTAGTGTTGCATACAAATTGTTTCCATTCATTATTTTTTAGTTTCATTATTTGTTTCTCTGGGAGAATGATTTCAAATGTTATCCAGTCATATTTTTAACGCCTTTATTGAACAAGCAGTTTTTCAAGTTCATTGTTTATGCTCCTCGTATCCTTTTTCTTTGGTCAACAAACCCCAAACATTAACCACCAACAATTTCGCCTCGACAAAATTTCTAGCAAAAATTTTGATGAAGTTTTCTAAGACTAACATTTGAATAAGATGAAAGATTTAACAACCAAGTTTTTTTGCTTTGAATAATTCTGAGATTTCGCGCAGTGTAGCAATCATATGGCATCAAAATTAAAATCCGTGTTCCCTAAAAAGGTCCCGGACGGGGGGGGGTCAAGCCCCAAAAGCCCAAGGACTCGGTTACTACGGCGCTGAATGTTTGCCTCTACCTCTCAATATATTTGTAATATGCTTTCATCATATGGTCACGATGTCTGAAAAGTTGTCCGAAATTGTCCATTTTTTTAAGTTTTTCCAGTTGCCTCTTCAACGTATATGTCTACATTTTGCATCAATACAATATTTTTGGCACAAGTACAAATATACATACAATCAACCAATTCTCTAGTCTTTCTCTGTCTCTAGTCTATTTGAACGCTTAAGCAATCTGATACCTTAAATCCAATCTGAAATAAGGGAAAGTCAGTCAAAAGAAAACCAGTCGTGTGCGCTCATTGTACAAAGGTTGTTCATTTAAATGTTTCCTGGTTTTAGTACGACGTTTCTGTGTTTCTCTGCCGTTCTATCTTCTTCATTTTGTTTGAAGTTTCTATCCCCTTGTTGCCCAAATAATGGGGTTTCCAATGATTTACAATGACCTAAAGATTTTGACGTAAATGGAACAAACAAAACATCGGATTTGTGTACGAAACGAGCGGATAGGTAAGTTAAAAAACTGAATTCAAAGGTCATTTATTCATCGAAATGTACTTGCTTCTACAGCGAGAAATGTGTGAAGACAATACGCTGACGATGACGAATACACTAAGGCAAAGAAGACCATTTTTGGGTCGCCTAGATAAAAAGGATTTCATAGAAATCTCAACTTTTAAAAGAGGAAAGGAGTGACTCTTAAGTGGAGACGAAGAAATTAATATGACCGATGCGATTTATTCCCAATTTTACGTAGAAACGCAAGTTACACTAAGAAGAAAAAATAATTATACGATTTCATTTGTATGAAATTAAGAAAATGTTGCAATTGTTGCTTCAACCCTAATCTCGCCTTCTGAAAACAAACGTATTACACAGGTAGCTTTCATTATGCATAAACAATACAGACTTGGTTTAAGGGTATCGTGGTTCACGGGCCATAGTGGCAATGGGGTGTCTTGGTTATGGGGAATCCTGGTCAAGACTCGCAAGGAAAGTTTGACAAAAATTTATGTCGAGAACGTTCTTGAGTATAAGCATCGATTGGCACAAAGAAATGATAGGAAGCGAACAAAACAAGCAAGCCAGCATCACCACTTTTGCAGTTGATGAAGTGAAAAATACCACATATAAACACCTAACATATAAAAATAGTTAAGCTTGCATAAGTCGTAATATCGCAAACAAATAAGTACAAAGCCCAATTCCTTTTTTGCAATTATTTAAAAAAAACGGCCAGAAACAAGACATTAGAAGCTTTTCTCGGGATGTTTCTTGACGAGCAAGAGGGTAACACAAACATCTAGATACGAAAATCTGAGGAAGAAATTTTGATTCTAAAAAACAGCACAAGTAGAATGAAACTACAAAGAATTACCTTTTGTATAAAGGCACGGGAAGAAAGATGTTTAAGAAGGAGAAGCAGATTTGCTTTTGAAAGGCTAATACATATGTTTCTTTTTAAACCACGAAAACGACCAAGATGGCCACACAACCGATGGCAAAATATCTTGCAAGCCTGCACGATTCCGTCCAACCAATCAGCATTTAATTAGAAGAACTTATTGCACTTTGATCAACATTTGAAGAAGGACTAAGATTGTTAAAAAGTCTGGAGTCATTTTGCTGAGCCATCGAGCTAGATGATGCAGAGCTGGATTTTTTGGGCAGAAGATACGAATCCTCAGCCAGTTGTAGAACATCTAGTCTATCCTCCTTCCGGTATGTCAGACATTTCCGGATAAAATTCTAGGAAAGAAAACAGGAAACAGATTGTCAGGGCTCAAGAATCTAGCTCAAAATTGACACAGAAAAAATATTTTCTACAATGCAGCTCTTGATGAACTAGAAAAACGGCAATTTTCAACGAATACAGCGTATCACATTTACTGCATTTTGAATAACTACCTAAAAAAGCTAACTTTGAAAATCAAGTCAGGATTTTCAAGTCTAAAGCGGATGTTGGCATATTGGGAAACTTATTAGACACTCAGAACTGTGACATCTTTATCTCACTTCACAAGTGAGTTGAAATTTGGTGCCTTTAAAAATATTATCAATCTGGAGCTCATTGTTTCAATAGAAAAGAAGACTAATTAACAAACAAACCGTTTTATAATCTAATCAAATAAATCAAGTGTACCTACCTTGCCCTCGTTGCTGACAACTGGCTTAGCCGGGAATTCAATGTTTGTCGCTTTTATTATTGTATTTTGTTCTAAAATTGATGCCTGCGATAGGTTGTGTCCGAAGGGCTACAAATTGATATATGCCGTTAGATCTCTTGCTGCATTCAGTTGCAATTAATTGATATTTTAAAAGTAAAAAAGGACCCAGTTAGGATCATTCCGAGCAAAGGCAGAGTAGCCACTTAAATTCATACCTTAAAAATTTAGTATAAAAAGCTTCCTTTGCAGTCGTACAGTCAAATAACTTTTAAAATTGGGACTTTCAAAAGGACAATTGACTGTGGCAATAACCACTGCCTGCCGCTCGTGAAAAGATTCCAATGTTGTGAAGATCCATCGACGTGTCAAAATGTGGTTTAAAGAAAAAATAAACTAGTATACATCAGAAGACATATACAGCAGAAACTACATTAATTACAAAGGTACATGAATGCAAGCATGAGTCATTGATGACTTGCTACTTGAATCCAAACACGTGATTCAGTAACTTGTCTTTGTTGCAATTCAGTGTTGCAATAGCTTCAAAATGCAGACTATATTGCGAAGGCTTTTGCTAGAATATTGGCTTCAAAAACAGGCACTAACAAACATGGGGGCAAGGGAGCAAGAGGGCAAGGGGGCGTGATGGATGAGCGTCTCCAAAAATACTTAGCGGGGACCCAGCCAACCGAGGTAGCTTTTTAATGCAGAAGAGACGTACTGGGAACACCAAACAACAGTATATTTTCCCTTTTTAAGATGCTGTCAGCAGTGGAGAAGCTCTATAATAGTAATGCATAATTTACATTTTGCCAATGATAAGAATTCTTTCTACAATAAGCTTTTCATTTTCATCTTGCGTCACACCCCTAAAATCCAAAATTCGTCGCCTATTGCAATGAAAAAGCAACTTACCTTCTTCCCGTAAAGGCATTGATAGAAAATTATTCCGATTGACCAGACATCTACCTAATAAATAGAGCGAAAAGGGAGGGTCAAATGTCGTTAGCAGACGAAAATTATGCGTTAAAATGACAGAGAAAGGAATAGAAATCATTGCAACTCAAAATTTCTTTTTATTCTAGCCAACTTTGCATTGATGCCTAAAATCCATTAAGTATAGATCCCAGCATCTGGTCATACAAAAATACAAAACAACTCATGACGGTCCAAATACCTTTTCCTTAGACGATAAAGATAATGGATATATTTTAATAGACAATGAAACATTAGTTTCAATCGTTTAACTTTCAAAATTTCAACAAATTGTAACCCATTGCTTATTCAACCGCCCTAAAAAGGCAACTGCAAGATTCGTAAAAGTGGGGCTGTGCCTTTCATTTAAACTTTCTAGTTTTAGATCTTTCTATTAGATAATCAACTGATTGCTTCTCATATTCGACATATTCTCATATGTACCTTTGATGAAATCTTCGGAGGTGACTTGCCAATAATAAAACATTCTGGCGGCAGGTACCAGTAGGTTCCAGCTCCCTGTGACGTCAGATCGATGCAGCTCTCCATAGAATCTTCTGGCATGATTTTACTTAGACCAAAATCAGTAATTTTGACTTCCCAGCTGGACTCCCCTGTCCCTAATAGAATATTTCCTAAAATACAAAGAATACCTGGTGAATCTCAGGAATATTTCATGACTGATTAGTTTACGCTGCAATTCAGTCAGGCCAATTGCAAAAACCAAGGCAAGTAGTCCATTGCTCACCAGAACAAATTATGTGAAGTATGACAGCCGTAAATGTCATCAAAAGATTAGCCATGATAAAGCAGGAGATAACAAGAGCATTAGGGCCGAATTGTGACGTTGAAAGTCCAACTAATGCTACGAAAATCGAAAAACTCGGCGGTTAGATAAAATTATTCGATACCCTTTCGTGGCTAGAAAAAGATACAACAGTAGAAAACAAAGTAAAAACTCGGTAAAACCATCAAACACCCCGAGTACCAAGACATATGTCAATCATATGGGCTTTTACAGCACGAACCTGGTTTCAAGTCGTAATGTATGACGGGGGGTTTCCTCTGATTCAAATACTTCAACGCATTGATGACCTGTAATAAAATCATCGGACCAGTTTATTAACACTGCGTGAATGCAATTAGAAATGCTGAAAACAAGGAAACAACGAGAATCTCATTTCAAATTCAGTGCAAACGCGATGCGAACATAACACAAGCACAACGCAAACACAACGCAAACATGATGCAAGTACAACGCAAACATGATGCAAGTACAACGCAAACATGATGCAAGCACAACACAAACATGATGCAAGCAAAACGCAAACATGATGCAAGCACAACGCAAACATGATGCAAGCAAAACGCAAAATGATGCAACGCAAACATGATGCAAGCACAACGCAAACATGATGCAAGCACAACGCAAACATGATGCAAGCAAAACGCAAACATGATGCAAGTACAACGCAAACATGATGCAAGCACAACGCAAACATGATGCAAGCACAACAAACATGATGCAAGCAAAACGCAAACATGATGCAAGCACAACGCAAACATGATGCAAGCAAAACGCAAACATGATGCAAGCACAACGCAAACATGATGCAAGCAAAACGCAAACATGATGCAAGCACAACGCAAACATGATGCAAGCAAAACGCAAACATGATGCAAGCACAACGCAAACATGATGCAAGCAAAACGCAAACATGATGCAAGCACAACGCAAACATGATGCAAGCACAACGCAAACATGATGCAAACATGATGCAAGCACACTGCAAACACTAGGCAAGATTTGATCTTAACAAAAAAATAATGTGGATGCAGAGATTTCACCGAATTGTCTACATTTATAAATTGTTATCTTAAATTGGTGTTGTTGCTGTTTAGTTGATTCGGTAAAATATATTAATTTTTCAATTTTTCGAAACTGTAATTTCTAAATGTAAGGAATATATGAAACATTTGTTCACCTGCATGACAATCGCTCTTGCCTGAAAACAGAATAAAAATGTTAATTGATGAATTCCACATATGATAAATCACAGGTTGTAACAAATGGCTTTGATGAAAAAACTTCTTGAGATATTTGTAACACAGGTTTTGTTAAATGAATCGAAAGATGTTTGCAAAAAGTCTAGCTAACCTCTTTTTCAGGAACCATCTTCTGTTGTTTGAGAAGGAAATCTAAATCATTTCCATCACAGTATTCGAGTACGGTAACAAATCTGTGAAAAAGTGAATGCGTAATCAACTTTTTTTCAGAGAAGATGTGACAATTTACAAAGTCTTCGGACATGAAAGCAAGGGCCTTCCATAACAAGGGGTCCAAAACTATATTTTGACATAATTTAAATTCAACCTCTTGGTACAAATATTTTCGATTGATGGCTTGATCCGTATGGTGCGAATCGATGTACTAAACACTTAGTACACAGTTGTTTACGACGACTAGAAAAATTGAAAAATTGAAAAATTGAAGAACAAGAAAAATTGAAACTTACGAGTTTGAATCGATTTCAAAAACATCGAAGAGACGGACAATACGCTGCAAAGTGAAAAACAATACTGGTTGAGTTGGCCATGATGAGTTGGCAATTGCGATTTTGGAGCATAAGAATTGGATTATCACCAAGTTTGATTTAAGGAAGCTACTCGTAGATTAGTGAAATTTCTTTATCTTTGAAGGCAAGCCACACAAATCTTAATCACAGATTTGTAAATAATTACACATTGAAGTACGTTCATCAATTTATTTTCAAGTAGCTCTCTGATGATAACTTTAGCTCGAGCGGGCGTCAGTGCCAGCCAAGTTAATTTTTCCACATCTCATCTGATTCTCTTATTTGCAAACGACCATCATTGTACCTTGCTATATATAGGGGCAGGGGTGCAGTCCCGGAGGGGCACAGAGGTTTTTTGACATGGGGACATAGCTCTATTTCTACAGTTAACTGTTGTTTTTTGAGCAATTTTCGTGAGGGCGTTCATTTCAGAGTTTTACTCCCTGTAGATAGGCTTTTGTTATTTACAACAAGATGGTTCCAAATTCAACTATTAAGATGTAACGTGCGTGCCTTCAATGACCAAAAATTGACTGTCACACTCAGTAGTTGCAATATAGAATTGTCCCGCTCTATGCACCAAGGAATGCACAGCTCTACCTATATGACACCGAACACGTTTCGACAGACCAGTAAACAGTAATGCTAATTGCTGAATAAACAAATATGTAAGCTAGAAGGTAGAAGAAAACAGCTTTAGATAAATACTTACAGGATGGTCCAATGATTTGTGAATATCATACTCCCTAACTGCATGTCTAAAAAGGGGACGGAGAAAATTCAAAGTCAAATGTGAGTCAAAATCATGTCATTGATCAGAGCGCATGTGCTGAATTCATCGAAGGGTTTAAGCCAAAGATCGTTGGTTGGCTGGATATTAACCATAACGAGAAGATAAGGTTGATTTCAACCCAAGTTGGATGCTTTTGGCACCAATAAAAATGTGGAAAGAAACTTCTAAAAAACATACTTGATATAATTGGCCTTCTTCTCATCCTTCCAGTCTTTGTTAAGTTGATGAATTTTGCAAGCGACGTAACGCAACTCTTTCACATCAAATCCCTGAAACAAAATTCACTTCAGGTTAAACAAATTCAAGGGAAAAATTACTCAATCTTAGGCAAAAATCAAAACACAAATGAAAAATTGTATTATCCGATGATAATTGAGGTTTGACAGCTCGAAGAAAGTCCTATCCTGTTTTTTAAGATTGACCCAATTTGTACGAATTACATCTGGGGGCAGCAACAGTGATTCGGTCAAATAATGAGGTAATTGGCAAGACAATCAAACATTCAGAGCAGCCGTGGCTTTTTTGTTTTGCCCTCGAAATTGAAATCACATGACTCCGAGCTCGAAACCTGCCTCTGCACGAGACAAAGGTAGTCTCAGGTAGGATATCCGAATTTCAAATGCTCCACTGCTCCACTTAAGGGCTTCGAAGGGGACTGCTTCACTACTCCACTAACGGCCTTTGCTTTTGTTGGGAAATGGACGTAAAAATTTGAGAGAAAAAACATCTAAGAAAGTTTAGAAGCAAACCTTGTATACTTCACTGAATCCCCCTTTGCCTAGCAGCTGTAGCAGCAAGTACCGATCGTTTAACGTCGGGTGGTGATTAAATCTGCAAGGAAAGGGAACGATTCTAGATACAAAAATCTTACTAAAATCTTTGTTGCCCATTTACACAAGCAGCCATCACGAATTGTTAAAATGAAGGCTCAATGCTATAAAAAAACCTATAATCTTCAAGGATGCAATGAAAATTAGAGAGAAGCAAGACTGGAATATAGCGCATGATGTATAAGACAGTTTGTCTTGTTAACACGTTGACTCGAAGAATCAGATATCGTTGAATTAAGCCCGTTGCTTCGGCCTAAGACCACCGCATACCATGTTGAGATGTGCCTTCTTCATCTGAAGCTATCAAAACATTACAATGACACTCCCAATCAGGTAAATTTTTACCTTGACAGATCCTCGTTGTGAATTCTTTTTATTTCTCTTATGTGAATGTTTCTATTTCTTTCCAGTCTTTCCAGCTCCATTTGCAGCTCTTGCTCTTCCTATTTACCAATACAAACATACAAAGAAAATTAAAAGCGATGCAATAAAACATTTACAAAAGCACTTGGCATTCAACCCTTGGCATTCAACCCTTGGCATTCAACTCAACTAGCTACCCCCCCCCCTCCGTGAAGCAATCTTGTTTACTATCAGCCCCCGTGAAGCAATCTTGTTTACTGAATGACAGCGAAACACAATTTCTCATTCAACTATAATAACTATTTTCATAACTGGTAAAACCTCAAAACACGACATAAAACTACAAATACAAACAAAAGCCGGAACCATGTTAGTACAAATCAAAAAAGGCCAAGCTGCATCCAGAAATACGGCGATTTTACACATGAGATTAAGAACGATAAATGAAATATAAAGAAATACAAAATAAATGGAGAAAGGTAATTAAGTATGAACCTTCTTAACAGCTGCCGAGCGGAGGCGCAAAATTTCATCTTGCTCATGGTACTCGTTCATCGTCAGCCTAAAAGAAAAATATTCAATGAAAAATCAAATTTTGTTAAATGATGATATAAATAATTATATATGAACTTTCTTTTTAAGAAGCATTCGAAATGATTGGTATATCAATTTGGTTGCAATGCCAAATCCTTCTAGATTAAAGATCCGCAGATTTCAAATTCTTGCCGAGTTCAATGTTCTAATCTTAGTTTGGACAGTATTTCGAAAAATCCCGAGTTCATCCTTATCACTAGACCCTGTACCTAGCTAGATCATTTACAAAAACACAATTGCGCAACAGAACAGCTTCCATGAAAACAACCTAACACATACTAACAACGCGTACACGAAGAAGGAGGACTTGGCTTTTCTAACAATCAACGTTTTGAATACTTAGGGAAATACCTAATGGTTCAAGGGTGTTCAAGACAAAGCGAGAGGGGTGTTTGCTAGGGGAGATGGTTGTCTGTTGGGTGTGTTCTTAAAATTGCGTTAAAGCGACAAATGACGAGTAGCAATAAAAGCTAGCTTACGATCTTACATTAAACATGAAATCGGAGACAATAAATTGGAAACATACCCGGCTGGAGTTGTTGGTCTGGAGAAGGAGTCGTCGTTTTGATACTGTTGTTGTTGTTTCTGTTTTCTTTCTTTCTTTTCTTTTGATAGAATCAAAATATTAACTGTTACATGTGAAAAATAACTCTTCAATAACAAATTGAAACAATTTTAAAGCTGACAGTAACTCGAAGACAATCTGCTTTGTAGATATCTGATATTGCAGTACAAACATCACTGACGATTTTACCACAATAGAGCACAATGGTAGCTTAAAAGTCAGATGTCTTATCAAATGCTGTTTACAACATAATTAAGACAATTGCTCAAAGTATCACAGTTAAGGTTATACTTTCCTCTAAAGAGTGGAAATCAGGATAGCAAGGGGAAATGTCTTCAAAAGGCTACTTATTATGACAACAAACGCAATTGGCTTAAACATGCCAGCCTGCAAAACATCAAACGAGCAAATTCCTACCCGGTTTGCCTTCAGTTGGTGGCTTTCTTCGCTGTAGCAATTTCCGTTGTTTTTCAACGTCCTCCTTTGTTTGATTTATCTTCTCCAGTGACCTGTGAAGACATAATAAAAAATATCGTTCAATTTTCGTTCAAATTGATGTAAGCAAAACTGTTCTACTGCCAAAGGTATAGCATCGCAAGCTAAAAAAGGTTTACAAACAGTTATTTTGAAGGAACAAGACACAAAAATGGCTTTGCAAAAGGCAACCATTTTAACACTTTCCAAACCTGTTCGTCTGACAAAACGTCAGGACAGTGACACGAAATGATAAGCTATGAAACATATATATGAAATTGTATACCCAGTAAGGGATCGAAATAGGCCCAACAGGAACACAACAAATTACAGTTGCCCAATCAATGCCATTGACATATAGAAAATATCATCAATAGAGTCTAAGGGTGAAAAGGAACTCCTTCTGGGTTTCAAAGCGATTTTACAAAAGATTTGCATAGTGTTTGAGCAATTCGCGTATGTGTTTATAAAGCAGTACTTACTTAGTGACTTCTTTAAAAGCATGTCCATCATGCCACTGTTCCACAAACTGGGCACCTTGCCTTTATGTAAAAAAAAAGGAAAGAGGAATGAGTCTTCAAAGAAGTGGGCAAGAGAGGACGCAATATGACCGTTTGATTCCATAAAACCATAAATACATCGACTTCAATCGACTCTATAAACATATTAGAAAAGGAACGATCCGCTTTATTTTTTCTAGTGTCTAGGAATTAGCTAACATACTTAAAAAAAATAGCTTGGTGCAGTTTGAAAATGCTTCATACATGCAAACATAACTGAAATGGGGAATGAACCAGACGGTATGAAAGGACAGCTATAAAGAGCTGGTTGTGAAATAAAAAGGGTTTAGGGTGATGGGGTGAGACAGACTTTGAGAGGAAAGAGGATCCAGCGGATGTGATCGGAGAGGATGTTGAAGTGTTAAGGTGATTAGCGGCTGCAGGAGAGATGGATGTACTGATGGATGGGACAATCATAGGCTCACCTAACAGTGTTGAACTGTCCAAGACGCAGGTTGTTTTTCATTGCAAGTTCTCTTCGCTCTTGCTTGCGATCGATAGCCTAAGGTACAAACGAAGGATTTTGTGACCTAATAACTCAAGTATACATGATGTTACTTGCAAAAACCGTAAAGTGAAACTTGCATCTTCTCAGGCTGCGGGTTTGATGGTTTTCGAAGATTTTTGAAAATCTAAATTCTTTGAGGCCATAAACTGAAACTAAATCATGCTTTGACTAAATCAAACCTAACCAAGAGCTACTATTCCTGGAATTATTTAACGTGATATCTTGAAAATTGTAGTAACGAAATGGGATTAGGAATGGAAACTTATAAATTGCATTTAATATGAATAATTTGCAGGCAAGATCTGGAATGTTGGCTAACCTCTTGAATGAGAAAATCTTTGATGATCTGCAGACTCTGCAAAAGAATGGAAGATTATCTTTCACATGAAAAGAAAGGAACTAATCTATTTATTATCTTTCAACAAAATTATCGTTTTATCAATTATCTTTCAACATCGATTATCTTTTAACAAAAATGACAATTGACAAATTATTGATAACTAATATCCCGCCCCAGTATACAGATCTCTTAAGAGCTGTTGAACATAAGATAGATGCCGCAGTGCAGTGGGTAAAAAACATTCCCGGAAACAGAGTTATGATCTCTTGAAAGCACATGAAACTGAAAGTTATGAACGTGTCATGGAAATATGAAGAGATTTTATGAAATGAAACTTCACACACCTTGTCTAATCTGTCTTTCAATTTTGCTTGTACGGCCTTAAAAAAAATCACCAGTTACTTTGCAGCAAAGGCTGATTGCAAAGCGTTATCTCAAAATATAACACAAAAAATTTAATCGAGATAAAAGGAGCATGAAATTCAGAATACCCGAATATATCAAGCTTGACAAAACGTTAATGTGAAATTGCAAAATCTAACAGCTACATTTCAGGAGAGAAATTTAGCATCTAAAAAGTTTTGCAAGGCTTTCTGTGCTGAATATATCGAAATTCTGCCATGACATATTCTCAAATTCACGAATCTGATCTTGCGAATATAATTCCATTATCTGCCAAGCAGCGTTTGTAAATATTAATAGAAATCTGAAGGGTACTCTACGCAATTTACTTCCTACAAGATCTTAGCTGTTATTGTTAGCTGCACACGGAACAGAGGATGCCTGCCAACGAGATTAAAATGCAGATTGTGGAAAGAAGACTTAGAAACTCCGCTGTTAAAATCTTACCGTTTGTGTATTTCTTTGCTGTTCCAGCTGGGATATTTCCTAAAAAATAAATCCATATCTTCGACACAGAAGGACAACAACAATGGCAAAAAACAAACATTTCAAAACATTTCTGAGGCCTTTTACATTAAATTTAGGAAAACCACGAGAAGAAAGAAAATCATCACTGAAAATATCATTCGATAACTTTATAGTATATTTTACCCTTTTCAAATCGTCAATTGTCCCATCCTTTCTTTTCGATTCTATGCCGTTTGTAACGTTGTTTTCCAGCAACTGAAATCATAAATTTAAAAATTTAATAGAATCCAACATACTTGATAAGGTAGAGTAAAATCTGTGCGAAAATAGATGGTGCAGCAGCGTAGGGGACTAGTATACGGAGCGCATCTTTGACAAGTTATACAACCAACATGATACCAGCGGAGGGCTAATACAAAATTGAATTTAGCCTTACATCCAATGGTGTGAAGTTCGCATTTACTGAAGTCAAGCTACCACAGATTCAGTAGACCAGGGAATTTGTAGCTTTTAAAATTACCACAAGCAGGTGCATAATGTTGCTGTGATCAGTGGCAATAACATTTCTCACGTCCATCGATATATATATTTCAAGCAAATAAATTCACGGAAAAACCCCAATGATGAAGTTGTCTCGAGTTAGCTACTCAGCATAAAAACATACTCAAAAAACAGATTTGCAACATTTTATGATAATGTATGAAATTATTAGGATTTGAAAGACAAAGAGAGAATATAGAATAATTTGTTAACCTTAATATCCATTGCTTTTAAATCCGTCTGAAAAGAAAAATACAAATAATAAAATTGAAAATAATCCCCTCTCATCAAAAATGAGTAACCCTAATCCAATTAATATTTCACTGGGCAAAACATACGATCTTTTGAATATATGATTACTTGTTTGCACTATTACGATACAATTGATATCATCTAATTTGCCAAATCTGAAATATAAGGCCATAATCATTTTTTACCATTTATTAAACAATGCCAAAGCGCGATAAAAATGTTTTTTTCCAACAACTGGGCTTGAACCTATAACTTTATCCATGCCTTGATGGGAAATAAAGAGAGAGAAAATGCAGCGGATGTCTGTTTTGATCTGCCTTCTTTTTTAAAGAAAATTTTTCATAAACTATGAGCAAAAACTCAACTCTTTCAAAAAACAAAGAACTCTTCTGTCGTGAAAAGGATAATTAAAAAACAGCAACTTTATGATGAGAATAGAGAAGCGGGTTTTGTAATAAATATATTTTCATATAGAGAAATACCTGTGTTGCTTTGGTAGAATTAAACATATTAGAATTCGAGAGGAAAATGTCTCTTGATGCAGAATTCTTCGCAAAAGATGCCGAAGATTGGCTGCTGTTGCCTTTTGAGACATCCTGAGTACAAAGTGAATGCAAAATTTTGAAAAAATAAAACAAAAAAGTGGGTTTTTCGATGAATACCGTTTAAGTAAAAAATGAAGTTGTTTGCAAAATAAAAGAAGTTGTTTGCTAAATTAGCGAGCCACTTTAAAATTGTCTTAAGAGAAAGAGAAATAGGTAGAGCCAAGTGAATATGGTTGAGCAAAATAAAAAAAAGAAGTAGACCTCTAAATAAACATGATCGACTCAAAATCCAACTTTTTTAAATTTCCAATGCAATGCTACTGAAATCTAAAACTTAGTTTGATGTTGTCAAAAACAAACATTTTTATCAGAAGATGCTTTGGGAATATCAAAAAATAAAAAAGAAGCTCTTTAAGCATTAATTTTTTCAAACAAAAGATGAGAAACACAAGAATAATCTGTTATCTTTCAAACATAAAAATTTTACAGGTACACATTACCAAATGAGTCGCTATGTACCTTTGTTCCAAAATATTTGGTAATTTGACGACCATCCTGGCTGGCACCTTTGCCCGACTTCGCAGATCCTGAAAATTAAGGAATACACAAAGTTTAAGTACACTTACGCGATCTCCTTGAAATATTCCAATATACTGACATTGATGACAAAGTATTCTTCAAGTTCTAAATCTACCACAATAAGCAATTTTCGATACAAGGGCGAATTTCACTTCAATATAACCTTACAAATTGCTAGAATAAGACAGATACCGTCATCTGGGGTCGCAGCACCCTTTCTCTTTCTGCCTCTTGTACTTGGTGGCTTTTCAGGAGTTTTCTAGAAACAATTATAAAGCAAAGTTATCAATGACACAAAATTTACATTTCACTTGCGACAAAAAAGGCGCATTTGACCTTAAAGAAAAATTTTAGTTCAAAAATGGATTAACAGAGTCAGGTTATATGTACAAACAAAATTGGAATATTACTTTATGGGGTTGGGTCTTCCAAATTAAAATGAAGCTGCATTCGATATAGTTCATTGCAAGGTTATAAAAAAATAAGCAATTAACCACGTGCCTTAAAATACTTACGTCATACGTATCCCCACTCGAACTTCCGGTGGCTTGTGGACAAGAGGAGGAAACTTGATCCGAACCAAACTAAAAATACCCAAACATATTTATTGACGAACAAGCATTCACTGAAATACACTAGGCACTTAAAAGTCCTAAAAGTACATAGCAGTGTTATGTTAGCTTTTAATAAAGTAAATTGGAGGTATTCAAATCTTTCTTTTATTGCTAGTCTGCAATTACACAAAGTCTTTATCAGGGAAAAGGTACAACAGAACAGGGAATGGATAGCCTAAAATGACCAAAAGAAAAATGTTGCTTTCATAAGTTGCAACAACACAGGTGAGGGGTTACTCCAAAGCAACACTTTAAACTACAGTCTAGTCCATCGATATACTTCAGTCAAATAAATTCATGACAAAATGTCTTGCTTTGAAAGGTTCTAGCCAAAAGCTTAGCACTCACCTTGCCAAATATTCTTGCCTCGAGGAGTTCTCTTCTTTGTGGATCAAGTCCTTCCATGGTCTATTTCATGCAGGATCTCCGTCACCTAAAGTTTAACAATTCACATTGAAGTATAACAGCGATATGTTGAAATTTAAATGATTCTTTGTCATAGAGGCGAAAATTTATGTCTAAGGAGGGGGGGGGGGGCAAACCTCCAAAAACAAGCAAATTTGCAGACAAACGACAAAATTCACTGACAAAATTCACCGACAAAATTCACCGACAAAAGCGCCAACAACTGGTTTTTCGCAAATATCTAGCAAAATTCCGCCACTGCCTTCACAAAAAGTAAGATTTTCATGTGCTTTAAAAAACAACTTAATCTGAATGTGCCTCCAAAGGGGTCAGGTCCTTTTTTCAATTTGTTTCCGTCCTCTTGACGTCTTAACCTCTGCCTATTTGCATTCAATTAAATAAAAAAAACCCTTGAAATTACCCATTTATTTTGCAGTCAGTTGTCAAAGAGAGAAACAAAGTTTTAATCAAGCAAGTCATTTGTCCTGCAAAATGGCTCAAGATAGGGTATCATAACGCAAAACTCTTTTCATTAAACATTTCTTAGAATATAAAACCGTCGGAGAATGACCAAACCGAAACATGAAAGGGAACTATTGTGAGATTTATTCTCGAATCCGAACATTCGGTGTCAGTGACGTTTTTTTTACTTGACAATGGAACTAGCCACAAAAGCAAAACGGAACTTGAGAATGGAAATTTAATGCTCTTAAAGAACTCTCCTGCAATGCAATTTGTCGTAGGGCAAATAAAAGCCAAATTTTATCACATCTTGTGAGTTCTTCACTGGGTCTTTAGCCTTATAAAGCCTTTAAGATCATATATGGCCTTTCTCCTAAAAGCTACAGTAATAAATCTCTTCAGGATATAGCTTGTCTGACCTACAAAAACCCATCCCAAAAAGATTCAGAACGATTAAGTACTTCAATCCAATTGCTAAACTTAATTGAGAGAAGAAAAAAGTTGCAAATTGGAAATTTTCTTAGTAAAAAGGTTTTCCTGACAAATAAAATCATGAAACTTTAAAAACATGACAAAAAATTTAATTCTTGGAAGTTTAACTAAAATGTTCAAATCAAAATCTTAAGACTTTGAAGGTAAATATTTAAAGAATTTAAAAGTAAGACAAAGTATAAAGTAACTAACAGCATAAATACTCCAGACTCCAGGCTGGACAACCTTTTTTATGGTCTTTGCTGGTCTCATATAAAAAGATTAAATTATACTTTCCATAGGCATGTTACATATCACAAAGTTCTGATAGGGCAACCATACATATCATATAAATGCATCCCCGTTGTTGAAAGAATTTAATTTTAATAATCATGTTTGTTGATGGGCTCAGTGAACCACATGTCTATATTCTGGCCAATCAAGACTGTAAGCTGAGCAGGGTGAAGCAGGAAGACTTTCCAGGACCCAGCCAGGTGCCAGGTGCTCAATTTCAAAAAAAGCAAGAAACACTTCCTTGTTATTTCTTTTTGTCATCTAACAGAACTTGAGAAATCGTGGAACAAAAATCTCAAACTAGGCTTACATTTAGTCAAATGATTTGTATTCTAAAACTGCCCCAATTCCCTCTCATCAAAATATAGGACCATTTCCCTTGTGGTTGGAAAACTTTATTAAGGAGATAGGGTATATCAACTATTTAACAACAAATGACTGTCATATGCACCACTTGAGAAGATTTTATGGATCAACAACAACTTATCAACTCAAAATTTCCATGTTGATTTAAAGACAAAAGGATTCACAGGTGTAGAACTTTTGCTAAATCTAAGGAAAGCAAAAAATTTAATGAAAGTGAAGTTTCTCTTATATGAGGTGTGTGGGCAGCTCTGTGGGCACTTTCTTAATATCAAAGAATTTTGCTAGCAGGTGAATAAACAAAAACTGCACAGTGCACCATTATTTGCTCTAATGGGGGCGATAATGAGGCGAAAAAAGGCACTTTCACTTTGTGGAATAGGCGTGCTTCACAAAATACGCAGAAAATAAAGTTGCATAGTGATGACATTACAAAGAACAATTTAGACAATTTTTGAAATCTGAATACATATCATGAACAAAATAACACTGTTAAAAATCACTGAGCAAGATCATTCAGATCAATTGCAAATTGGCTGAAACCAAAAGTGAATCTGTTGTTTTCCCTGAACCAGAGATATTTTGTTCAATACACTTTTTGCACCAAGTGCTCAAGTTAAAATCTGCCTAGTACACACCAAAAGTTTGGCTATGTTGTCTTTGGAAGCAAGAAATTTACAAGCAAAGACGATTTTTAGGTTAAGACATTACTGCAAATTTGCATACCATTTTCAAGCCATATATTTTAGTCAAAAAAATGTTTATCAAATCTTTACAGGGCCAAAGCTGTGATGAAGATTTTTCCAACATTGGTGGCCAGATTCACTCTGGGTTGAGATAAGGTCAATGAAATACCCGAGTTTGCTTATGAATTACAAATGTAGTTTTGACTTTGATGTGAATTAGTTAAGTCACTATTCAAAACAATGCTGCAGCTTTGTAGCATTTATAACAGAAAAAATTAATGATTTTTTTCTCAATGTTTTGAAGGTCTTAATAATTTTTGTTGCCATTTCAAGCATGAACATGCAATGCTGTAAATAATGATGACAGCACTAGTGAAAGAAATGTTAAAACTGGGCAAGTTAATGATGTGCACATCTTTAGTCCTTTTTGGACAGTTATTTCACAAATGGCTACAAGTTCAACATGTTCCATGTAAATGTGCACAAAGCAGAGAAAGGTTTAGAACCATCCCTGGTGGAACATTTAAAGGTTGTAATTCATAAATGCATGCCAGATGACAGTGATTTGATGGACAAACTGTTCACATAGCCATATCTCCACAATCTGTAGACAAAGATCCAACTGATTTTGATGTGGTCAGAATTCAATAATTATAAAAATTTGTTTTTGTAATGCATTCTTCGTCATTTAATGCGTGCGATTGCATAAAATTCATAAAAAGGGCCAGAAATTTAGATTTTCCGACAAAAGATTTATAGGCAGGCCTTGCCCGGAAAGGCGCTCGATCGAGCGCGCGCGCCTAGAGCGCACCCAAAAAAAGCCTTGGAGAGCGATTTATAGAGCCCCTCAAAACGTAAAAACAATATTAACACGGAGCAAAATGAATTTTTGGAATTTGTTGAATCAACTTGATCAAGCATAAACAATCTTCCCAACAGACCGCAATATCATGATTTGAGTAAGATTACCCCTTGAGAAAAAATTCAGCAAAATCAACGTTGGGTTTTCGATATCATTTTTAATCTAATAACCCTCTAATAACCATCAAGGACACAGGCCACCAAGCGTATTCTCCGGCAGATTTATTTGTTTTTCGAGCAAGCGTTAATCTTCTATTGAAGTATATATTATTTTCTGTTTTTTAACTAACTTAAAATCGCCTGTGCAAATCAGCGATCACGTTTCCGTCCAAATTATCGCATTGCTTTTCATTTTTAATTTGCTTTTGCGAGTAGTAGATGTTCTAGCATTTCTATAGAATGGTTAACATGAAAAAAGGAAACAAAGTTAAATGTTCGATTTAAAGCCATGCGTATTGATGAAGCAATATGTGAAACTGAACATAACAGTAGTGATACTGACACTGATAAAAGCTCATCGCATGATGGCAAGTTACATATCTAGAGAAATCTGAACAATTTTGCGACTTTGTTTTATTATATTTCTATATTTATATTAACATAGTGTTTGTTGCATGTTTTGTTATTTCATATTATGGTGCTTTCTGGTATCACCGTTGAATTTCATATTTAACATTCTTTCGAAGCTTTCGATATGAAGCTCTCGATCTCCTAAAGCTCTCGAAGGATGCTCTCAAGGACATTTACTTAGAGGTGCGAAATAGAGCGCCTAGAGTTTCTAAGGGGCTCTTTTTATGGAGCACCTTCATTTTACTTAGAGCAAGGCCTGTATAGGCGCTTTATTTTTTAAAATTTTGTACATAACTTCGTGTAAGTCACGTGTCACAAATCACACTATTCAAAGATTTTTCTTGTCTTTTATCTGAAAAAAGGTATTTTTAAGTTCTATACCTTATTCAAAGAGATTGCCAATCTGATTCGTAACAACAGAAGAGATCACCATATTCAGCTTTCAAATATTTTCTCTCAAAATGTAACATTTGGATCTAAATAGACAACTATGTAAAATTCTGATCAGATCAGAAGTTTTTCGACAAAACAGCAGTTTAGCTGTACAGGGGGAGGGGGGGGGGTCTTCACCTTGACCCCCTTTATCTACGCCACTGTATCAATCAATATTTCCCTATAGTTGTCCTGTAATGTTGAATGTTCTTGGAATGAGCACAGCATAAACACTCAAGCTCTCTGCAAATTGCTCCAGGGCCTCGAGGTGCAAGGGGCCTTATAAAGTAATGAATTCTGTTTTGAAATAAAATTGATTAAAGTAACAAAATTGTGCTCAAAAAGAGTAAAGCATTTTAAGTGAATGAACAAATTTAAACTAGTTCAAAGGGTCTGGTCGCAAAAATTTTCTGCTCGCTTCGCTCGCAGGGGCCTAATTCTCCGCTTTTACCCCAGGGCCCCCAACTCTCTAGGCAGCCCTGCATGCAAGTTTCGAACAGTGACAAAGCAGTCGCGGTTTGCCCTTTCGTTTACGCTAGCACTCTGGAACCGAGCTAATTTTGCACTGCCATCCAGAATTATTTTGACCCTGTTACGAAAAAGAACGAATTTTTTACCATCACGGTTCCGTTTTGAACAGGACTGTGTAAACGGGGGTCAAAATAGCCTGAATTTTAAGAGTGTGAATCGCACGCATGAAAAAAATAATATGTGTGGTTTGCCACACGCATGGTGATTTCCTTATGACGAAGACTGGTGATGTCATCAACTTGCCTCTCCAACAACTCCATAACCTTATCACCAAAGACCATGGATTAACAATAAGCCCTTTGCATCTTTAGAAGGCTGGATCTTTTGGTTCAGGACTATACACACAATCTTTAGCAGAAATTTTTTGCTAATTTTTTGCCAAACTCCTGCAAACATTTTAGAGGTAAGAAGAAATGATTTGTCAATTCAAAAACAAATTCTACTGTCTTATCTTATTCACAACTTGATAAGAGATATAAATTGTTCACACTATATATTTTTTCAAAGTCACTGCTCATTCCTATCATATCAATCTACCAAACAAAATTATATGCCTATCAAAACAGAGATAAGGATTGCACTGAAAATATTATTCAAGGGAATAATTCTTTAATTTTGGCTTGTATATATATTATCTTTTGATAGAGTTGCTGTTCGGTTTGGTTGAGTTTTCCTGAAGCAAATCACTGTTGATGAGTTCAATTTTGTGGTTTTATCAAACCCAACCAACGAACAAATAAATGAAACGAACACCATGAAAAGTGATTGGCTTAGGGTAGTTTCATGTGACCTCTCAAACAGAACTAGCAGGATCGCCGTTGTTTGTCATCTTTTGGCCAACCGACCAGTGACGATCAAGTAAATTAAAACCCAAAACAATGTTGGCTCAGGGCAATGAGGATCATTCCAATTTTTATGTGATTCAAATACAGGGAGGGTAGAACGTGCGTTATAGCCAGGTTACCTTCCCAGAGGTGACAGTGATAATTATGTACTCCTTGCCAATGATAGTCTAGTCTTTTGCAAAAACCATCAGCATGCTTCACAATCTTTTCAAAAGAAATAGCATGCTTCACAATATTATCGAATCTGGAGGGTGGGGTAAGCAGAAATGAGACGTGGGTCGGTGTAAATTGAAGTTACTGGTGAAGATATTGATGGATGCCATCCACACGATTCTTATAGGGAAACTTCGCAGTTAGATTTGGATACATTGTAACCAAGTAATGAAAATAAGAAATTCTAGAAACAGGCATATTTATTTAGTAACTCAAATGACTCTTTTTTGCCATATTATCCATGAGACAAACACGTTGCTGGTCAATCTGAACAGCTATAGATGCCGGGCCTAGGCGGAGAACGGGTCGACATCGACTCAAATAACTGACGAGAAAGGACCACCAAAAATACTTGTCGACTCACCTATTTCCACGAAATTGTTCCCCAGTAGTATTTCTTGGTTTTGTGAATTTCTTGAAGGAACAACTTTACAAAAGAGGCAGATTAAGTACCATTTAAGTTACAGTTTTCTTGGTTCTTAAAGACAGTTCGAATGGTGTTTCACAGGCCAACTGCAGGTTCTCGGGAAGCCGGGATCTCCTGCGAGACTTCATTGTTATATTACAATTTGCCATTGTCTAGGCGCGGGATTCCCACGTATACAATAGCCTGTCCTTCGCAGTGGCTCTAAATATGCAAGATGATCAGCAACGCTGTGAGTGTGAAGACCACGTACATTTAGATTAGATGAGGTGGCTCAAAATGTCACCAGAAAAAAATTAGCTACCAGTTTTTCAAACAGCCTAGAGCTTTAACCATGCTTATCCAAGATTTTGCGACGAACGAAAATGATGGGATTGTAAAAAAGGAGATAAAAATGCATTCCACATTATTGCCACGTAAACTGTGTAAACTGCACAGGAAATCACTGGGAAAAATACTTGGGAACCAAAGTTTGGTACGCCCCTTTATGGGAAATATGGTCAGGTTCGCCGCTGACCAGAAAACAATTGTCAAAACCATTTTTCAGGGAATTTTAATGTGAGGTCAAGCTTTTGATTTTAGGAAAAGGTGACGAAGGTCAATTGCATTAAACAAATAAAAGTCACCATTCTGGAGAAGCCGAGAGGGGCAATCGTTCCCGTAGTTATTATGTTAAATATGGTCCCGGGAAGCTTTAACGTTGTTGAAATAGCTACTGAAAAGACATAATATCTTAATTTTTAATCAAATGGTATCTATGCTGAGATTGGCCATAGTCTTCTTCAATTCGTGGATTAATTTCAATTTTCTCAAAACTAAGCATTGTAATGATAAGAATACATCGAAACAAAGCTCAAATCACAAAGCCAAGAACCATCTATAGATTACCAGGAAATAAGAAAGAAAGCATCAAGGTCAGGACATGTCATTTAGAAGTGCAAAGCTTTCAGGCTTTTCTTACAGTTAACAAATTACCGCTTGCAGTATTTTGTGACAACTTTGAGGCAACCTGATGTTCTTGGCTCATAGACCAAACAATTAGGTTTTGTGCTATAAAATAAATTCAAACTAATCTAACTTCATTAGCAAGACATTTCTATCTCTTCAGACGCCTTCTTCATTTTTTGATAGATATCATCAAAATATCTGACTGGGTACCTATCTGATTTTGACGTTTCTTCTGGTACATTAATCAAATTTGCTAGTGAAATATCCATTATAGCGCTTGCTTTGATAACAAAACAAAGCTCAAAGCTCAGTACCTAAATTTATTTTTACAATTTCAACTCGTATCATGACTATACCTCTAACACAAGCTTTCTAATGTACCCTGTTTAGAGTTTAAGATAAGTTTTTAAACATTAAGTATCTGTTCCCCCAAAGTCTCATGAAAGATTGAAAATGTTGACACCTTTGATTTCAAAAGGATAGAGTAATCGAGCATGTGAAGGCTGCAAACTTTTGCATTGACTCGTGAAAGCTGCAAGCAGGACTGAAATCAGCATCAGCATTGATTTTAATCGTTTATGAGTGAAATATAACTCCTAGCCAGAAATAGTTTGTGCAGTCAAGATATGTAACAAAACACATACTAATACCCAATAGCAACCACACGTACGTTGTATAAATATCAAAGACTCCAGACAAGATTCTTGCGGTGCTCCGCATGATACAAATCAGCATTGCTGCTGTCAATGAGCTTAAGAAGATGGTTTCAAACAGCTCCATTCTTTTCAGTAACATTGCACGACTCTTACAATAAGATTCTACTTTTTGAAAAGGCTTTTTGTGGATCAGCGAGAGTGCTTGTCATCTATTTACCACGTTCAACGTTAATGTAACAAATATATGCATGAAAGCAAACGTAACATTCTACTTGCTTTTCCTGTGTGGAATTTTCCTCCTAAAACGACTTTATTAGGGAAAATAACTTTTTCTACTTTTTTGAGTAGTTTCTAACAAGTCTTGAATTAATTAATTAGGTATGAACAAATTAGGTTAGTCCTTTATACATGTTTTTTTCCTCAATTCATGCCCTTTTCTCAAATTAGCTATCTTTTCGATATTTTTACAAAAAAGTGAAATGAAGCTAATTTTCAGCAACTTGTGTAGCCCATGACATTTTCCATTGCGACATTCTTGTTTTCCGATTCAATTTAGCCATGATTCGTGATATTTCAACAAAAACTGACTTTCCTCAATAAACGAGGAAGCATTCAGCTCACCTGAAAAGTACAATTGTAAAAATGAATCAATTATGCAAATATGATTTTCTTTATGTATTTTTATCCCAGTTGGTTCCCGAATACACTAGCCACACTACTTGCCGTACAATACTCCAATTAGTAGTGTTATTTCGGTTTTGATATGAGAGCTCTTTTTTTATTAAACGGATTTTCCCTTGATGATTTCTTTGATCAAGTATATCAGATTATGGTAAAGACGATCTGGGGACCATCAATGACAACTGAAGTGTGTGGATATATATGTGTTTTATATAAGAACTACATTTCATTTGAAAATTATAGGTATTTGGGTAGCAGTTGATAATACCTTGATAGAGCCTTAATAGCACCATCTGTTCTCGCAATTTTAAGAATATCATAAGCGAATAAAATTATTTGCCTATTATTCGAATATCATTGTTTGGAGCAGAGCTGGGAGTGGGCTCCAGCCTCCTAGTAGCTCAGGTGAATATGAAATAGTATCCGGGTGGATTTCAAAGAGGTTAGTAAGTTATACAAAGGGGTTTTTAGGGCAGATACAGAAAATTCTATAAATTCTGTTCTTTATTTGTGTTAGTTTTCTTTGCATACTTCTGTGCATATTTCTGTGCTACAATTTTTTCAACAAAAATATTTCATCAAAAAATAAAACACACCATTCATTTCCCACAGGTATATGACAAAATAAACCATTAATTCAGATTCTACAAGCATATTATCAGCCTATTCATTTGCGATTGAATTGTCAAAATATTTCATGAATTTCTTCAATTTTTTTTCAATTTCATTTCATTCAAAGAAATAAGTTAAAGTTTAAAATACAAAATACGTGTTAAAGAAAAGGTACAATACTTTTTTTTTAAAATCTATCTTCATTACAATAATTCTATGCTAACAGCTTGATATTATAATGTTACATTGTTGTTTAGGACCCTTAGAAAAAACTCTAAAGAGAGCTATCGAGCTAAGACCCCCAAATTCATTAAACATTGCTTATTAAGTAACAACAGCATAAATTAAAAAGCGTGAAAAACAGAATACGGCGAAAAAATCTGTTCTGCTACTCTAGAAGGATCTCGTTGTGGTTGTCATTCGTTACTTATTATAGTTCTTTGTAGGGCTGAGATTCTTTATATTATCATTAATTCTAAAGAGATTCTTCATTTAGTCCAATATGTCATATTTTGCTACATGGGGTAGTTGTGTTTTTAGAGGGGGCAGTTGTGTTTTGTAGAGGAAATTTGAAAAGGAATCTGAAAATTTGAACTCATCATATCATTTTGTTGAATTTTGCCGTTTCAGCAATTTCTTTACTTTTTTATTAGGGGGCTACCCAAACAAACTGAAAACTCAACAAAAAATGTTTGCACACAAGCACCAGCCTGATTTCAGGTCTGCATATAAATGTTTTTATATCTCTATGGAAGGGCAGAAATGCTAGATGTTGGAGGGAACACGCGTTTCAGTTTAAAATCATGGGCTCCGAAAAATTTTGGAATTGGAATGTAGGAAATTTTAACACCATAACAAAAGATTTTGAAAAAAAGGCCCTAATGTTTTGCAAAAAGTCCCCCCCCCCTCTTCGTTGGAGGCCCTGTTGAGTCTGTCTTCTTTTCAGAATATCAAGTGCAAGAGCCCCCAAATGAAAACCCGAATTTCCCCCTCCACTGTCTCAATAGATCTTTTCATCTTTTTCTACCAACGGTCTTATCTTGTCTGTCGTTGATAAATCAAACCGGATATATGGCATTGAATTGCATGAATACCTGGATAAACCACTGGGTAAACAAATACGGTGCTCGAGGAAAGACGTGCGGCCTTGCATCAGCATCAGTGGCATAAGCTAGAGGAGAAATTGCAACCAAGGTATGACTCTGCTGATTTTTATAACGCTGTGTTGATTACAAGATCTGTGTTATCAATTAATAAGAACCTTCTCAATTTTCACAAAGAAAAGATCGTAACCTTTGTAGAGTTTTTTTGCATTTCACTTTGCAGTTGCTGGCCTACCAACGAACTTCATATCTTTACGTATCAAGTTTCGCAAGGCGAGGAATGATCGACTGCCTTAAAACTTTAAAAACAAAACTTGATTTTATACTTTTATATGGGCTTCGAAAATATTCAAAATTTTTCTTCCTTGATTGCTTCTTTCATACACACTCGTGTACACGCCCCACTCGCGAGTGGTCCCAATCAATCGATGTCTCGTGCGACAGTCGCACACCCCTTCTTCTATATTGCCGAATACATACAGTCTATACTTCTATACAGTCGCACACCCCTTATTCAACTTTGCGGAGCTGTTGTTTATAAGATTATTTTGATAGTGGGGCTTTAAAAGAAATATCTTTCAACAACTTGCAAATATTAGATTCAATCCAGCTCGTAAATTAAAACAAATAATGGTTGGCTCGAGTGGTGCAAGTGGGCATCTTATAAATCTTTTTGGTTTTGCGAACTTCTCAAATGAAATCATTCTTTTTTATATCAGTTATCCATGAAAAAAATATCAGTTAAACCATCCTGTTTTTCTACCCCCCCCCCACTTTTTTGCAAAAAATAGAGCCTTCTTGAAAATCTTTTGCCATGGGTGTTAATTTTTCCCTTGGCCCCCCACTTTTCAACCTGTGTCAGAGCCCATGTTGTGACAAAAATTCTGCCAACCTATTTTGCCCCCCCCTCCCTTTCGCAGTATAGAATCAATTTTTGACTGAATATTTAGTTCATTTAGATAGATCTTTCGTAATTCCTAAATGGAGTAAATAAACAAAATACTTTTTTTCCTTAGAATTCAATCAAACAAAATGAGGCTTGGAATTTTATATTTTACTTTTTTGTAACTGGCATAGTTTTTGTTCCTTGTAAGGGTTCAATAAAAAACTGGATGCTTTTTGGCTCACCACAGATTGATGTCTGTTCAACCAGTTAGTTTATGCAAGTATTGAATTCATTTTTTTCTAGTCAATCATGAAGGGGTATCAGTACTTTCGCAATATGCTTGGGGAAAATCTCAGTGATGAAGACATGCAAGTTATAAAACACGGCAAAGGTGAACTGTATTACCATGTGATGTTGAAAGATGTACAGGCATTTGCACTGCTTGGAATGGTAATTATTGGGCCTGCTGTTCAGATGATCAGGGGACCAAGAACTCTTGCAGCAGTGCAGGCCACTGCTATCAAGTATGGAAAATGTGGTGCTGTTCTTGGAATTCCAGCTGGTGCTTTCATGATGTACATGAGGGAACGTGGTGCAAACATTGATGCTGATGGTTATTATGATCGTGCTTACAGACTAAGGAAAAATAGGAACCAAGTTCGTGTGGACAGAGGCAGTTACCTTGGGGCACTTGCTGGAGTAGGAGGTGCTTTAGGTATGGGGGCATCTGTTTCCTCAGGTGCAGTTGTTGGAATGGTAGGAGGCACAATTCTTGCTGGAATTTACAATAGTAACAAAGACAAACATGTTTAAAACTTATTAATAAGAATTTTTCAAAGCAATTTTAGGAAAAGTGCTGTTATTCAGATTATGGACACATTGGAACCATTTATTTCATATCTTTCTTTACTGAATTCATCAACATTCTTTATTGTTTGTTAATGTAACATAATTGAGCCTGCTAACGATAATCGTGATAAACAAAAACAAAAAAGTATTGGAAAAAGGCACATATTTTTAAACAATGTATATTCATGTATCATTTTTTGAGAAAAAAATTAATTTGGAAACTTATGAACTGGTATTGAAATGGCTGAAGCTTTTTTGTCAATTATTATCATTATTATCATAATTATTAGTCTTTTTAAGTCATCTAGACACTTTCAAGTCCTGTGTAACTGTGTTTTCACAATGTTTGTTTCCTGGACGCACTATTTTCAGCATCTTTAAAAGACAGATTCATAGCTTTGAGACCTTGTGAAGCTACATCTTTCCACACTCTGCTTTGCTTGTTTGAACCATCAACAGTTAGAGTTATACACTTTTTGATCCATGATGAACTGCGTTCAATAGTCCAAACCATCCCATTGTATTGCAATGTAGTACAACATCAAGACTTTGTAGGTGTAATTTTTAATGTGGAGGTCAGATGTACTAATTCGTTCACTCCAATTGACATTACACATGATACATATAGTGACACCCACAGCACCATTGCTCTTTTATTACGCTTTAGCTTGTTTAAATCGTCCCCCCCCCTCCCCTTTAAAACCCAACATTTGGATGCATGCAGCATGACACCTCTAACGCAATTTCTGTAGTTATAACCACAAGTTTTTGGTGAGATTGCCTTACATGTGAGAATGGGCAAAAGTAAAGTTTTAAAAAGGCTGATGTTTAGCAAATCGGTGTTGGTTGTTCACTGGATGCAAGCATTCTAGAAATGTATCTGAGTAGTGTACTCTTCGGCAGCACCTTGGTGGTGAATGAGAACGTAAATAAGAAACCTTTGTTATTTCAATGATAAAATCTGTGTAACCTACATTCAGTTTCAGCTTAATTGCAAAAAATAACAACAATAAGGGAGGGTATATCATGCAATAAAACATTGGTATTTGTTAAAAGTAAATACCAGACAAAAAGATACTCAAATATATCTTCTTAAAGACATCACTAGTCAGCTTAAATTACTCACATTTAACTATTTTATTTTGAGGCCTGGTGGAATTAGATTAATGTTATGCTATTCCACATGTAGCATGTTTACAGCTGATGATTTGCAAAGAAGTTTGGAAAGTGTGACATTCTGATCACAGATCTTTTATCAAAAACAAGAGCTCTAAACCAGCAATCCCACAAAAAGCTTAAAATCAAAATATTTTTCTTGAAGGAGAAAGCAACTTTAAATAGCAACCAATAGTAAAAGAACATTTGCGTTTTCTCACAGGCTGATAGTGCTCTACAAACAATAAAATTTTGTTCCAAATTATAAAAGAAATGATAATTTTCAGGGCAATGGTGTATTTGTAAAAAAGCTTGGATTATTATAATGTCGTTGAAAGTAGAGATTTCTAGTTGTCCTAGAAAGATTAAAACTTCTTTACTGCAGTAATGAAGAATGAAATACAATTGTGTTTCATTTACAGTTTACAAATTCAGTTCCCCTAGCTGTTTGCTGTTGATTTGCTTTGATGTTATCTTTGCTTTGCAGCAGTTTTGACACATCTGCACAAAGTGCATACGGAATCATCAATCATGTACTGTGTTGAAACAAGTCGTGGAATTGGCTTGAACCTCTTGCAAATAAACTATACTTAATCTAATCCAACACAAACTTCTAATTTCCTTCCTTGGCAGCTAAGGCACAAAGAAAAAGAGGACAATGTCATTGAATTTATCTTTGTATGATTTAAAGAAGCAATATAATCTGCATAAATCGTATAGATTGTCATTAAACATGTTCAAATCTTTGTGTATATGGCAAAGCTGCAAGCCCAAAACAGCTTATGCATAAGATTGTATCTACTCAAATGGAGCAGGTCGCTGTGGCAAGTGGTCTGGTAGCATGTACGTGATGTCATCCCAAGGATGCCGATACAACCCTTGTTTCAAACGGCGCTGATCCAAAAAGTGACCTGTGAGATGGAATGCATAAAAATGAACAACTTGCAAAAAGCTAAAATTATAAAACATAGCAGAGATTTTCGTCTGACACATTTTAGTGTGTAAAACCTCTGAGCATTTATCAAAAACTCTGAGCTAGGAAATTGATGTACCCAGTTGAGGATCGAAAAGTTGCGAATGCAAGGCAAGAATATCCCCGTTACGTCATTGCTCACGTTTTCACACTGACCTTTTTCGATCCACACGTGGGTATATCATTATTGTTGGCACGTTTAGCTGCAGTTTACAATCAAGGGCGGCTTATAAACGAGGGTGGCCTACAGTATTCTATCAAGATCCTGCCAAGCTGTCCTGCTTCCTTGAAACTGAGGGAGCTAATGCAGAAGATAAGAACACTTCTGGGTGCTATTGATCATCCCATGATGGACGATATTTTCTTAAACTTCTAATGGTATTTTTTGGTTTAAGTACACAGTCAGGTATTTTTATCTCTGCATGGTTTTGTGGCTGTGGCTTATAATCATAGGCGGCTTACATCTTTTAAGAATCCAATTTGCTACAGCTTATACTCGATGGTGGCTTATACAAAAGGGAGCTATAATTGAATTAATACAGTATATATTTCCTAGCTTACAGTATGTCTTGAAATATATTTTTTCAAAGCCATTTCAACCTCTGCACCGACTGAAATGGTGCTTCAGTCTAAGGGAAAATCATCAAAAGCTCCTCTAATGCGTGCAATGGCTTGATTTGTTTAATACGAAGCACACACAGTCAATCTCTCATGCATTCTTGACTTTGAAAATGGAGAGTAATTATTACTTACCTATAAATCCGATTGATCTTCCGAGAACGAAAAGCCCATTCAATGCCCCTATTGATATATATTCATCGGCTTCTTCTCTATTACAAGAAAAAAGTCAAAATTAATTCTATTTTCCTGCTTTCATCTTTCCTAATAAGGTTTTCTGTAAATATGTTTCCTTCACCTCCGCATAACCAATTTTTACACTTTTTCCTTTTGTTGCTTGTGTACATTTTTTGCATTCAAAAAACCAAAATGCTGGAGATGTAAAGAATATAGGAAAGAAGGACAGTGGGCTCCGTTTTGGAGACCACGCCTTTTAAAATGCTTGGCAACTCCTCCAGCCATAATAACTGCCTGCAAACAAGTGGCGCATTAATAGAAAAACTTTTGAAAATAAAATACTTTCCAAACCAAAAACATCGACTGGGCCTTATGGGATGACAAGTAAAACTTACAGCTAGCCCATAAATTAGTTATGAAAATGACAAATCAAGATGACTATGTTTGTTTGCATCTATATCTGCTTCGAAGTATTCAAAAAGAGCTATCTACTTAATACAGTACCTTTAATTGGCAAGTGGGCCACAGAAAAGAGAAAGCAAAACAGATAAGAGAAATTAATAGGAGTTGGATTGAACAAGAGGCATTAATATGGAAAAGAGGCATCTAGTTTTGCATGCAAGAGTGTGATCGATCGGTGAGAATATGGCAATAAGAATCTCAGTATATATTGACATTTATATTTGAACAATTGAAAAACACTTACTTTGAAAAGTTTCCGCAGTACCTGAGCAGGTCCACAAAAGCAACTCCAATGCAACCATCAACATTCAGGATCAGATTTGGTTTCTAGAAAAATTTTTCAATTATGAAGCTAAAGTTTAGAGTTTCAGAGAGAAAGGCTCTCTCTGAAGAGAAAAGGAATTGTCTTTGAATGGCTATGGATTAATGATAGGAACCCTTTTATATCTTCCCATGTTTTGTTTAACACTGGCTGTTTTATTCTAGCGACTTTTGACTACAGGCTGCGGAGAGCCAGTCTTTGCCAAATAAATGTAGTTTTCAATATAGGGGATTTTCATAGATATCTACTTTAAGTGGTTGAAAGGTTACATTTCTTTCAATAGATAATATTCTTAATCGAATTATGAAAAGTTTATTATGTCTAAATACACAGAGCTGGACACCCAAGTTGCTAGATGAAACGACGCGGAAAGGGACACATCTACCATAAAAAGTCAATTAAGCTCCTCATCTCTCGATTAGGCCCAATCTCAAATATACCAAAGTCTTAAACAACATATTGAATTATTTCAATATGCCCTGTACAACATCAAGTCCTTTTGCGTTTATTTTAATAACTACGAATTTGTCGAAATATGAGGGATATCTTCCAGTCATTTTGGCGAAAGTATCTTTACATTTTTAAAAAGAAAGGTTTTATTTACCTTGGCAGTTGTAATCTTTTCAACCTCAAGGGCAAAATTAAACAAAGGAGTTTGCGGGAAATTCTCCTTGATAAATGCCTTCATAATCTCTACTCTTGTGTCTGGGTTATTGATCTACAAATAGAAGCACAAAATGTTAAAAGTGAAATGTGAATAAAATGGCCAACCAAGCTAGCTTCCTTCTGGCTGTCCTTTATTTTGACGGCAACCTGAACCATGCTTTTGATTCTTACTCGCTTCTGAAATATTATTTATTGTGGCCGTCTCAAGGTAGTTACCGTGCTCAAATTGATACTGTACAATGCAATAAAGTACAACACAAAAATCACTATATCCGACAACAGAACACAAAACTATCAGAAAAAATCCCTTAATGATATTCGATGATACGATTCAATGAAATGGACAACGATCTAACAAGATTTTTACAAGAAGAAATATACGGTATGGGAAAATCTAAATGAGGATGTTATTTACATTCTAGACTAACTTTGAAAAAGCTCTATATATTTTTTTAAGAGTTATTCTGGCTGATGATAGGTTTAAATTGGCCTGATCGTATGGATTTTAATGAAACAAGAAGCTGGACTTAAAAATATGGAAAAAACTACCGTTCCTATTATTCCTAAAACAGCGAAAACCAAATTCTACTATTTCTTGAACATTAAGGCGTACAATAGTAAAGTTAATGTATTTTGCGAATCAATTTTCTCTGTTTGATTTTACCCTCCCAGTGGATTACCCCAAAAAGGCAGTCAACAGCAACTCATTAGACTGTGGCATAGCAGAACAACCCAGAAAACCATCGAAAAGATTTCACTAGAGTGGATCGATATCAAAATATTCTTGAAAGTGTCTCACCGATTTAACGCGATGTCCAATACCCATGATTAGCTGGCCTTTCTTTCTCATCTCGTTTACAAATTCCATCGGAGTCTTACCAGCATCAAAGGATTCGGAAAATTGCTTGGCCGCTGCATCAAGAGCGCCTCCGAATCTGTCTCCCTAAAGTTACAGAATCAGCATTGCCCATGAGAATGGGAAAGGCGACTACGCAACTAAATAATCTAGTTTTGCAAATACATGAAGGTATTATGCTCAAAATAAGCCAATACTAATGCAGCTTATACACATTTCTATCGATGGCTTTAGGGCCCTTTAGTTGTTCGAGAAGCAAGTAGCCCATTTTCTATATGCTAAAGCTTTGTGTGAGGACTGCTCCGAAGACCCCCTTTTAACCATATTACAAGAACTGACTTACCCCCGAGAAGAGGACTTTTAGTTAGTTAGAGAGAGGGACTGTTCGAATCACGTTGAGGAGTTGTAAAGAGTATTTGGTTTTTATAAAGGTTTGCGTTGGAAAACTATGTCGTGTTTTGTGTGTTTATTACTTGAAGCTAATTGATTAGCACTCGAACCGGGTCACATTTGCAAGTACTCCTAGATTGGCTTCTGATACTTTCTTAAAACCTGATTTGGGGTATACACTTACTATATACAGTTAAGACAAATACACGTTCTTCTTTTTGACCTAACAGCCTACAGATGCGTTATGAAGATATGAATACGTACGATTGTTAGGAGCCCAGAGCAGAGAGATGACATCAAGTCTTTGCCGGCTCGTGCAGTGACGATTGTGTTATGGGCCCCAGAGACAGCTGAAAGAAAATAAATTTACTCAAGTGACGTAGGTTACAACTACTATGGCTCACACATTGGCTTCTGCTGGTGAATATCTTCTCGATTTCTACATAAAAAGTACACCTTAATACCTGAAAGATGAGCTCAGTTCGAAAATCAAACAGTTGAAAATCAAAAGAATCTTTATCTTTGATAAATCCTTGAAATACAACTGCCCTTTCTTACACCTCAAATAATCTATAAACCAAGTCCCTAAAACTGTCTTTGAGGCTTGGCAAAACATCAAAAGCGATTACAAAAGCCAGAAGCTTAAAAAGCTACCTAACATAATGAAGTGCTTGCAGTAGTCCGTCAGCCCGGAATATTTGCATTTACAGCGCTGAATTCATAAAAGGTATCAAGCATACCTGGGCCATGGTCAGCTGTCAGCATGATGCACATTTCGATAAATTCACAAGCATAATGGGGCAGCCTATGGCGAAGAAATGAATTAATACAACTGACAGAAAACTGAAATAACAAAAATACTAGGAGTCTTAACAAAATATTGTGATAATGAAAGTAATTTTTTTTCGTTGTCATAAAAGTTATTGTGCAACAACTGGTTCGATTGATACACAGAGCAAATTTAATAATCGAGGCTTATAAGGTGATTGACTGAGATGACTGAGATTATAAGATGATTGGTCAAAATAAAACAAATCAGAAGTAGCCTCTTGCCCTTTGGCGGAAGTCGATTTGGTCTTCCACGCACTTTGCTACATTTTGGTAATAATCAAATGCCATGATTTCGCTCTTTATGGTATCGTCCCCATAGAGTAGTACAGTGATTAGGGTAGTATAGTCGAATGTAAAATTGTATTGTAATATGAGCTGCATGGAAAGGTCTATAAAAATGAGCTTCAGGGCTGGATTGAAAAGATACTCGTGCCAGGCGAAGACTTTGAAGCTGGTTTTCAAATCAACGGGTCAAATGAATGCACCAAAAAATGGAAATCTTAAATCATTTAAAGACTGATAAAGGAATGGATTCATACTTTCGCTGAAACCACAACAATCCAAGGGTGCCGCCAATGCCCATCCTTTCCTGGTAATAAACAAAGACAACAACATGATTCAGAAAAATACAAAATGCACAAGATTATTGTGTTACAAACTGATGTCGGAAGGTCGGAAGGACTTGAACACGACTGAGGTCGGAAGGACTCCCATGTACCTTCAAGATGTCCTGACTCAATCACTGCGTCCCCCATCAAGAAAGCTACCAAAATACCTAACAAAAGACACCTGATGCAACGTCTTTTTTAAGCCACTCTAGTGACAAGGCAGGAAGCCTGGAAATAACCTATGCAGCAACTCACAAACCTTGAGTAATTGGTGAACTGAAATAAGCCCTTCACATTTGAAATGCTTTTTCTCAAGAATGTAAAAAAATTCATACAGTCTTACAGAGCCTTGCACAACATTGCTGCCTAAATGTTGACGTGGACGCTAGAAACTTGGTTGAGCCTTGAACAAAGTCGAATGAAACAGCATTTCGTCTCACCTTGAAAACGTCATGAATAGGTACGCCTGCATACAGAAGCTCTTGACCTCTTTCGTCGCAAATGGTTGAGATAAATGAGGATGGCTTTCGTATCAAACCAAGCTCCTGTCAAGAAAAAGAAATTCATTTAAAGCGAATCGTGGTTTTGCTCGTGGACTTATTTTACAAAAGCAAAACACAGAATATTCAGTTGACTGAAAGTGAATTGGAAAGAACCACAAAAAGATCCAATTCTTCGAGCTCACACAATACCTAAAACCAAAACTTTCATGTGTGAGTTATCATCAATGCATTGCCAAATTTACCACTTCTTGGAAGAATGTTTACTATAGTTGATCGACGGCAGAGGAGTCCAGGGGAGATTGTTGCGAAAAACAAAAACTAAGAAAGATAAGGTAAGCTGCACTCTTCCTTATATAACTAAATAAAGATTATACCTGCGCCCAGTTGTAGTCCATAGGGACAGTCGGGGGTCTCTTCTCTGGCTTGACGACGATCTTTCCATCAGCAACGAGTTTTTTGAAAACGTTGCTAAAAGATAAAGATAAATTGTATTACTGATCTTTGCTTGCTGCACTCGATGAGTAAATGAGAGTGAAAGGAACTGTTGACTTGACACAAGATAGGGGAAAAGGTCGCAAGGGATAAAATCGCTAGGAGGTAAGATCGCTAGGGGATTAGGTCGCTAGGGGATAAGGTCGCTAGGGGATAAGGTCACTAGGGGATAAGGTCGATCACAGCCCCACGTTACTGATTAAGAACGTATAACTAAAGATAAAGAGTGCTGACATACTAGAAAAAGCGAGCAAACCGTACATACGTTAAAATCATAAAGTAGAGAAAGGGTCGTATTAAAATCAGTTTATTCTCACGAAGACCTTCAGGTACTAAGGGTTATAAGCATAAGACTCACTTGATTACGATGCCAAGGTCATCAAATGTTTTTGGAACATGGGCTCCAGCTTCTCCCAGAGCCTAAAAGGAGATCAACAGGCAAGTAAAGTAACATGACCAACCTGAAGCAAGAGTAAATATGGGTGCGAAGCTGCAAGATGCAAACAGGTATTAACTTGAACGAGGCTCTTAATCACAAACGAGATCTTAGAGATAATAATAATAATAATAATAATAATAATAATGGATCATGACCAGTATCTCCACAGGGTGGCTCTTCATCTGGTCGTTAAATACTACGCGATGTAAAAGTTGCTATATGAAAAGTAAAGATTAAAATAGTTTAAATACCATAAAATGTAAATTGGAATTAAAAGTTAGGTTCTTCTCTTTATGATTCAAACTAAAAGTCTCTTTTTTGCTTCAGTAAGAAAATATTCTTTAGATTTTGATGAGAATTTAGCTTTCGTTTCTGAATTTCTTATCGCATTTGGCATCTTGTTAAAAATTTCAGCTGCACTGTTCCTCAAAATTTCAGAATTTGTTGTAGTTGCAATTTGTGGTGCAGAGTTTGATCTTAGATGTTTACTGTTTTCTTTAAATGATATGTCAATATATGCTGGTTTGTTATGATCTGTTATATAATTAAAAGCCAGCTTCACAAGGTGCCATTCTCGTCTCTCTTTCATAGGTAACCAGCCTAATGATATGATATCCTTTTCTTCAACGCAACAGCCTAGAACAAAACTTGCAGCTGCATTCTCCACCTGTTGTAGTCGTTTTTTAAGTTTTAATGAAAGAGGCTGAAATACGACATCGGCATAATCCATTTTGGATAATATTAGCAACTCAGCAACTTGCTTTTTCAGTTTTAGTGCTTTTTCAGAGGTAATGAAATTTGTATAAAAAGATAATGAAAATCTCAAATAATTTAGATTTCTTGAAGCTCTTAGCAAGAAAGCAGGTTTCAAACACTACTAAATGAGGTTGCGTTGTTGCACACAGCGCTGTCTACACGTGGAAGCTATTTCAATAGATCGAATCCTATAGAAAAAGCTTTGTACAAAGAAACAAACTTCTGACCTTGTTTTTGGCTCTTGCAGTTTCCGCTTCGGCGTTGGCACAGGCATTGGCATGTCCAAATTGAACCTGTATCGACAAATGACTCGAATTAGACAACTTGTTAAGATTTTGTTTCGATGAAAAACAAGAAAATCTTGAACTTTTTCAAAACATAACGCTCAAACAAAGATGATTGTTGTCCACACCAAAATAAACATCTCTTCATACTTCTTGCATCCTCTTCGACCTTATTCGTGCAGTGCTCAAGTTAAACTGACAAAGTGCCTTCATAGCTCTACTTTGATACTCCTGCTCTTCAGACATCACTGAATAAAGCTGGTGAACATGCAACTTAAAGGCAGAAAAATCAAGGGAAGAATACCTCACTGGTGAACATGTCTGCGCATGTTCCAAGAACCCAAGCAACAACAGGCTTTGTAACTCGTCCATCTTTGATCGCATTGCATATTTCGTATTCATCGACGCCACCAACCTGAATGGAATCGAAAGAGCTTTAAGACGGGCCAACACCCACCAACATAAAAAAATTTCTACAAGATAATAAAATTATTATGATATGTGTCAGCATATGAGAATCCAAAATACAATCACAATAGCTTCAAGTTTCATAGTATTTAGAATATATAAAAGTATTGTCATCTTTCTTTCTACGAAAGTCTTATAGAAACTTCATTAAAAAGAAAAGTCTTGTTCAGAAGGTACTTTTGACTCGCTGCCTGCTCACCTCTCCAAGGAGAACAATCATTTTAACATCCGGATTTTCTTCATATCTAATGACGTGTTCAATAAAAGTAGATCCAGGGTACCTTGAATTGAGAAGAGAAAAAATCACTACCAATTATTAACCAGGACATTCAATCGGCATAAGCAATTCGGTCAGGGCGGAGATTTGTGGCTGTGACCCCAAGTGTGTGTGCGATCAGCTCTAGATGTGAATTGAACGACTTTTACCTATCAGTTACATCGTGTGATTAAAATTCTACCGTTGGCAGGAACTATAACCTTTGCAGACCGTTAGTCTCGATCGTTTGGGAAATACAACAAGATTTGAGTTAAGCAAGGAAAAACAGAAGCATTTTAAAAGCAAAGTAAAAACAATGATGGCATAAGGAATTATAGAGATAAAAAACTATGAGTAGAATCTATGAGTGCGTTTTTGCTTTCTCTTCAGTAAAACAAACGTATGTGATTTACCTATCGCCTCCGATCGCAACACCTTCACAAACGCCATCAGTATTTCTTGCCATTATGTTATTAAGTTCATTGGATAATCCGCCAGACCGCGACACATAGCCAACACTACGAGAAAATATGGGAGAAACTCAGTTACGGAATATGGGGAAATGCAAGTAAGGAAAGATGAGAAAAACTTAAGGAAAGATAGGAAAACTTGAATAAGAAAAATAGGGTTTCCTTGACAAGGGAAAGAGCAGAAAATTCTTTTTCTTCATTTAGTTATATACTAAATCGACTTGCACGTAGCAATTTAGTTCAAGTTCGTGCTACACAAGCTTCAAGATTAAATCGATTTAAGTCGTAAAGAATTTGAGTTTTCTTTAGTTGTTATCACTAAATTCAGTATCTATATTTGAATTGTATTGACTCCGGCAAATGCCAAATGAAAGAATATGGCAAGATGAAGTAGGTTGTCCTCTAAAATAAATGGTAACGTATTTTTAAAATAGAATGTACTCATGGCTTGCTATATGACATCGAATATCTATTTTAACAAAATACTAAAACGCGGACTCAATATGGCATTTCTATTATTTAAAAACGGTAATATATAGAGAAAGGTAAGATATACCTTCCAGGTCTGTAAAGTTTCGAGGCTAGTATATTGTCCAGCATTCCACCGGTGTTGCCAATCTTGAAGCATCCTGGCTTGATACCACCCACCTGAGGGAAACAACAGGAATAATACCATTCAGTAATGAATTGAGAAATCTAAGAATCGAGACAATCACAAATTCATAATACAAAGTAGATATGTGGTATTTGATTGAAAAGGGTTGGTAGTAAATCTAGTTTGGGATGGCATCAAGACTTCAGTTTAATTATCAACGTGATATGACATTTATCGCAAGATATGTATTGAAACACGAAATTAAAAAAACGAATAGATCATATTTTTTGCCGTAAACTACAATAGGTAGTTAAAAAAATATGCTAGGTCACTTTAAAAAGCAATTACTTAACAGCGTCAGGTAACACAGGAAGAAAATGCTTGCTTTTACCGTGGCTGGACCAATTATGGTTACTCCTTTTTCTTTCGCAATTTTGTTCAGTTTTTGAGTTAGTCTTTCAGGAATACCTTCGGCAATGATTGCTATACATCGTATCTTAAAAACGAAAAAATTAAATTTTTTGTAATAATCACAATCCGTCATAAAAATGTCATGCAACAAACACTAGTATTTCTGAGACGAAGAAAAACGTCAATGTAAGTAGCTTGAAAGAAAACTTTGTTATATTGAATTTGCTGCTATCTAATCGATGCTGGTTCAGAGAAGCGCAATTAAATATCTGTAACAATGAAAATTTGTGAATTAAAAACGGCCAGTGAATGATTTAAACAAATTTACAAGTTTGATAACTTTGGCAAAACTTGAAATCGAGCAATCGCCTTGTCTGGAAATGTGCGTTGAGTCCATTCAAATAAAAGTTTTATGTCATTCCCACAAATTAATTAAATTCTTTTCAAGGGGAAGGTGCTTGTGAGAATAAGAACATGCTTCTAGAACGTGTTTTCGCAACCTTACTGGTTCAAATCGAATGGGATTCCCAGGTTGGTGATTTCTTTTGTACCCAATCAAGATTTGATTTCTTCGCTATATAAATGCGTAATTCCAAATAAAGAAGATCATTTTATGAGGTAATTAAGAGAAAGAAGTAACTGGTTACCTGGGGAAAGCCCAAAGCCTCGACAGTGCTTTCATAAGCTGAGCGGAGGGATGCAAAGCTGACCATCACTTGGGCGTCCGGGTGTCTTCTCATCGCTTCTGACATGTCTTTGTAGACTGCAAAAAGCCCGTTTATAAGAACTTAGCAGAGGGGTCAATACGAGGGAAATGTTTAATGCCGAATAAACAACGTAAATGTAAATTAATTACGAACAGTGCAAAATCTCCCTTCGATACTTGCCTGGTATCATTATCTCCTTGTGACCATAGTAAAACTTCTGCTTGTGGTTTCCACTTAAGAGGAAAATATGTGTCAATCGAATAAATGTTACAAATAAATAAAAAATTACAGTCAAGGCTAAACATTTAGGGTCACCATAGGTAGCGAGAGAACATAGTACAAATTTTGAAAAATGCTGTTAAAAATAACACACATATGTTGTTAAATTTTTTGCAGCCTTATTAGACAACAACAATTTACAATGCTTTTAAGGTAAAATGGCCATGTGTAAAAGTAAAAATATACGAAGAAATCATCAATAAAGCAAGGCATGAAGCGGTGTACATACCTGAATGGGTAAACGCTGGCAACAACAGAGGGGGATTCTCTAGAGCAAACATAATCGAAATCTAGCATACCCTAGAATAAAGAAACGTTTTCTTGCAAAAGTTGAACGAGGCATCAGGAAAGCAACAAAAAGGCGATCAAAGAAACAAAAAACAGCATTTGATCGACGGCTAGCATAACCCTCTAAATTCCATCAGTAACCTTGTGAACAGGTGCAAATGAAAGTTCGATCGAGCCTATTTGTCACTTCATATTTGCCCTACAGCTACACGTTTTCCAGGAAATCAATTCAAACTGAAACAGAAAACATGGGACAGAGCTTCGATCAGGAGACTGAATCCGAAGAATTTAAGAAACGGGAATCATTTTCTATCAATGACATCTAGGAAAGTTTACGAAAGTTAAAACGAATGCCATCTTGGTCATCAACTGGCGGCACATGTAGCAAGATGTTTGTTAAGGGCAAGGGCAAGGTGCAGTTTCAGCATACCTGAACAGCTCTTGGTTGCATTCCCCAAATTATTGCCTTTGTGTTATTGTTGAAAATTTCTTTCGCCGCTTCTTTGCCATTTTCGACCATGATAAAGTCCGTACTATCAACACAGGTCATGGCTTCATCGCTATCGATACGAGGCCGCTTGGATGATTTCTCAGGTGACTTTCCATGCTAAAAGTAAAATTTAATGAAGTGAGACAATTGATGGTCAAGCGCTGAGGTACTTTGAACTTCAGCGATATGAAACAACAATGGGGGCATTATTATTAACAAACTTCAATCTCTATCTATTTATAACGAAAATATGGGGACAAACTTTAAAAATATGGGGACATTATTATTAACAAATTATTATTAACAAACTTCAATCGTACAGTCTCAGGCAGTTACAAGATACTTTTGTAGGAAATTGCAATATTTTCTTCTCCAAAGGCACCTTGTAATTAGGGGTTTATTGAAACGTATAAATAACTTGAGTTTCGTCTAGTACAACACTAACGTCTAGCACAACATTAGGTTGACATGAATTTTTTATGACTTTTCTTAATTAATTACCATTTATATATTGTAAATAATTCAATTTTTAAAACAAAAAAAGTAGTTTTCAAGCGACCAGGTGAAGAGCCACTCTGTGGAGAAACTGGTCATGATTTCATTATTTTGTATAAATTTTTTTAAAAGCTCTTTGCAGTTCGTACAAGTGCGTTAAAATTATCAACCTCTCAATCAGTTCTCTTGGCAACTTTGAGCAATCATGTTCTACTTTTACAGATATGCTGGACGATCTTGCTGTTGAAAATTTCTATCGTTGTTACATCTATCTTGGTTTGTCAAAGGTCATAGTTCGATGCACCTACTTTATATTCTGCTGTAGAAACAAACCTTGGCCTAACCCAGAGCTTCTTTCATCTAGTATTCTATCTCCACCTATACCACCATCACTACAATCTTTATTGCCATTAACAACATCATCACCACTTTTGTCATCCTCATCTGCTATGTCTTTCCAAATGAAATGACAACTGGCTTAAAAAATTTACTTACTGACGATTTTTGTTAATATAAATTAAACATGAAGATCATAGCAAACGCTCCATTCCCATCAAGACACAAAACACATAACCGAACCTAAAGACACATAGTCCTTGGAGTGTGAAATAGACAAGGCACTTTTTTGGTAAATTATGGCTCAACTGATAAACACAAACCTCGGCCGCTTTGAAGAACATATTTGCAGCGTCATTTGAATTGAAAGCTTCTTGGTCAGGGATTTTGGTTTTGCCCAGCGCCATGCCAACAATGGCAGTCATATGGGTTTCAGTTCCAAATACATGGACAGGGACACCTAGAGACATTCCTGTGCAAAAAACAGTACCCGGATAAAAGCATTGTTTAGGCCATGACACTTTACAAAATCAATATAAGTCAGATCATCGTCATATTTTATTGCGTTTAAAAGCATTGATATAGCTATGATTTGGCTAGTCTCGTTCCCAGTTAATAGTCTCGTTACAGCTAGTTCCTTGCATCCAGTTGTTAAGATCATACAGTACAATTTTCACCAAATATAGCTTTGTACGAATCATTCCTTCCAAAAAAATTTTTTATAGCTTGGTACGATTGAGATTTTACTTATAATATATGTTTTATAATCCAAAACTTTCGCTGACAAATTGTTAGACATGTGGAATCATCACAAATGATGCCGAAACAGTCATGGCCTTGTGAACACTAACCGTGTGAAGAGGTCATAGCACTCTTAGACGAAGCATGTCAAGATCTTAGACTTCACCCAGCACTTTGGTGAATAAAGTTCTATATCATTGTCAATTTATTTACAACAAAGATGTGATATAACTGGTTTGATATAAGAATTCCAGTATAATATATAATGAAATTTAAAAGTCTGTTTTCTACTTGAGAGCGGCTTCTATTCAAAATAATACGGCAGACAAAAACGAAAAGTCGAACTTGAGACCTTCCAGCACTTACCCAGTTCCCTCATAATTCGTAGGCCCTCTTGATAGTTAGGCCCACCACGCCTGACAAAAATTGATACATTGTGTTCTATGAGTTGTTGCTGAAATAACTGCAAGGCTTTGACAATACCCTACGATTTGAGAAATCGTAAGATAAAATGGAGGAAAACATAATTTATATCGCAAAGAAAAACATAATCTTTGCACAAATTCTCGTCACTCTCATCAGGCCACGCTTTTATAAAAGAATACCACATTCTGTCTTAAATTACGAAAAGAATTTAGCTCTTTTAGGGAACAGCGATTTGGCATCATTTTTCCCTTTTGGTTAAAATAAAAACAGCTGGAAGATCTTATGTTCCTTCAGGGAAGGAATTTTCTCATCCATTTGCAAAATTTACAATAAGAGCCGCTAAATTTAGATTTACTTAACTAGAACGAGTAAGGGTTTAGTCTTCTGAAATTGGTTATTACTAAAATGATGCTTGAAGTGAAACCCTGATGTTCAAAACGACTTGAGATTTAATGATCCTAATCATATGTTTCATTTACGGATAAACATTTTCCCGTAATGGAAGAAGTAAATGATAAAATCAGTAGATTTACTTAAGGAAGAGGCTTGTGCAGATGCTAGAACATATAGTGTTGGTTTTTAGACACTTCCTTTTTCTAAATAGGTGTGTTTCCACCTGTGGGGAAGCTATTCAATATAATTGCTTGAATTATTCATGATAATGACTTTCCAAAGTAGCAAGGGCGCCATTCAATGAAGTGACAAAAAATTGATGGAATACAAAACAGAGTTACTCGAATATTAAACCTTTTCGGCGGCAAACGGAAAGTCTTTTCAGAGAAAAGTGAAGCAAAAAGGTAAACAAAGATCCTTATTCAAAGTTCAGCTAGTATACAACGGTAATTGATCCTCGCGAGAACATCGTTAGGTATGCCTCTGTCTGTGTACAGTCTCGCAAAAAATAATGCCCTGTTTTCTTTTGAAAGCTAAACATTTTCTGGTAGAAAAAACCGACAATACTAGTTGTAAAGTTACGTTGATCAACAAATATCTGATAGGAATCAATTAGTCGCCAGGGAAGCACTCAAAAATACAAAAAAATTTCAAAAATATAACGCCAAGACTCTGGCAGTTATTGCAGCAATAAAGCCATGCCATTACAATGCTTTATACATCGCTGAAAGATTCCACTAGCTATTTTAGTGAATAAATTTGTAGCTATAAACATCAATGTGTTTTGAAGGACAAAATATACAAAAACAAACCGAGAAAGTCGCAGAGACATTTGTAAAGTTTGCGATTCCGCCACCAATAATGAGCACTTTGCCTGATAAAGAGAAATTTCCGCGGGTTAACTCAGTTTGCGTTGGTATCTAAAATCAGAATCTATGTACATTATAAATAGGATAATTGTTTCCTAACTTGAAGCTTATTAGAGCTTTGGTGCTGATCTACACAGATTTACTTCTAATATTGTTTCAAATTGTGAAAACGACAACTTTCTGTAAAAATTAAGATGAAATCAAAAGGCAGAAGCACCCTGTGATCAATATGAAATCATAGCCATATCACCCCACGAGGAATTCAAGAATGATATATCTAGAGGAATGGACAAAGCTTAGGTCGTCAATCCACTTTACCTTCAATGCACGTTACAATTTCCTTATTGATAAATTGACTGCATAAATATGTCATTGGCCTAGAGACATGACAAAATCAGCACGAAAACTGCAAACTTTAAAGCAGGAACATTATCTGTCTAGAAATAGGTACTTGAAAGGTTTAATACATTCTATGGTGACTTAGCATTGATGCATTCGGGAAAAAACTCCATAAATGGTGAAATAAAGGCCTCTTCGAAAAAGGTATTAATTACCATTTGGCAACGGGGTGCCATCTGTCATAAGCTTTAAAATGGTTTTTGCATACTGAAACGTTTGTGATTCAGTTGGTGCTCCTGAATACTCGCCGTAATTTGCCAGCTCTGCAGCGCCTCCTAACTCGCATATTGTATCACTACAAGGGTAAAAAAAGGTTTTAAATCGCTTCATTAATAAGAAGATTGGTCAATCACACTATCAAAAATATGAATCAGTGCTTTGTCCATTTAGAATGGCATCAAGGACCATAATTACGATGTATAAAAACAAATGGTACACTGCACAGTGGGATTACCAACATAATACTTTTAAAACAATAATTGTACTAATATTCTGCCAGTTCATCTGGAGGGTGGGTAGTTCATTCGAAAATTTGCAGGTTTTGCGCTGGGGTAGGTGATGCCTTTGAGGTGGAGCAATTGTAAAATTGTCAATAAATATGGACGAATAGACACTAACTTGTATTATTAAAAACAATATAACTATTCAAGCTACTCTGGGGGATAATCTACAAAAAGCATGAAAATTTGATGAGTGGCTGCAGGCATCTGAAAACTAACATGGAAGAAGACAAATGAAAATTACCTATAAACAACTGAGGCTCCACCACCAGCAACCATTGTCCATATTCTACCTTTTCTGTTCAATACAGTTAACTTCAGAGATGCACCACTCTTGGCATCAAGTTCTGCAATATATTGTTCCTAGAATGGTAGACCAAAAATTAAATTCATGCTTCAAAGTTGATCCCAGAATAGTTGAAAAAGTTTTCAGTACGTTATGATGATCTAGTGCATTCTTGAAAGCATATTTTAGAAATAATTGCAAGCGGAGTCAAAGCCCCTAGTTCCATTGCTCCTTCAAACAATGAAGGAATTAACAGCCTCTACTAAAAGCTACAAAAATGTCATCAAAATAATGTGAAGATTGTGGTAAGAAAACTAAAACTGTATAAAGTTGTTATCAGAAGTAGCGTGCGACAGTTATACCTCTGGATAAGCTTCTCTGCCAAATGGAGGAGGGAAGCAGATTTTTCCCCACTTGGTACTGCAAATATATTCAGCTGCTTGATCAAGTTTAGCAGCAACATCTAACACATGAATACCATCTTGATTTACAACCAATGGGTTAATCTCCAGGTATGTGAAATGCAGACTGACATACAAGTCAAAGAGTTCCTGGATGAAGACACCTAGATTTGATCTTAACCCATCTGCAATGTTGAACAGCAGAGTTTTTTCAATCTGAGCAATGGATACAGATTCTCCAATCCCAACAACAAGCCGGTTAGCCTAGAATATCAAAGTGGCATTTAATTTGTTATAAGAGCAAGGATTATAGGTTTCTCACAACACTCACAAAAAATTTTGGTAAAGAAAAATCGTTTAAAGAATCAAGTTACAAGCAATAAAACTATTGACTCATTGCTCATATTAATGAAACTATCTAGAGGTCAACCAACTGAAGCCCTGTTCGTTCTAGCTGCTTAAGTTACAAAATTAGAGCATCTGCAAATTGATCAAATGTTGTTTTCCTTAGCTTCTCTATGTTGTGGCCGAAAAAGGGGTTTTATGCAAATTTTATTTCATCTTTCCAAATTGTGGTATGCTAACTTGTGTTTTAGTTTTCGAATAAATATAATCTTTATGTCATATCAAGATAAGAGAAGTCAAAGTAAAAGACATTATAATATGGTTATAAATGAATATGATATAACTGGGGTATTATATTAGAGTGCTGCATACACATTTTGCTTGATGCATACACACCAGCATGTTACATCTGAAAGACACTAAGTTAGTATGCTACAAAAGGATTTCGCTGTTGTACCAATGAAACTGATTGAGCATTTCAGCATGTTTAATGGTACTGTAATGACTGTTCATGCATGCTTTTTGAAACATTCATTGTGAGAACATTAACTTCAAAAAATGCCAACATTTATTTTCTTTTGGGTAATCATTTGCACTACAAGGAACTAAATCTATTTGGAAATTTATGAAGAAGAAACAGAAATAGCATGCAGAAACATTGCTGGACAAGGTCCTATTTCTTGTAAATAAAGTATATCAATGCACTGAGAAATGAATACAACAACATATCTCTAAAAGGCTATTAAGCAAAAGACACCAACCTTACTATCTACATCTCCCACATCTACTCCACCTTCATGATGAAACAAAATAACATCTGCACCCCTTTGTGTAAAAATACAGACATAGTATTCTTGTTTCTAAAAATAAATTTGATATTGTCATTGAAATGAGTATACATAATACTATTAAATACAGAAAACACATCCTGCCTGTCCTTAAACTCAACAGAGGTCCTTTATAAACAATGCAATAGATTGGTTCTATAAATTGGTTCTACCAAGAATGAACAAAACTGGTAGTTAGTTTTGCTATGAGAAGTCAAGGTTTGGAAAATTGCAAGGTTTGGAAAAGAAACCAAAATCAAAAGAGGACCTTGCTTGATCTATGAAAAATTCACAAAATTTTGCCATGGTTTTTTTGTGAATTGTTGACTTTCAAACAACTGTTGTCCTGCCACCGATGATATGATCTATACGATGGATATGCGGCCTGGTCAAAGATAATTAAAAGCAATCTAAGGTCATAAATTGTTACACTGTATGCATACCTGCTCATGAGCAATGAATGGCTCAACAATAAAATTCTTCAGCTTTCCAGTTGCTTTTCCAATCTTGAAGATAGATAAGATGTCAAATGGGTTAGTTTTCTAAACACGAATTTCCTTATACAAATGGTCTAGGATAAAGCTTTTGCAGATCTAAAAGAAGATGCTAAAAAGATGTGTGATTGATCTAAGATCCACCAAAAGTACTTCAACTGGACTTGAACAGTCTGATAAATGATTTTTTATAAGGATTCAATTTCTTTCAATATCATACTTAGCACTAGATGACATACCATTATATCTTTCCCTTGATGTTCAGCTAGCCATTGTTTAACATCAGACCAATTCGCATTTATTTTAACCAGTCCATGTTTTCCTCTTCTTTTTATCAACTGATCTGGCTTTACAACTAGTTTCTAAAAAAGGAATCTAAATTATCTCTGAACATTTTAAGTGAGAGAGAAACCTTTAACTTTACATTTAAGCCATGACAGGCCATCAAAATACAGAAGAGGTTTTTAGATTTTTATATTAACAAGAATAATACTTTAAACCAAATGACACAAATCTTAATATGACACAAAAGTTCTAAAATATTTATTTCTAGTTGGAATCAAAACCGTCTTTTCACAAAAACTGATAATAAACATAGCTGCCGAATTGGAATTTTGAGTCTGTCCCTAAAATGCTAGCTACATCTACACATGTAAGTCAGTAATAGCGCTAAGGCATCACAATGGTTGAAGTGGCATTATTGGCAGTTGCATGAGTTTGAGGATCCAAACTGCACCAAAGATATTTTCATAACTTATAAGTGAAAACGGAAGTCTGAAGTCACGTTTTACTGTGATTCCAATAGCAGCTTGCACCTCCAAAATTCTAAACTGGTCCCATCTACACATCGCCAGCCTAGATTCGCTTGGTTTTCCAGCAGAGACATCACTTCAGCAAAATTAAATTTCGTTTCGCACTTAGAAATTCCTTTGGGCACTTAAAAGATCCATCACGATGCCCAATAATGTAACCATTATTCGTGCATAAAAATATAGTAAATAATGATTGAAATAGAAAGAGGAAGTTTTTTGTAACGACACTAATAAGTCTGATTTGGAGTACGGGCAGCAAATCAAGATTGTTTCTGTCAAACAATCTAGTATAATTTTGAAAAAAAATTGCTAAACATACTTTGCAAATGATATAATTTGATCTTTGTTAAAAAATTTCTTTGTTTTTCAAGGAAAAAGTAGGCATGTACAAAGACAAACCTGATTTGCAAGCCAGTCATTTGTGCTCTCCTCCGTTAAAAGATTAGACTTTTCATTGACGCTGAGCAAGTTATTGCGAGCAAGGTGCTTGGTTTTGCAGAAACGGTATATCAGCGACTTTGCATCAGCTTCGTAAATTGCTTTTGCGGCCATTCTTTCTGTCTTTGAAAGATGCACATGCAATTTGGCAGATTTTCATTCTCGAAGTTGTTGATGTGTAAGCCTCTGAATCGCGAATCAGCCTCGATTCAAGAATTGATGGAACGATGTTCTGAAGTTCAGATATGTGTCTGTGGTTGCTAGGTGGCTTTCAGTTTAATTTTCAGTTCGTATATATAAAATTCAACCGCATCATGAGACGAAAAAGGAGCATAAAGACAGCATAGAATTAAACTGATTTCAAAAGTAAAGAGATATTCAAGAAAAATTCAGTTCAAGTATTGATAATTTCCGCAACTGTATTAGACAAAAGGACCTTGCGGCCTTACTTATAGGGCCTCTCCAGCCAAATTTTGCATTTGCATTTTATTGGCTTATCTAAAGGAGTTGAACCTGCTGATCACGAATTTGTTATTTGTTTTTCGATATTTTTTACAGTTTGTGAGATATAAGCTCTTGTATTTCGATAATTGAATTGAATTAACCGACAAGAAGTTTTATAATAATAATAATATGATATAATGAGGGATAAACTCAAACTCAAAATCTTTATCAGCAAAAACAAATGTTAATTACAATATACCAAGAATTAAAAATTAGAATACAAAAGATAGCATTTTCAAAAATTTGGTTAATTAAGTACATCAGATAAATTGGTTTTGTTACGCTGAAGGACAAACGAGAAAAACTCGCGAGGAGCTATCGAGTCATATGTCCTAGTGACGTATTTAAACTCAAGATTATAATTTCCATTTCAGTTTGAAGTAGTGTATAACAGTAAGAGTAAACAATTAAGGATGTAAGAGTATAGAGAAAAAAAATATATACATATATAAAGGCGATAGGCTGGTAAATTTCGCTGGTTAGGGATATGTTTAAAAAATGTAGAACGAATTCTTATGGCTTAGGAGTTCTGTAAAAGGTATAGTTTCATCATTTTTTTAAAGGCATTTTTGTTGCGGATATTCTTTAGTTCAATTGGCAAGGAGTTCCAATGCTTAACTCCATCAAATGTCAGAAAGCTTTTTTTGAAGTTTGTAAAGATAGAGGGAAGAGAAAAACCAAGATCGGACGATTGTCTCGTATTATAGCGATGTAATTTACTAGTTTTGATGAATTCCTTTTGAAGAAAGTTACTGGTTGATTTGAAACTAGATGATTTTTCTGGTTGATTTGAAACATAAATTTCGCTGTTTCGAGCTTGTATAGATTTTCTAGGTTTAATAACTTGAAACGTTTAAAGATTGGCTCTGTGTGAGCTGTGTAAGAAGCAAAATCGATTACTCTGACAGCTTTACAAAGGCTTTTTTTTAACAGTTCAAGAGTAGTTTTATTGGCACAACCCCAGTTAATAAGTCCATAAAGAACACGAGATTGAATAAAAGAGTTGTATAGTGTTACGAGGGCGCTTTTTGGTACAAGATGTCTTGACTTGTAAAGGATATCAATACTTTTAGATATTTTAGTATTTAATTGATTTATGTAGTGTTTCCAGTTGAGTTTTTCATCAATTAATACACCAAGGGATTTTGAGAACGTTTCTTGTTTTAAATTTTCGTCATTTATTTATAGGTTTATAGTTCTATTAGTATTATGAGGTTGTACTATAAAAAAGTTGGGTTTAGCCACATTAAGTGATAACTTATTAGCTAAGAGCATGGACACATTCCGACCCGCAGACTTAGAATGATTGTAAACATTTGATATTCTTCGATCCTAAAAAGCTCCTGCTGTAGATTTAGATGCAGTTATCAACGCGTGACCATGACTTCTTCACGATTCGGTGGAAGATATACGAAATTCATGGCGAACGAGAGCCGCACATTGTGACGTCAGAATGCCACCAAACTGATTCGGCTTTTGTCGTTTTCTTCTCGGAAAGGTGCAACTAATTGAAATTTCGCAAAAACAACGACTTTGCCATAATACACGCACCAAATGCTAACTTTTTAGTCAATAAAAAAATATTTTTTTGGCTCGAGAGGCCCTTTAAAGACAACTCATGCAATGAACATTGTAGGCTCTGTAACTTTTCTTGAAATTTTCACCTTAACATTTTACATTTTATATAATGAATAATGTAATATATAATAAATTGTATGTAAATAGTGTCCCAAAATAGCAGAAATGCTAAATCACTTTGACATTGAAACAAAGTTATTATTATTATTATTGCGTTCAATGTGTAATAAAAGGACTGAATCAATGGCACATTTAATGAATTCCTACAGAAAAAACAAAGATTTATACTCGCGAAGGCACGATCGGGTCGTAGAATTCTTATGCCAAAAAATCCAAAAAAAGAATTCAACATCAACGTTATTTGTCAACAAAATGGTAGAAACAGCTTTTCCACACATCAGAAATGCATTGCGACAGCTAAACCGAAGGAAGCCTGATATACTAGAGATGAAAATGAACAAGAGAGAATGTGAAATTGTTGAAGTCACTGTCTGCTTTGATTTGTATATGGATACATAGTACCGAGAAAAAGAAAATAAGTATCAACCACTGATAATGAATGAAAATGGAATTGCAACAAGAATCAGTGTCATGTGTTTCGGACCACTTGGGACCGTACATAAGGATGTGAGGGGAAACTTGAAAAGGCTAGGACTATCAGGGGAAGAGGCAAAAGAAACAATGAAGTGGTGCATTGTATCAAACATGATTTGTGGTAGCATCGTATGGCGAAATAGGTGCAAAAAGTGCATGGACAGTAGGACTGCTAATTTCTGGTGATGTGCAAGGAACATATTTGGCTATAAGACGTTTACAGTTTGTTCTTAACTTGTCAAATCATATCCAATATTATCATTATTATTATTATTTTTATTATTATTCAGGATAAGTACAAACAATATAAAACAATACTGAAAAACAACAATGTGCCTTCTACATTAAAAGATGGTGCCTTCTATTAGAAGAGGAAGGTGACTGATAGACAATTCTTTCAATCTTTCAACATTTGTAGTTACACTATGGTTGAACAGAACTCATTTTATAAATTGTCACTTTCCAAAAAAGACAAGCTGATCTTTATATTTTTTTAAATTTTCTCCCATTACATGATGCATTGTTAATCTTTATGTGCATGTATATTTGTAAAAAAGATCCCAAAGTAACATAAAATTGGTTGCAAAACTTGCCTAGCTACAGCATGCTACAGTGACATAGCGCTCATAGGCGTCCGGGGTGAGTTCAGGAAGGGGGGAGGCTGAAATTTTTTTGCCAGAAAAATAACAACGCCCAAACTTTTAAGAAATATGCTTTAACACATGTGAGCTTTTAAAATTATTAAAATGCAACGTACTCAAAATTATGTTAACTAATAAGCATTTTTTAAACTTCACACATTTTCAATTAAAAAAGCGAATCTCTTCAACGACAGCGACCAAACATATCGATTATTCTATCGATATCTTTTTGTGAACATGATTTGCATCATTTTCAGTGATTGCAATTCACACACTTTTTGCTTACCTGCCTATTCTTGTGATTATTGAATAGTTTGTCTTCCATTTCTTGAAGGTCAGAAACTTATAATCTATTTGTAGAAGGAGCAAACCTTTAAGATGATTTCTTTCAAAGGGTTGGCATTCACGCTTGCATTCCCTAATTACGAGCCAATGGCGTAGCACAGTTTACGACACCTTAATTCAGCGTATTTCAACCTTTTCTATTCACGGCACATTTTTGCGGATGGTTATTAATTTTTCTCAACTTTATAGATCGATTAAATGAAACTAAAGAATTTTCGACGGCACACTAGGCAATACCTCAAGGCACGCTGGTGTGTCGTGACACAGTGGTTGAAAACATTGCCTAAGTTTGATAACCAAGGGCCCCCGGCCAAAAGGGGCCCAGGGTGCTTTAAAGCTTTGCTCAAGTTTTGAAAACTTTGAAAGTTCTTAAACTGAAGCTCTAAAACTTAGTTCTCCCTAGCTAACGAAAAACTATTTCTCATTTCTATCTTTTTCGATTGTGTTTGACATGCTCTACACCATTTCACGTGATCTTCTTGCTATCCGTGAATAGAAGTCTCGTAGCAGTTTTTCGCTTAGGGCCCCTGAAGCCTCCTTTACGCCAAAACACATAAAATGCGACAGTCACTATCATGAAATCGTGCAAAGATTTCTTCCAAAACTTTATCCATCACATTGTAGAAACAATTGGACAGAGCGTTGCTTTCTAGGGGGGGCCTTCTAGATGGGTTTCGGGGGCTTTATCCTTGCAAAGAAAGGAAGTGCCCTGTCCACTACCTTCCCCCTCTGGCAAGCCCAGCGCGTTGCGCTTTGTCCCTATTACCTATACGACGGCTCTTTAAATCACAGGTCTTTTGTTGTTGGCCTCGATGAAATTGTAGAGACCTTGAACAACACCAAGTCCATTTCTCATTGACTCATTTTGCTGCAAGATTCAACTAATGTCCAAGGCAGTGGACATAGATGTTCAGGGGAGAACAGTCCTCCATTCGCTTAGCCAAGCCCTCGGCTTTGCTGCTCATTTTAGACCGTCGAAGCATTTGCCAACAAGTTTCTACATACGCTTTCAAGCCCAATTTGTACAATTGCTGAAGACTGAGTTTTGCAAAAATTAGCAAAAACTTCCTTTCGGATACCACTAATTTCTTAGAAATTCATTTGTTAACCTTACAATTTCCTTCTTTTTTCCTTCCAATTTTCATATCCTTTTTTTCTTCTAAAAGCCCAAATTTTTTTGCAAGGACATTTCCTTCCAAGCGGAAGCATTGGTCAGGCCTGAATTTTGGAAACGTTCTTTTATCTCAGGCTCTCGCTAGCTCTGTAATCGCAACTTTCGAAAAAGAAAATTTCGAATTTTTTCAAATTTGAATTTTTGAATTTTTGAATTTATATCAAGTAAACTGAATAAAAGAAGTATTGATCAAATGAAATTTTATCAGAGTTAATTTCGCGAGGGATGTTGTCAACTGTTATGCTTCGATTTGAGTCCTTGTGTGCTTTTTTGATGCCATAGGCAATAAAAGAGAAGAAGGAGTGCTGTAGAGTTTGAGCTTCTGCACGAAAGTGTAGGTCCATTGACTCAGATGGGTGTATCTAAATGCTTTGGGTCGGGGTTATCGTGCTTATTCAAATCCATTTTTATTCTATTGTTTTAAGCTAGGGCCTGTTTCCTTCACGGTAGGACTGGTGCATCGGCTCTCTGGTGGGGAAAAGTGTACTTTTCTTGTCCATTCCCTGCCCAGAAGTTTAAGCTGGTTGTATGAGTCTATCAAGCTATGTCAAAGGTTAGGTTTTTTGTATGGTTTAAGTGAAGCAAGTAGTGCCGATGCACCAACGGCCCAAGTTGCTTTCTGTGATGAGGGAATGTGACCTCAAGACCTGATTTGATGAGAGATGTGGCAATGTCTTCTGAGGGAGCTTTTTTATTTTAATTGATGGAATGCAATTGTTGATGTTTTTTCTCCGAGTAAGAAATTGAATCTATAATAACGGGGGAAAAGCTCGAGAAGCTGTCTAAAAAGGCAAGAAAACTATGAAAATGTGGCTGTGAACGGTACATCGATTTCACATCATGAATTTCAAGACAGTAAGCTTATTATTTTGGTCTCTGAACTTATTATTTTTATCCAAACTACTCAAATGAGGAAAATTCAGTGCAGCACGTTCAATTCAAACAATAATTAATTGCCAAGCACATACACCTCTTTTTTATAAGAAACACGTCAGACCAGGCAGGCTCAATGTTTACTAGCATTTTGTTAATTTGAGCCTAGGAAGTTCTTAAATGTTTCTTAAGAACGGACTCCTGTTTTGGCGTACCAGAGGGGTCTGGAGCACAGGCTAGGCGGTGAACAGAGAAAGTCTGTAGCCGAAACTTCCAGATTGAATTTCTACGCCTCTTTAGGCTCTACGCATGCAATAAAGACACTACATTCAGGGCTGGGATATGCCTATGGGAGGCCTGGAGACCACTTGAAAGGGAGGCCCCCTTTCCAATTCCCCTACAGCTCCTTAGGTAAGCCCCTAGGGGTTTATTTTACCACAATATTTTGGGGTTGAGTTTTCCTCCAGGGAGGGGGCTATTTGAAAGTATTCGAAATACTGCTGTACCAACAACTCCGGTGCCAAAAGTTTTGGTGATTAAATCTTTGGTGGAAAAAATTTTGGCCACATTCTTTAAAATCGGCCCGAATTTAGAAAAGAACTTTAAAAAAAAACTCCAGTGGAAAGAAACAATTTTGTTGGGTAAAGACGTTATTTTTATCTTAAATATAAAATTATCTAAAACTCAATCGAATATCTTCATGTCAGTCCAATTGAACAAAAAAGTAGTCAAGAATGTCATTGTCTCTTATTTAGAGTTAATATATAATTCATTTTTTATAACCCACCGAGGAAAATTATCTGGAATCGTTTACAGTTCGTAGTATTTTTGAACGCCAATCGCAACGAGGGGAATAGAAATTCTGATATATTGTGAGTTAAAAATTGAAGCGTCCAAATTGAAAACGCTAGAGCATTAAAAGAAATTACTCAGACAAAATAGTGAAGTGCCAGTAGAAGAAGTTCAGCTGAAAGAGAACTGAAATTTCTTGGATGTAAATGGCGAAAGAGAAGAATGTGAAGCTGGATTCCTTCAGAATGAAAACTCCATTTCTATCTTCGTTTCAGTATTCATGCGAATACGTTCCGAATCTGTTTTCAATCTAGTTCGAGAAGCGGTTTTTCCTGATGGCAACTCTACTAACTGCCAAAAAATTAAAATTAAAATATTCTTAGGTCTTATATCATACACGTTTGGACCTTTGTGACCAAGTGTAGACTTTAAAGATGTAAAATATCAGAAAAAGTCATTTAAGCCATGTTTCTGTCTAAAATTAACATTTTCAAGCCAAACACGTTTTAGAAACGCCAAATTCCTCAGACTTAACTTAGAAGAAGCCAGCCAAACTGGCAAACATGGCCTCATTACATTGCCAATAATTTATCTACATCTCATTTTTCAAGCTGATTTTTAAAAACCCAATAAAGATATCGATGTTCGACTGTCAGCCCATTTATTTTCGGTTTGACAAAGTTAGCAACACAAAGCCAGGTCTTTGCTCCCTGTTTTACTCTCTTTACTCACTGAGTATGCAACGAAGGGTAATCCCTTTATTCTGCTTGACAGATTATTTAACAACAAAAATTTTACTTGAAATATAAACATCTACACAGCCCCGGATTGTCACCTAATGTCAAATGACAAACTGACAAGCATATTCCTGACGTGGGTATGCGATCTTGGAGAGCCGGTGAGGGAGCGAGGAGAGCCGGTCATCGTTATCTCGTGAAATGAAAGCAAGTCAACGAAATATGCTGGCATTTTACATCAATTTATCAATTAGCTATAATAAATAACATTTCACATGAATTTTTAATTTTTTCAAAAATTTGAGCTGACGCTTTCAGAATCCCCGGTAACAACAGTTTCTGTAATCTGTAGAAACTCGTCTTTTGGTTGGCCTTGGCTTGTTGAAATCGATAAATCTACAAGCAAAAGGAAGGATAGGAATAAAAAGCTTGGTTGAAAGCAATTCTGAAAGGTCTTTGCGAGTCAATCAACTGCACTAAATTTTTATATTTGGCTGAAAGAAATATTGGATACAGTCTCAAGCGACTTGAAAGGATATGATATATTCATAAATGTATGCTTTTTACAAAGAAAGCATACTTAGAGGTCATCAAGATCTTTCATAAGAGAAACATATGTTACAGTACAGGAGGAGACAGGCCGCTGTTGATGGTAACAAGGGTATTCTCTTAACTAGTTGCAAGACTGGTCACCTTGGATATTTCATGTAGCTTAATTTAGAAGATTTCACTTGGCAGCTAGGCATTGAATCACGAAAATGGCAACTGCAGGAATTCAACCAGTTTTGATAAACAATTTTTTGGTTTGATTGAGGAAGAGGTTAAAAATATTGACGTTTATCTGCAAAGACCCCTTGTACAAAAAGTAAAAGTTACCCTTTAATGAGAAGGTGGATAATTCCAAGTAAATTCTATGTAGTTCTTCATAAGTTGGTTTGTTGGTCTGGAAAGGTATTTTGCGAACCCGCGTGTCATCTAGAACAAAAATATAACAGGGTAACAAGGACATTAATACTAGCGAAGAATTGATCAGCTAGGGAACCATGCATAGACGAAAAATCTAACACTGATTAGGCGAATGACAATAAAATGACGTAAAAATGTATTATATTGTGTTAGAATCAAATATTTCTTAGTAAAAATTTACATCTAACCAATGTTAACTACTTGCTTTACCGGTCTGTCGTGTAATGCTTAGCAATTTCAAGTATTTCCATGAGATTTCTGATGCTTGAGACACACACTGCACCAATATGTAGAGGTATGGCACTCTTGCTAGCTTCAGTGTTTCATTATTTAAGAATTACTTTATTCTTGTAGATAAGAATTATTCAAAACTGACATACGCTTGTCTAAAATTGGGTTTTTTCCACCAAATATTATCGATTTGCAGCTCTGTGGCCATTTGATAAATATTCTATCAGCATGATCAATTTGTTCCTTCCATTTACAAAGTAGTTCTTGGATTTCCTGAAATACAGCACAACATTAAAGTCAGAATGACAAGGATTCCTTTTGATACTAATAGATAAATTCAATGTTTTCTTTTTGAAAGATTTTAGATACACAAAATAACAAAAAATAAACAGTCAATTTTCCAAACATTTGGCAATCATTATACTTTCAAAGAGAAATGGTTTGAAATCTCAACAAACCTCGATTAGAGCTATTTCATTTTGACGTCGAATATGAGCACCTGCAGACCTAAAAGTAGAGCATAAAACATTTTAGCATGAAATGTGTTTACTGGCAAAAGCAAGAAATTGTTGAAAAAGACTATTTGAAAGATAGTAATTGTTAATAATTCGTGAATCAAATTAGAACCCATCGCACGGAAATTAAAAAGTCTTTAGCCTCAGAAAACAGCCATTAAATGAATTGATACGAAAATTATCTGCTTGTGGAAATTAATTTGTTACTTCTCTATTTCATTTTTCTTATAATCTAAATAAATGGATTCTTCGCTTGGAAACAACAGTTGGCGAAACTTAATTACCTACCGACAGCTCTTTATCAACCACGAAACTATATTCCAAAGGCTTTGAATTCGGTACACATACCAGAAGGCAGGTTTGTAGGAAACCCTATGTATTATCATGGCACTTAGCCGATACTAACTAAACTAAGTCTATTTCTATATACAAAGAGCCTTCTCTTGCACAAAGTTACAATTCAAAGACACAAAGCTAATGATTTAAAGATATGGTACCAGAATCTTTCATGTTATTTCCTATTAATTTTTTGTTTCCCGACTTTTTACTTTTTAAAAGTCAAATTAAAGGGTTCTTCACTTAGAGAAACCCAATGGCAACACTAAATGAACTACAAAAACAATTTTCCAAAGGCCTCGGATTTTAAAAACCTTTAACCATAGAGTGAGGGTACACTGTAAGGAAATCCTACATGTACTCTTGACACTTTATTTCTACAACCAAAAAAATTATCAGTTTCTATATGACAATGGCCCCGTGGTTGAATTTCCTTTGACGAAAAGTGCCAGCAAGTGTACTATATTAAAACGACAAATTTTGTGAAGATTTCATAATCTGATCAGCAAACCTAGGAGATTTTCCAGATTGTTTCCCATCTCTTTTACTTTGCACCGTTCCTCTTTTTGCTCTCACCACATATCGATGAATTGTCTTATGAGCAATAATCTCTTCTCTATAAAACAAAAAATAATACATAAATTGACCCAGCTCGTGAAACTTTCGACCGAAAATAATTATAAAATTCTAAAAAACTAATAATTGGATGCAGTTTAGAGAACCTTTGTTCGCATATCAGCATCTTTAAGATTGTTTTGAGAGACAGAAAGGATAAGAAGAAAGGATAACTGATGTGAAACGATGAAGGCAGAAGTTAAACAGAAATGAGCCAAAAAATGAAGCATGCGATACACCATAGATCAATGCTTTAAGTATATCACTGCAAGTATATTGAGTATAGAATATAGATAAAGAAGTTGTCCTCGGGACCTAGAGTGAATTTATTGAATCAAAAGGAATATCAATAAACAGCTGCTGAATCAAGTTACTTTTTGTTCGAGACCTGTTCTTAAATTGTCGCTGGATCACTGAGTACCCGCGAAAACCACTTCTACCAATATGAAATTAATTTGCATACACGTGCGAACGTTTGCAAGCTGTACAGCTACAGACAATCTGGCTTGACTCTAGCTCATGTCCTCATCCATCCAAAATTGCCCCGGTATAACCAGTTAAAATGAATAGATGATTAGTACGAGTAAGCAATTTTAACAGGCGCGCAGCTAAAACAACAACTTCAGGACAATGAATTAGCCGCAAAAATGGAAAATTTTGATGGGCAATGTGACTGACAGCAGTTTTGAAAGAAAAGTAGTCGTAAAAAGTACAGGTGCCCGTAGATTGACAGACAAAAGTTCAAAATAAGAAGTTTGAAAAAATCACCAAAGTAAAAGACGCTTTGATACATTGGCACCGACACTTTTGAAAGAAAATCAGAGGAAATTGACTGCGACATCATCTACAGTCTTAGGCCAGAGAAGCAAATGAAGAGCAGATCTGTGCATAAAAGGTTTTGGAATTTCAACATATCAAATTGATTTTTACCATCAGTAAAATACAATCAGAGCAAATTGCTCAAGATGAACGTTGCAGTTCCATTTAATTAGGAGATAAGCTTCTTCGCAATCAAAACACTCAGATGGAGCGGTTCAAGATCTACAGAGTTCTAGCTATTGCTCTGCTTATAATTACGCTTATCCTGATGTTCATTTATGAAAATGTTATCAACACTTCCAAACATGCGAATATTTACTTTTTGCGCCAAACAGTAACGAAATCGCACGTCAAATCTAAAATGTTTGCCTATCCCAAAGCATTGATCACAGTTGATTCGCAGCAAAGTGAACAAAAGCTGCCAATGGCAAGATTTTCAAAGCCAAAAGTTTTGCTTACAAGAGGCACGAATTTTGAACGACGACCGAAGAATATCACAACCAACATCCAAAGGCTGGCGAAAAAAATAGACAGAAAAGCACAAAGTTGGAAAAAGACAAAGATCGCAGCATTTAAGGATCATGCTGGGAAAAGGAATGTTAAAAGTCAGACATACACAGCAAAAAAACACGAGCAAAAAGTCTGCAATACATGGAAATACGACACACAAGACTGGACATTCATTTACAATGGAAGTAAAAATGAGTACGAAAATGTCCATTGTCCGATGCCCTCAACGAAGCGAAAAGTAAAACGTATAACTTTCAGAGATGGTGAGATCCTAAACATTGGATGTAATAACAAAACCGATGCATGCAAAGAAGGGCCATTTTATGATTTCAAAATGGAAAAGAGAATCAACACTCCGCCTTGCTGCCGTTCCCATGTTCTAAACATGTTCATGCGTGTTACTGAGGAATTACAAAACTTGAATATCAGTCATTGCATGATATCAGGAGGAGTTATTGGTTGGGTGCGCAACCGGAAAATGGTCCCTTATGATCGTGACCTTGATCTAATCATCGATGTAAATTTCTGGAACTCTACGCAGTTTTGGTTGATTTTTAAGAGGCTGCATAACAAATATGGCTATGTACCAGATCTTGTTGAAAGCTTTAAACTGAAATTATACTTAAGTACAAAAAATAAAAACAACATTGACATCTGGGCATATTGGCTTTCAGATGGTGAGCTTAGCATTGCATACAACAGATTCAAGGAGCAGGATACTGCAACAATGTTGCCATTTCAGAATGCTCCTTTTGAGTGGTTTTATACATATTTACCAGCAAATCCAATAAAATATCTTAGCAAACAGTATGGGAGAGAGGTTTGGAGGCCTGAAAAACAATGCATGGTTAGGAATGAAGAAGGTGACTGCTGGTGATAAACTGACATTATTTTAGAAGAATCAGAGAATTAGTGATAGTTGATTGTGACCTGATAATATTTTTAGTAGCAAACATGCATGTTTCAAGAAAGTAGCTGAACTGAAAGGAAAAAGATTGTTAAAATAAATCTTAAAATATACAGATGGACAAAGGTTCTAAACAACTAAATATTCTAACATGGATTAAGAAATTTCTAAGTCAACATTTTGGACAATCAAAAAAGGATCTCGCATTTCATATGCATCAAAAATTAACTGCAATATCAAGACCTCCTTTTTAAAATATGGCACACTCAGAGCATATGCTTAAAGTGTGTGAGCCAGTTTTTTTGGATTAAAAATATCTTGATTTAACTTCTTCGACTAAACAAACTTTCAACTCTGGATATCAAATTAAAAAACTTTCAGGTTTGAAATTGATCATACCTTTAGCAAAAGGTAAACAATGTGGAAGTTTTAATTTTTTCAAAAACTGGTATGAGATGGCGCACTCAGCCACCTGATCACTGCAACCCATGTGTTTATTTATTTGATAGAAATGTTTTTGGGAACATATCTCAAAGATATATCAAACTCAAATTCATAATGTCTAATTCAAGTGACAATTCTCAACCATTTCAAATTTTTCTAGTTTGACTTTTCGAATGGTTATGACTGATTAGCTGTTGGTTATTTTCAGCAAATTCCAAGACATTTTCAGATTGCAGTTTTGACCCCAACCCTGCCACACCCATATTCACCAAATATCTGTTAAATTTTAAATCCGAATAACAAAATAGGAATACCCAAAGGTTTGGACTCTACAGAATACACATTGTTTAAAACCCAAATAAAGTAAAGATACATACTTATGATAAATACCAGCTGCAAAATGTCCAGCCGACATCATCAGAACAATCCAGTAATTATCATTGCAAAGCACCTTCAAAGCCTCTTCAAAATGGCTACAATTTGTGCAATTTTCCTGTGGAAAAACACAATTATTTTTATCAAGAAATAGAGTTCCAGTCCACTCAACTTATAGTCACTCTGCTAAAAGTCACACTATTGGTTACAGCCTAAAAATATTTAGAGCCAAATGTGCAAATAAGTTCAATTTAGCTCCATTTACAGACATGCTCCATTTCAAGTCACAAGGCCAAAAGGAAAATGGTGGGTTTGACAAACAATAGCTTAATGCCACATTTAGGAAATAATCAGCCATTGATTTAAGCTAGAATGAAACAACATAAAATGTTGTTAATCTCCATATCTAGCAACAACAACAAATAGCAAGCATGGGGGTTTTCAATAGAGTACTGAAGTGATGATGTCATAAAGATCTATTTTTAGAATTTTACAGTTTAGACCATATAACCCAAAAAGCATATTGTAAAATACATCTAAATGTGGAAAATCTGTTGAATGTGTTACAAATTGGCTGAAATATGGCCAAATAAGCACAGGCTAATTGTAATCTGGTACAATCATTGCAATAACTTTATGAACCAGGTCAGGATAACAAATCCATTAGCATTCTTGAAATGTTTCATTGGCTATACCACACACAATTTTGGACATATTTAACTGATTTTGTATACTTGGAGTTATTTAATTCCTCTCTTTCAGATTATGAGATCATTATAAGAAATTCCAAAAATGTATTTTTGATGATGTCACACTTTGGTACACTATAGAAGAAATAATACACAACATGTATAAAAAATTGGGATTGTGTGGAGCTAGCTTCTGATTGGTAGTTTTAGAGTGTATGCATCACAGGAGAGAGAAGATAAAAGAAAAAAAGTAAAAGAGAGCACAAGAAGGGGGGGGGGGCTACTTGAAAAATGGTAAAGTGTTGATGAAGTTAATCTGGTGATGTTGTGGGTTTCATGGTATTAAAGAAGTCTTAGCAACATGCAGTCAAATTATATTTTTGCTCCAGATTTTAAAGCTTTTCAGAAGTTAAGTCATTAATAATTTTTACTTCACTTTTTGAAGATTAGTTACTTTCTACCGGAAGGGAATAATTTCAAAATAAAGTACTGAAACAAAATACTTGACACAAACCTTTGAATCTTTTTCTAGCAAACATCTATAGATTGTAAAACTCTGTTTATCATTGGTAACAAACTCTACTTTAGGCTTCTTTTCGCCAAGTTCAATATCATCATCATCATAATCCTCCTCTAAGCTTATATGTATTCCATCATTCTCAACCTCATTTTCACATTTTTCATGAAATATAAATTCATCTATTGCAACCTTTCCACTGATTTTCATCTTGATGTTAAAAGCATGCCATTCTGACTTGAAATGTGCCCTCTAAAAGATAAAAATGAAGTCAAACATTGGAAAACTTCTATATTACTATGAATTCTCCTAACATTATCCAAAGCTTGGCAAATTGAAACAAATTTTTGACATATATTCAAGACATGAAGTTAATAAAAAAGGCCTGGAAAAGACTGAGCAAAAGGATGTTATATAACTATACTTATACTTTTTACTGAAAGCTGAGGCTGAAAACATATTTAGAAAAAGTGAAATTCAATGTTCTAGGCAGCATCAAATTGCCGTAACACCTGAGAATCCAACAAATAGGGTATATATATCTTTTATCCACAGTTTTGTACTTTTTGTGGTAACAATTTTAATTGAGTTGTTAGTATGACTCAAATTTAAAACATGAACTAAACTCATACAAATCAGGCTAATCTACATGTCACATAATAATAGTCAAAAATATATTTTCAGCTCTGAAATTACAAGACATTATTATTGAATTCAGATAAGAGAGTGGGACAAAACTGTTAAATTAATTAAAAAACAAACAATTTCAATCATCATGAAGTAAAAAATCCTTTACAAGCTTTTTCCCAAGACATTACAGAGAAAAATAGGATGTTTTGGCACTGTTGAAGAATATCAAAATTTATCTTTATATAAGGTAAAGTCAATGGAGTTGAAGCACTGCATGTAGCTCTGTTGCAAAAATCCCCTTGACCCTTTCTCTTGCTTCATTGCATGTATAAATATCTTATGACATACCTGTTGATCGAGATCTCGAAAGAAAATGTTACATAAACTGCATCTAAAATTCCGTAAGTCTTCTGATCTTGGTTTTGTTTTTCTTTCTCTCCCTTCAAAACGAAATTTATTTGAAATATTAAACGAAATCATCATATATTTTTGTTAGAGCAGGTTGTTTGTTGCTACAATACTGCAGATGTGGACCTGCTATCTACTAAAAAATATAGTTAAAAAGAGAGCTAATTTTACTATTCATAAGGAAAATAAAATTAAAACTATTTAAGCATATTTACAAAGATTGGCATAATAAAAGAAATCTCTAAAAATACACATAATTGCTGCATAATTGTCACTTCTAAATCGTGTTGTTTTTGTCCCTTTTCCAAAAGTTATATTGTTTAATTTCTCTTTCAATTTCTTTAGCTTTTCTTTGAATGCATTTTTACTCATTATGTCTATGTCTTCTTAAACTATTCCATACAATTGTACCTCTGAATTTAATTTTTTCGTAAAATTCTTAAATTAAATTGGTACCAACACAATCTACAATTACGATACACACAAAGGTCTTACATATGTTATTTAAAACCTATCAATACCGGCATAAGTTGCCAAACTCTACACTGGTATCGTTATTTAATGTGCAACACAACAGCAACGAATTGAAGTTTGGGCCTAGCGGCCTAACACTAGCATTTACCTACCTTTCTCTTCCGTTATGCTTTCGTTATGAACGCAGCCCTTGACATCTGTTAATTTGGCCAAAGTTAACACTTCTTGCGAGAAAGCAGAATCAAAAATGCTTATTTGCTTTAATTTCCTGGGCTTCATCTTGATGCAGTTAGATTTTCCTCTTCAAAATAATTACAAGTTACTCCGTCACAAGCAACTTTTTCCGGACTGTTAGAAAGATGATTGAACAAACTCTGTCCTTCGTACAATTATCAAGTCTTCTGTGGTGAAACTAAAGCTGAAAATTACGTTTAAATGATCAGTATCAGACTTATGAAGTCTTCAGCAGTTGTTGACCAGATGGAACTGTTGTGAACTGGACTTTACGTTTCGCTGTCGTCAACAGAGTTGAGGAAAGGAAGAACAAACATGTGATCACTTATGACGTCATATCTATATTTACAATAGGCCAGCGTTGCAAAATTTAATTTTATTGCACAAGATTTCATCAAATTATGCCTATGAGGCTGTATCACATAAAACTAAAAACAGTAGGCTGTATCACATAAAATCTTAACATCAACATTATTGCTTTAGAGTTCTTTCAATTCCCATGGTTGCATGAAAAAGGTATTCTCAAGGTATGCAGGCAAACAGGGGCGGATCCAGGAAATTTCTGACCGGTGCTCAGTTTAAGGGACCACACCCAACAAATTGACCGCGCCCACTTTTCGGTTGCGATGTTAAGTAGCGTAGTCTCTCAAATGAGCGTCCCTCTCTAATTCGCGCCCCCTTTTGAGCAAAAATTCTCTAATGAGCACCCTCTATCCAACGAGCGCCCCCCCCCCCAAATTATGAAAACATATGGAGACCTGCAAATCATTGCAATAGTCATCAGTTTAAAAATATTTAATAAAAACTATGCTGTTTTAATTGGGAAAGTTTTCTGCAACAACTGATAGAATTACATAAAAATACATTTGCAGGTAACGACAATTTAAATATCCGAGATGTCACACCAGTATTTATGCAAATCGACAAAGATTTCAACTCGGATGAAATTGAAATCTTGTAAATATTTTGCCAAATGATTGCCAATAACAAGTGTGATTGATTTTTGTAAAAAGAATCATCGTTTGAATTTCAAAGCTCAGGTCCTCTCTAATGAGTACCCCTCTCAAATTTGGCGCTCCCTCTCTGAATAATTTTACCTCTCTTTCATTTATAATGTTGAAGATTTTGTTTTGATTCGCGTTTGCAAAACTCAAATTAACTAATAACATGGCCAAATAAAATGCAACCTGGCAATTCATCCTTTTCCTCTACCAGATGCATATATTATTTTCTGATGCCTTACAATCTTTCACAAAGATTGTGTGTTATCACTTACCTGAAAGGCCATTGCCTTAATTTTTGCCGCTACCAACGCCTTAATCTTTGATAGACCGTAGCTTTCCTTGCTACGGGTTGCCTAGAACCTTTAGTTACGATGCACCTGATTGGCTTAGCGGGAATCCCCCTCGTTATTCTATGTAATAAACATCGTTACAAATTCTTGCCCCTAAATTCATATTTGTGATATTCAGTAACAGAGAATTCAAATGAATCAGCTAATTGGAGTGTCACATAAACACATGGATAGTGTGATGGGTGTTTTGGGTGGTATGGGTGTCGAGAGTGTTGGCTAGTACATAGTATGTGTATATACCTGTACACATGAATAGTGTGATGGGTGTTTTGGGTGGTATGGGTGTCGAGAGTGTTGGCTAGTACATAGTATGTATATACTTGTACACATGAATAGTGTGATGGGTGTTTTGGGTGGTATGGGTGGCGAGAGTGTTGGCTAGTACATAGTATGTATATACTTGTACACATGAATAGTGTTATGGGTGTTTTGGGTGGTATGGGTGTCGAGAGTGTTGGCTAGTGCATAGTATGTATATACTTGTACACATGAATAGTGTGATGGGTGTTTTGGGTGGTATGGGTGTCGAGAGTGTTGACTAGTACATAGTATGTATATACTTGTACACATGAATAGTGTGATGGGTGTTTTGGGTGGTATGGGTGTCGAGAGTGTTGGCTAGTACATAGTATGTATATACTTGTACACATGAATAGTGTGATGGGTGTTTTGGGTGGTATGGGTGTCGAGGGTGTTGGCTAGTACATAGTATGTATATACTTGTACACATGAAAAGTATTATGGGTGTTTTGGGTGGTATGGGTGTCGAGAGTGTTGGCTAGAACATAGTATGTATATACTTGTACACATGAATAGTGTGATGGGTGTTTTGGGTGGTATGGGTGTCGAGAGTGTTGGCTAGTACATAGTATGTATATACTTGTACACATGAATAGTGTGATGGGTGTTTTGGGTGGTATGGGTGTCGAGAGTGTTGGCTAGTGCATAGTATGTATATACTTGTACACATGAATAGTGTGATGGGTGTTTTGGGTGGTATGGGTGTCGAGAGTGTTGGCTAGTACATATTTTATGTAGATACTTGTGTACTCGGAAAGGGATATTTCATTGATTTTAATATTATCTTAAAAACGAGGCAGTCTTTTTTCTATAGAATATTGTCTTTCATTTTTTAGTCTGCCTACTGTAAATCCTTGCTTTAGCTGCTTGGGGCTTATTAATTTAGGCAGTTTTTTGCTAGAGGCTTTCAAAAATCATCTTGAAGCTGTCATGTAAATTATTGGGCATTGACAATTAAGCTTAGTATCCCTTTTTTAAAATGTGAATCAAAGTGCTAATTTTTATAGATGTTTTGATTAAATAGATTCATCTAGATGACCGCCCATCTTTGTGTAGAATGAGTCAGAAAAGAAAAACTTCAAAGATAATACAAATGGCAGAAAAATTAAAAAAGTTATCTTTTATCTTTAAAAATTTAAGTTAAACGGCCAGAGAGATAGAGATAGTGGCTGTATTTAATTGCAGTATGAATTGTTGTTAGTCTATTCTTTTCTTTTTCTTTTGAATGAGACTGGCTTTGTATTTTGTTTGTGTCTGATGCAGTCAGCGCAATACCTACAGAAAAAGAAACAGTTTTTCACTATAGTTATGATTCAGCTACTTGCAGTACAAAAATGTGGCGTCGTTTTGGCTTATGATTTATTCTTTTTGTACATAATTTGTTGTCTGCCTTTCATAGGCCTGCGATTTGCTTTAGCTCTTCTGCAGTTTCATACATTGGTGCATTGTATTTTTTAGTATATCTTAATTACAATTAGCACAGGACAAATCTAAAAATGGTGAAGAGGGGGGCCCAGGATTGCTAGTTGCTCTATTGGTTTTCAGACAGAGTATGGAAGCATAGCAACAATCATGGAAAAAATTGTATTCATGTGCATTTATGGTTTCTTTGGAAAAAAGGAAACTAAGACCCCTCTAGAGAACAATAAATGCCATTTTTAATGATATAAATGCTGAGAATGTAAAACCTTACCAATCTCCACTTGGTGGGTCTCCTTTTATTTTGAGGCATTTGGTATGGAACCAATTCTTTCCAGGGCACTGAAATTTGGAGAAATGTGTTCGCTAAAGAGCTGCTTATTTCTGTTCTTATCATGTATGAAAACTTGAAGCAGAAACGGAAAATTGTAGGTGTGTGAAAATGCATACCCATCTTTTGCCGAATCTTGTCATTTATCGACGTATTGGCTTGCCCCCCCCCCCTACTTGAAAGTTTGCTTTTCCCCATTAAATTGTATCAATCTGCATCAATTAAACAGGATGGATTCTTCAAATACAGTTGCATAGCCAGGGTTGAGAACATTGAGTAGTGAGGGGGTTGGCAAAATATTTATTTGAAAAAGAGCATTTTCTAGCATTCCAAAGGGCACAAATCTACATTTTTTCTTCCTCAACTCACCTTTACACCCCCACCCTCAATCTTACCATCCTGGCTACACTACTGGTGGTGTGAATAGTTGAATAGAGATGTCACAGGTGCTGGGAATATTGCAACGGGATACTCACATTTTTGGGGTCACCTGAACACTCAATTAAGGGTGAATACTTGCCATCCGGATCCTAAAACATGAAAGTGGAAAAATTCAGTTAAACTGATTCAATCGTCTGTCATAATTAGCTACAGGCATGTTACCAGGGGCGAAACTACCGGGGGGGGTGTTGGGGTGTGACACCCCCCCAATCCAAAAAATAGTCGATTTCGCAGGGCAATCGAAGATTTCGCAGGGCGCCAAGAAGAGCTGTGTTGCCACGCAGAAATGCCACCTCTGAAGTTCGTAAAGGGCCGTTCACGAATTTTGAAATGGAAATATTATATTTGTTATGATATGACCGGGAGACTCCCGATTTCAGAGGTCATCTTCCGACCTCCCGACAATTAAAAAATCCTCCCGATTTTTGAAAAAAACTTATAATAAAAATAAAAAGCTGGTATAACATAAAGAAGAATCAAGATCACTGTCAACAGTGCAACTTTTTCATAACGGACGAAACGATTCGATGAATTCACAACATTACAATAGTTACGACATCGGATAAAGCCAGACGCCAGACTGCCAGAAGCCAGACGGCAAACTTTTTAACATTTGTTGTTGTTTATTCATCATAAAAGATAACCTTTCTTATAATTTCAAACTAATCTAAGTGACATAAAATTGCCAAAAATTTTTGTAGGAGTTAAATCGGGGTTCGCATGGGTTCGCATGGGTTCGCACTGATTGCAAGAAAACATTTCCTATAAAAATATAATCATAATTGTGCACAGTGGCGTTTCTAAGCCCAGAACTTTTTCGGCCTCTTCATTTGTCCCCCCTCACTTTCTAAGAAAGTTCTTCGATATTACTGACCTATTGATTACGAAGAACTGTTTTTCTATTAACATATTACAGACAGAGAAAATAAAGAATCCTGAGTCATTTTGAGGCCTCAGAAATGACAAAATGTCAGGAGCTTCCGGGGGCTTCGTCCCCTGGACCCCTACCAGGGCGATGCCCTGGACCGCTGGGGGGGCTCAGAGCGCTCCCCAGACCCCCAGCTCTAATTTTTCGCTCGCTCCGCTCGCGATGTCCCCCGCTTTTCTTTCTCTACAGGTTGGAAGGTATGGAAACTGCACATTTCTGTTCAGGAAAAAAAATTCTCCAAATCAAAACAACATCTTCCTCTGTCATTCACAACTACGTGCAATCTGAGATGAAAGGTTGCCGTTTCTTTCCTTCCCCAACGTCTAACACTAGAGTTTTAGCATGACATCCCCCTTCCTATTTTTCCCAATAAACAATCATATTTTCAATAAACATCAGTTCTTTTAGCACAATAGTATTTTGCTAAACTTTTGTCTGAAAGATGCTTTTTAGCCCTTTTACAAGGTATAATTTCAAAAAATTTCTTCACGTCGGACCCAACCATGGTGGGTCCTCCTACCTCACTAAACTCGACTTTTAGCCCCACTGGGCCAAATTTTGTTGCGCTGTCTACATCATGTACCCCCCTCCCCCCCAATTAGCTGTTTATTAGCTTAATTTTGCAAACCAACATTAAATGAAGTGAATATAAAAAAACAATTCACGCTCACGTAGAGAAATAGAAATTTCATAGGCAATGAAGTTTCAAGTTTGTTTCTATTGCTTAGAAGTTTGTCCTTGGTAAAGACCAGTGTACACTGGTAAAGTTTTCACTAGTAACCTATAGACAAACCGTTGCTACTAGGTCTGCAGTGCATCACTCAGTTTTGCAGGGCAGAAACCTTTTTCACCCCCCCAAAACTATTGGCCAAGTTACGCCCCTGCATGTTACAGAAGTATTCCTTGCCATGCCTCCATTAGCTTTTTTGCAAAGCCATGCTTTGATTCTGTCAGTCGATCCCTAGTTACCCTCTGACTTGTCCTTATGTTTAATTGTTGGGTTTTCCTTGAGTCTATGAATTGTTTATTTCTGTTTTACAAATTATTGTGAAAATTGGAATTCTTGTGACCTTGTTTTTTTCAAATCTTCACTATGTAAAACTATGCTGTGGAAATTTGAATTCTAGTATTTCAGTCTTTGATACTTTTCTTTGGTTACAATAGATTGTAAAAATACATTAGATTGTTGAAATACATCTACAAGAACGGCGTAGAACGTGGAATATTTCCCGATCTGCGTCTTACAAAAATAAATATTTCAACTATTCTGTAACTCATATGATGTTTGTTACCTTTTTGTATATACAAAACTGTCGTTCACGACGGTTTCTCCTCCCTGGTAAAGACAGAAATTAACTTAGTTATTCGGAAATGGATTTGAATGAATAATATCTATACACTTTTTAATATATTCGCTATTTCAAATTGGCAAGCATGAGAAGAAAATTGTCATTTTCACCTACAATATAATAAGCCAACATAATTACCTCCACCTTGATCTTTCGATCCATACCCATACTGTTTTGTTTCCCGCCTTGGTCGCCTCTCCCTTTGCACATCTGTAATGAGATTGCTTGATAATACTGCTGTACAATGAGCAATTTTTGTAAGTTGATAATTAGCTGCTCAATCCAAGCATTCACTTCAACAAGATCAGTTTATATTTTTTGTGGGAATTAAGAAACTCACTTTGCACTGGAGTATCAGCCTTAAGTGTGCATGACTGATCACTTTCCTCGTGATGTGCGCCTGTGGATAAATATGGCCACATAGTAACACAAAAAAATATGAATAATTCCTGTAGAGTAGAGTTATGAAATGAAAAAGTAGCAAAAACTGGTTAAGCTTAAAAATCATATAGAGGTTATATTTGCACCCATTTTGTTGGGCCACTATTAATCTCCCTGGATAAAATAAGGTGAAAGAAATTATTCGTATTTATACAGTTTGTAATCCTTACTTTGAGATTCAGTAAATTGGTGACCAGCTATTTTTTCTGGGGCTAAAAAACAAAAATGAATAGTTCCAGGCAGTTGAGTCATCATATCATGTTTCAAGTACATTACCCGTTTTTCTATCATATAACTGTATCTGCTTTTTGTACTGGAATTAAGATATGGAGAATGAGTTTAAATTGAGAGTAAATCTTCGTGAACGTCAACAAACTTATACATTTTGCCCAAATTCCCACTGCGCCGTCGGCGAAGAGATTTCTCTTTGCTGTAGGAATTCTTTGCGACTCTTCTAGAAAGTCATATTTTGAAGGGCTAGTTGAGGCATCTGTTACCCTTCCTTTCCTTTGATTTGATTGCCATTCCATTCCCTGTTTATAATAATGGATTCAATTAAATCTTTTTACATTTCATGAAAAGAATTTCAAATATGAAATACAAAATTTCTCCAAAACTTTGATTTGGGTCATACATTTTACAAAGGTATTAATGTTTTATGTTTCATATTTTATGTTTTACCCCTAAATTAAATATGCAATAAACCTTATAAAGAAATATAATCTACACTCTTGTCTTGACAAATAAACAATAATTCCTTATACAATATTAAAGACTTTAACATAAATTCAGATGCACCTTTTCAAATGCCTCTTTTCTTCTTGGAGTATATGTCTCGTAGATTCTTTTTGACCTTGGTGTCAAAATATCCTGTAAGGAAGATTCATGTATACATTAAGGTTGACAATCGCTTTTTGTTGTTGATTATCAAATTGAAACGAAACTTGTTACACAAGTATTGTTTGGTTGTTGACATAATATTAAGTCTTGGAACGTGAGAAATAGAACAGGGATGTCTACTGACGACAACAAAAATCCATATATCATGTTTCAGTTCAATGTTTAACAGTACCTGGACAGGGTCGATACCATCTAATGGGCACAAAGGTTCATCCAATCTTTTAATAACTGTTTCTTGAATGGAACGGAGTTTTGTCACCATATTCTGGTCCAACGCTGTCGCTGTAGCTTCTTCAGTTGGCTTTTCACCACCATGGAGACCTGTGCAACAATTAAATTTAAATTACTAAAAGTTCCATCATTCAGGCCTTTGCTTCAGAAGATATTTGTTATGTTAGAATCTAGGAAAATTTCCAAATTTATGTTAAAATACTTTGCTTGAAATATTGGATTCAATACTCTTCAGGAAATAAGGAAGAAATATCGGTAAAAAAATTTTCACAGTCACCATAGTGAAGCCATTCCATTATTTTTTTCGAAAAAGTGGCCAATGGAACCTTGTGTGCTGTTGAAAAATCAAGAACACGTTATTTTAAAATATTCAAATCTGAACAAATTTTCCAAATGACATACAGTCTTTTTCTCTGATATGAATATTGTATATAAGAATCATCCTTTTTAAGAATATCATAAAGGCATTGCTCAGCCTCATCTCGAATGTTCATGTTTCAGTTTTAACCAAAACTGTATTAACGATATTTATCTCGTTTTATCAAAAAGCGTGGCTTTTTCAAGAGCGGGCAATGTTCCCCTAAAATACACTTTAATAATATTTTCAAACTCAAAACAAAAATTTGTTAATAATATCGAAGCTGGAAATCTTTAAAGAACTTATATTTTAAAATCTCAGGAAATAAAATTTCAAAATCAGCCAATTCCAAATAATTACAAAAAATTAGTTAACGAATTGATATAAGTCATATTGTATCTCTTTCTCAACCACACCTGAATCAGCTCTCTTCAATTTCTACAAACAACAAATTAAGGACAACAATATTTAGTGTAAAATAACTACCTTTGGATGGCTTCATATCATCGGTATCCGAGGCTTCCTTTGAAGAACCTTCTTTTGATTCATCTAAGAAGCAAACCTTCTGCGAAAAGCTATTCTTCGAAAGCTTTTCTACCTCTGATTTCATCTCCTGAAAATGCATTTTTTAATGAGGAATATTCATCAATAATGCTTTTTGAAGTTATGATTATTTTCATTCTTTCATTGCTTTCTTTTCTGTTTGAAATTTAGCTTCCTTGATACGATAAGGTCATTGGTTACAATATTGGCACATATTGTAAAGTGATAAAGGTCTTCTCATGGCTTTATATATTATTCATATCTCCTTATCCAATGGTCTCTGAGTGGGTCCAGATTAAAAGTAGCTAATAGTAATTATAGTAAGGAATTCGAATGGTCACCATAAATATGATCTAAAAAATTATCTCATATCTCCCCCTCCAGTATCTCTCTATCCCTTGAAAACTTTTGCCAGTTAGACATCGTAAATCATACCTTGTCGCCGATTTCTGAAAATTCATTTCTTACAACTGTCGATTTTATCGCCACACATTCAACAAGGTTGTTGTTTTGCCTCACCATGACACTCCAATTTAGCCATGTAAGTATCTACAAAATAAACAAAACATTTCAAAGTTGATGCTTTGAGTCAGTAGTTAGCCAAGGCATAGTTTGTTTTTTAACTCTTTTTGCATATACTCAGTTTGTTTTTCGAACATATGCATATCGGTTTAGAAGAGAATAAAATTTACTAAGTGTAATTACCTTAGCATCTTTGCGGCAAATCTTATTTATGATGCTATTTTCAAGTCTGTTCATGAAAGGTGCGTTTTGCCCAATACTTGATTCGAAACGCTTCTTGCAATTTAAAACGTTTGCCACCAAATCGTCTTCCAATCCAAGGCTCTTAAAGTACTGCAATGTGAAAAAAATGATGACAAAGTTATAATCACAAGCTTCCAGTTTGATCTGACATGATAATCTTTTTCTTCACATATAATGAATTGCATAAATGTTTTCTTTCCTACTGTAGCAATGTATACACACCATATGCCTTGTAAAAAGAATTGTCGCAAGCATATCGCACCACCTTTGCTGCCTTTTTTGAATGAGTTTTTCAATAAGCTGGCTCAGCTTTTCGCAGCAATCTTCCTCTATCGCCATCCAGCGTTCTCCGTGCAGTATTGCCCATGCAGTTAAGAATCCCTGTTGACAAGTTTTGTATTTTAGTCATTTTTTCCACGCAACTTAAAAAGTATTAAAACAATCCAGCTTTCCTGTTACCAAGAGTTTCTCAGAAAAGATTTGAGCTGTGTTCATATAAAAAGTAACAGACGTTAACTATCCTTACACAATAGTTTTTGGCAGTTTCCATAAAATTTCTAATTTCAGGAACATTATTTGGAAAATTTTCGTCTTTCTTGTACTCCAACGACAAAATTCTTCCTCTTATTCTAGAAAGAAAAAAGATATTTAATTAGATGAACTTTTTTAAAAACTTATAATTTTTTAAATATATTTTGGAAAGGACTAGTAAAACCAACTGAAAAGTGGTTCACTGGCTATATCCGAGCTCTTAAGGTGGATGAGTTTGTAAAGAAGGATGAGTAAAATGATGAGCTGTTTATCCCAAAAGCTGAAAGGAAGAAAGCTTTATTCCTGTTATTTAACGTAATGATATCATTTGATTTGAACAACTGAGATGGAAAATACCGTTGCGTTTCCACATCATTTGTCGATACTGTCATTCCACACAGTCTTGCACTCTGCAGCCCTTGCTTCACCGAACCTTGGAGTAAACCTTCATGAAATTGAAGCAAAAATTCACTCAAGGACTCCATCGATTTTATGTCATTCAAGTGCATCAAAAGCGTACTTCTTGACGACACTCTCCACATCATTTTCCTACAAAGAAGTAAAGTATTCTAAAATTATTCAGTGACGCAAAACTATTTTAGAGTGAAAAACAACTTAAATTATTTCAAGTGAATATTTTCAAAATCAAATTGATACTCTGTAATATTGATACTCTATAATGTAATATTGATACATCTGATATATTCTCATAGCCTTAAATGCTGTATGTTATTCTTATGTAAATAAAATTTTCCAGCTGTTTATTTACGTTTTCTGTAAAGCATATTAATGTTCTTTGCCTTTTGTTACATGCACGGTATTTGATATGTTTGCTTGAATGATCTTTTATAACACACAGTACGCTGTGAAATATAAACTTGCCAACAGTAGTGGAAATTAATGTCTTACTCGGATGTGCTTGTTGAATTCAAATTTCCCCCAGTAAGAAACAAGAGATGTTCTCTTTTACTGGCACCATACAAAATTTAAAAGTTCTTGGCTTGTTGTTTTACCAACATTCATAGCGGCACCATACAACAGCGCCACTTTACTTTCTCCTTGAAAAGAAAATGCAATTCTTCCAAAAATTTTACCACTAAACGTATAATATTTCATTTTAACCAAAAAAATGAATTATGACAGTCGGAAAATTTGACATGATCATACTTCATTGTTACAATGAAATGCAAGAAACTTGTATTGCTTCTTCTTTATGTAATCTACTATTTCTATTGGTAGCATAAATAAAAGATTATCCTTAATGTGACGGATGTAACGTGCTATTAGATGCAAAAACATAAGACTATTCTCAATGTGACGGATGTTACGTACCATTGTTTTTTCTGTGGGGTTTGGCATATGAATGTCGCAAAATTCTTCCAAGAACAAATGATGCTGCCAAGAGCAACGATTCTCTATTAACTGTAAACGCTGTAGTGAACTCCACAGACCTAATAATTAAATAAATAAATTGTGTGTTGACATTATTGTTAATTAAAAGTACGGCCAAAAAGAAAAGTCGCTGTTTCCGCGAACAACTATATTTTGAAATGAAAAAATATACTGTTCACACGTTGAATGAAAAAATAATACCGTATCATTTTAAATTCTTTTGCATAGGGTCTACCTATTATAAAGTGCTCGCACTCACCAAGCTTATTATAAGACACACGGCCCCTTCTCAATCAATCTTCTCAAAGCCCATGCCGGTTCCCCATCCATCAATTTCCCTGAATTTTATTGGCTATTTTGTCTTGACCGGTGCTCAGATGACGTTGGGCACCAGAAAAAAGCAAATGATTGGCTAATTATGGATTTGGGCACCGGTGAGAAAATAGTTGATTGGCTACCTCCGTTAAGCCTGATTTACACGAGACGAATTTTTTCGTGCGAAGCCAATTTTTCGCCGCGAATGCGCGAAAAATATGCGCAGAATTGGGGTTTGAAAATTCGCAGCGAATTTGCAGCGAAATTACCATAGAGTGCCGAAGTGATGACGTAATAAAAATCTATTTTTAGAATTTCTGAATTTTGATCCCATAACCTGAAAGACCATCATGAAATACCTCTAAATATGCAAAATCAGTTGAAGGCACTACGAATTGGCTGAGATATGGCCTCATTAGCACAGGCTATTCCCCCATCAAACCTCTGTAATTTGGTCTTGGTTCATAACTTTATGAACCATGCTAGAATCACAGCAATTAGCAAACTTGAAATCTTTCATTGGCCATATCTCGCCCAATTTGGAACATATCTAACTAATTTTGCATATTGAGAGGTATTTTATGTCGTTCATTCAGATTATGTTGTCAAATTTAAGAAAATCTAAAAATAGATTTTTGATGACGTCACACTTCGGTACTCTATTCCTACTTTTTCGCTGCGAAAAGTTTCGCCTTGAAAATAAACCAATCAGAACAGCATTGGAAGACACCTGACTTCTGTTTTGGTTTTAGATGGCCTACGTCTTTTCTTTTTTTTCAAACACTCTCGCCTTTAAAACGTCAATAAAAAAGGTTGGTAATTATTAATTTCCTGTTCCTTGTACACAATCCATGTAAGTTGATTTATATCAGATTATTATTCAAATATTTGAATTTCAAATTTACGAAAACTGGCTTGAAAGTTTCATCGTTCTACCAATATGGCAGAAATGAAAAAAATAGGCAAGAATTTCTTCAAATTGCTGAATCGTTGGCTGCAAATTGGCCTGCTCAAAATCAACAGTTTCAAGCAGATGCACTAACAGGATCTCGCATGCTCTTGCAAGCTTCGATTGAGACCTTTGAAAGTATAAGATATATACTGGTCTTATAAATGTAAACATAAGCCTCTCTTACCGAAAGATGGAATTCCCCCTTCTGAAGACGTCGTGAATAAATTTTTCTAATCCAGTATCGCTCTTTTGATAAATTTAAAATTTTAAACTTGCTGATAAGAGCTCTCTTCGGACAGTCGATATATTATTTTGTAATATTCGCAGCGAATTCGCATAAAAATTTCGCCAGTGTAAATTGATACATCGAATTCGACAGAAAAGTTCGCAGCTAAAAAATTCGTGGCGAAAAATTCGCTTTGCGCGAAAAATTCGTCTCGTGTAAATCAGGCTTTGGTGAGAATTCTAATTTACTCACCCACCGGTGCTCGGAATAGCGTGGAATAATGGGATTTCATTGGAGGATGAGACTGTCATCCGCAATCTCATTTGTCAGCACTGGCATCCTGCCATCTCATTGGTCAGCTCTTTCTTCTCTTTGCCGTCGGCAGCCTCCTTTAGCAGCTGCAATTAATTTTTGAGCCCCTCCCCCCCCTGGAAAAAATAAGTATGCCTCTATGTCAAAAGTTTTTCTGTATGCAGTCGCTGAACGATTTGATGCAGAAGTGTTGTGATGTTCGTTGCGAAAGATTAATCCTGTTTTTGCATCGAGATAAAGTCCAGAAAATAGCTACATCGTCTCGTCAGTTTAATCAAAATCAAACAATTTTGGCTGCTTATTGGCTTCTGCTTCTTAATTTAGAATCCGACTGACTACCATTCAACAGGGCTTTCTTAAAGATTTTTGTGTGGTAAGGCTTTTTCAGAAGGGCCCATACCATTCAGAAGGGCCGCCAGAGATTGTTCAGAGATAATAGACTGGTGCTTCAGATTGTGATATGCTTCCGCTTACGCTAAAAATACTGGTTTGCTGCAAGGGCTAGTTTTTATGCAAGGGCTTTTTTACGAGGCCCATCAAGGCATGGGTCCTGGGCCTTTCACCTCTTCTCTTCGGACCCTCCATCTCGACGCTCCTGTGTCCATGAAGTAAATAGATTAAGCATTTCGAAAACATGGTTGCTTTGGTTTTGCCTAACATCCTTATCACAAACAGGGCTGTTACTAAGTAATATACAATTTCTACCCGCAAGAAAACATGGTTCTATCGAGCTCGGTTATGTAATTGGAACTCTGATATAAGGTTATAATAAAGACCGCGATACCTCTTTGAACAGATTCAACAATATTCCAAAGGAACGACTTCTTTCCATGATTATGGTCTCATTTTGAGTATGGCAATGGCGACATCGATGGCAAGTTTATCACAAGACAGTGGTGCCGTGAAGAGGTGCCTACGGAGGGCTCAGCCCCCCTTTAAGATATTTTCAGGTGGCACCGCCCTCCCTTAACAAGCCAGTCTATGTTTGGTTTGGCGAATTCCTTATTTGGCAATATGAATTCACCTTTTATTATGCTATCGATTTTGGATGAATGAGTAATTTCTATTAGCCTTTTAGAGTCTGTGAATAGTTTGAATGACTTCATAAGAGATAACTAAGGTGTGGGAAGTGGCTTCTAGAAGTTCCCCACGGAGCAGCCCCCCTTCCTAACTTTTTAGGACGGCACTGCTGTAATAGGGCTATAACGGCTGACAAGACATAGTCATGGGTAATGATAAAACATCTAGATGAGCTCGTTACATCTTGTCAAGTCTTTTTCATCGCTTTTAAAGCTGTTCACATAGAATTGAAAAATCTGGAACATATGTTCCAATACCAATAACAATAGTTTCAAGTTAACATTATTTACAAGAGATGAAGCGATATCTTCATAATGAGTTTGAAAATCTCGTGCAATATCAATATTGATTTAAATTGATGAAAATATTAACGACGTCAGTATAATTTAGCACAGTGTAGACAACATTAAAATCCTTTCACGATTTTTAGAATTTCGACCTCATATCCCCAAAAGAAAGCAACGAAATACTTCTAAATGTACACAACTAGTTAGATTCTTGCTAATTTACCCATTACATGCGTTGGTTCTCTAAACTCGACTGCCCAAAAGGCAACACTCTGTTTACTGGTATCCTTTCGATACATATCCCGTGGCACTAGGAGCATGCAAATCCACCACCATACTTCTGCGATTACCGAATCTGAATAGACTTTTCATCGCCTCCCTGACATTTCCATTTTGCCAGCTGTATATTAAAGGGTTCATGACACTGTTGGCAAAGCCCAGCAGCAAAAACCAGTGATATAGAGATGCATGTGAATCTTGCTCCTTTGTCATATACATCTCTAAACTTCGTATAAATGAGATGGTCATAAAGGGAGCCCAGCTGACTGTTGCTGCGATGATAATGGCCGCCATTGTCTTAGCAATTTGGTAGTGCTTCTGCATTGTGCTTAATGATTTTGCTTTTTCTGGTATGGGCCGCACCTCTGGTGAATCTTTCACCTGCAGTTCGAGCCTGACTGTTGATACCTTCGTTTCAAAATCTTTTACTTTCACATCGCACCCGCCTTCAGTCACACCTGGCTTGCCAACATAAGCTGCTGTTAATGGGTACACTTGTCCAGAGTGGTTTCTATTCCCAGCTGTATTTGGTAAATTTGGTTGGGCGCTTCCATGGTTTGCCAACGCTTTGTTGCTTTCTCGAACTCTTCTGAAGATTTTCCAGTAACAGAAGCTGATAACGAGTAAAACAAAATTTGTGACACAGAGCAAGACAATATGGAAGTATAAACCAATGATAAACCGGTAGATTACATAAAGCGCGCCCGAAAGCACCCAGGCACAACCTGCCATGAAAAGTGTGCGTTTGGTCGTGAAAATAGCAAGGTATTTGTGATACCGGACTATATGCACGTATCTTTCGACGCTGATAACGACAAGTAGCAATATAGATGCAATGCAAAAAAAGCATGTTTGAAATCCGCACGCATGTTGCAAGAAGCATGAAAGTCGTGAGCCACGTGTGTAAACCAGGACGTTCAATGGGGTTGTTATTCCCACCATCAGATCTGCAACAACAAGATTGGCCAATAGTAGATTCGATTTAGTCTGCAAGCGTTTGTATTTGCCTATGCAAATCAAGACGACAGCATTAATCGCAAACGCCACGATTCCAAAAAGGGCAAATAAGATTGCCATTGATGTTGATTCGGTTTTTGTGAGCTGGTTGGTGTCTGGCCAATTAAAGCAACGTTCTTGTTCTACAGAAGTCATTTTAGGATTTTTTACGTCTTTTAAGCCTCTTGTGTCTGCAAAGAAAAAATTGAGCTTACATATCGATGATAACTATTATCAAAGCAAAGCAAAGCAAAGCAGAGCAGAGCAGAGCAGAGCAGAGCAGAGCAGAGCAGAGCAGAGCAGAGCAGAGCAGAGCAGAGCAGAGCAGAGCAGAGCAGAGCAGAGCAGAGCAGAGCAGAGCAGAGCAGAGCAGCGCAGAGCAGAGCAGAGCAGAGCAGAGCAGAGCAGAGCAGAGCAGAGCAGAGCAGAGCAGAGCAGAGCAGAGCAGCGCAGAGCAGAGCAGAGCAGAGCAGAGCAGAGCAGAGCAGAGCAGAGCAGAGCAGAGCAGAGCAGAGCAGAGCAGAGCAGAGCAGAGCAGAGCAGAGCAGAGCAGAGCAGAGCAGAGCATTAAACAAAATCAATTTCTAATTTCAAAACTATTCCATAGCACTTAAGGGAGGGCGGTGCTTTGAGCATATACAAATGTATCTTTACATTTTCAGCAAATATTTTCCCGTTAATACGCCAAGATGTTTAGTTAGTATGAAATGAATGCAAAGTTTTTGCGGTTGAAAATCATCGATCAATTAGAGGCTACAAAACATTGGTCACCTAGCATAGGAAAGGTATCCTCTAGCTGGCATGATTTGCAATTTATGAGATTTGAGGGGGGTCATGCTTCTATACTACCCTGGAAATTAGTATTTTCTGCGGCCATAACATTTATAAAAAGAGAAATATTTGTGACAAGAAACTGGTATTAGCGGCGAAGAACGCCCCTTCATCCCCATTAGAAATAGCTTGGCAAGAAAAGTATAGAAAACAGCAACTGTAAGGGAAAGGAAATTCATATAAATCAGAGTGTGGCTGCTGTTTTTAAAAAATCTAATTGAAAGCTCTGTATAAAGAAATGTAAGTTTACTTGATGTTTTCAAATGTGCTTCATTTTGGCTCCTATATACACATTTTTATAAAAACCTGCAAGTTGGATTTTACGCAGGGTTTTCCAAAACTTGTAGCTCAACTGCTCTTAATTGATTTTAAATTCTTAGACCGTACAAAAAAGAGATCAAAAACAGACAACTGCTTTTCCTTAGAACAAATCTGGACATGATGGGAGTAGGGGCGCGGAATATTTCATGCATCCCAGTGGGCCATCAGGACCCTCGATGAGAATATGGGTGTTTTTGTTTCTAAGACTTTTTTAGTTTCATCCGTTCAGGACGGCTGCATGATGTAACTGAGTTTCTCAAATTTCTGTGTCTTTAAATAAAATCTATTTTAAAGGAGTTTCTTATGAACAATTATCCTTATAATAGGGAGTATGATAGAAAATGGCAAAAACTTTTGGTTTTATATTAGCAATGGCAAATGGTACTTGGCCTACTATTTGAAAGGGACAGATTTGTTGATCCCCCGCCTTACATCATTGAATTCCATAGTTCAATTGTTGTAACTCCATTTCACATTATATCATTATTACAAATTAAAAACAAGCACGACAGAAGAACAGAGTCTTGCGGTACACTTGCAATACAGCTCTTATTTCTATTTTTCCTTGAAAGCAATTGAATTGCTCATTGCAAAGCAAACTCTAGCAGACGCATGTGTTTGTTGTTCAAATGGCAGAAGATGCAGAGTTCAATTGGAAAGGTCAGAGGAAGAGACCAAAAACATTGTGCTAAAAATGCTCAAAACAAATAGCAAAATGGCTATTGCCCAACGGCTGGAAATGCACAATGATGGAACAGAGCACTAAAAAGATTTTAAGCTTCAAAATTAGAATTGAACCAAGCTATACGAATCACCAGTTAAGCCACTTTTTACCCGGCTTAGCCCCCCTCCCACACTCTCTTAGACCCATTATTTTTCCCAATGCTCCGCGGTGCCTGAGGAATGGATTCAATTATTGGCAATATCCAATTTATGTTATTTTTCTCTAGACTTTCCCTTTAAAGATGTTAATCAGATGCTATTAGTATGCAAACAATTCAAAATATTGGTTCCTAAAGCAATTATTTAGACTTGTATCATAATCTAGTTGGCATTTCTAAGCTTATCGCTATTTTAAATCACTAACTTTGAATGAATGAATTAACATTTGTATATTATGTGATATCAAGCAATTGAAAATGATATCTTGTAGATGTTGTCGCAAGACTCTTCGACATCCATGGGAACATAGGCAGCTGTGTTAGCCAGCCATTCCACCTGCATAACCTTCGGGTTGTGAGATTTTTCGAAGGACAAATAGCCTTGTTACAGTATCTTCCATTTCTCCCAAATTAATGTTTGCCAAAATGATATTTTTGATTACATCTTCCTGCATTATCAGTAAGTAAAAGCTAGCAGCTGCACATAACTAGCAAAACTGTTTGTGATGAGAATGAAGAGATATATGGACTGCTCGACTTGTATCGAAAGCTCCTTTGAGATGGTTTTGTCTCAAGACCTTTCTTTCAAGTGATTCCATCAGGGCCACCCTAGAGATTTCAAAGGATCCTAGACTAAAACAAGAGACCGGCTCTCTGCTAGCGAAGCGAACAGAAAGTTTTTTGCGACCACGCAAGTAGTTTAAAAAAGATACTATTTAAAGGCATACTTTTGTTCTTTTCATTTGTTCCATTCTTAAAATGAAATTTCATATCCTTTTGGGACCCCCTATGCCTCAAGGCCTGACTGAAGCACTTTTCCTCTTGCCCTGTCTTGACGGAACTGGATTCTATTGATGTAGTTTGTTGTGAACTTATGAAATCTGCACTTTTAAGTCCTAAAATCATTCAATAACCCCAATGGCAGAGCAAAAAGGGAACATTTGGCAAAGCTCTGCAGAACTGACTTCGCGTTTTACTTAAATTTGATGAGGCGATGTTGGGGGAGTATTTAAATTGTGGCAACCCTTTCTTTATGATGTGATTCAATGCTTGTGAAATTGCCTTAGACATAACTTAAAAGTCAATCTCCTTCCCCCCAAATCTGGCTAGCCTTGTCACCGGCTCATTCAGCGGTGAATTTGCGATACAACGTAAAACGATATCTGTCTAGTGACAAGTTTTGTGTAGCATGTCCTTAGTTGCAATGCCATATACTGTAAAATTCGGAGTTCAACCTAGGTGTAACTGCAAAGGTCAATGGCTTAAGTCTTTTCCTTATATGAGAATCTTTACTTGCATTACGACGGATCTGAACATATTCCAGCCACACTTTCTGACGTCGAAACAAGAGAAGGCGAAGCAATGTTATAAAATGCATTTGAAATTCGAATTTTGGCGATTCAAAAAGACGGCTTCCAGGAAGCATATTTTGTAAACAAATACAACATGAATTGTTTTGAACATTTTATGTAAACGATTGACTTACCAACTACTAGAAATGCGTCTCGTGAAATTTTGCTCTAGTGCCCACTGTCACATCAAACCCACTTGACGACAGCGCACTCTTTTCCGCAGTTACATATTTCCTAACATCTGCAACAATGACAAGTTTGCATGAACACCTGTAACTATTTAAAGTAATTGTCAAATTCAATTATAACTGCAACGATAACAAGGCAAGATCTTAAACAATAATTATTATGAATCCTTAACCAAAGTATGGTCCGCTATCCTCGTTGTCGACGAGAATATAGTAATAATAATAATGTTATCCTAACACATTACCTTCCGTTATCAAAACGAGGTGTTTTTGGTGAACGAGAGATCTTTTGCAGACTTTCTGTCAAAATCGTTTTCGTCAATTCAATTATATAATAAGGTTCTTAGTATAATACTTGCAAAATGAGGTTGAACGTCACCCTTGCCTTTCCAGTGAGATATAGTTTCGAAGTTTCCGTGCTTCAAACCTTTTTCAGAACGTTCACCTTACATGATCCTGTAGAGAAGGTTTGTCATAAAGGATTGCTATGTCCTTTTATTTTCAGCCGGAAACTTAAAATTTATTCTGTTTTTGCAAAATAAATAGTTCAAATTAAAAATGAATGACGGGCTAACTTATGTGAAGCCATCTTGAAAAAATCTCTTCAGCATAATACATAAAACTTTCGTCGATTTGGTAAGCTGAGAGAAAACAGAGCAGCCAAGTGAAAAAGAAATCTTTGCATAAAGACTATATTTATATCCAGTTCATTGAAAAAAAAGGGATTAAATTTATAAAATCAACTATTTGTGACACACTAAGCACGCTGAGTAAGCAAAGAGCCATAAAGGGAAGAAACATAAAGTTGTGTGACATTATAGGCCTTGGAAGTTTGGCATGGTGCAATGCAAATCTTACACATTCTTACACATAACATAATTCTTACAATATTTGCATTCTTACACAATCCCAGCATGTTTTCTATCACCATGGACACTTAGAGCACGTTCACACTACTCTGCTATTAAACGGAGTCGTTTGAAAACGCTAATAAAAACGGGTACTTTCGAATGCGGTGCGTATTGAAGACGCTCCGTTTTAAGTGTGAACACCAAAAATGGAGACATTTTTAAGTTTTCAAACTGGAAAATCTTCAAGTTTTCAAAGGTTTAAAAATGTTTGCAGATTTCTCTTGAATTCCATATATCAGTTAGTAATAACGTAGGATAAAACACAAACAAAATAGTTGCCTATAATAAAACTCTCTTCTCAGCTTTTCAAGGGAATAAAAAACAAATCGAGAATAAAAACAAGGGAAGGGTGATGCATGTAAACTTCGAGAAAGCAATCGACCGAACACACGATTTGAAGATCATCTTTTAGCAGTATGTTGAGATTTCAATAGACCAAAAAAGGAACAGAAAAGGATTAGCTACAAATAAGTTATGACCATAATTGAGGAATCTTTCTGTGTCAGACCCCGTATTAAAATCTGCTTGGTCTATTCCCCCTCTGCCCGATCTGCCCTGTACTTTTTCTCTGTCCATGGCCCCTACTGCCCTCGCTGTGTGCCTTTCTACCTCCACCTCCCCTTGCCTGGCCACTCTGCGAATTCCTATTTTGGGTATAGTCACTCGCACTCCGCCTGAAAGTCGAACCACCACGGCTTGGTCCTTTTGGGGACGTCTTTGAAGATTTTACAGTTTGCCAACTATACGGGTTACTTTCCTTTGTATCGACATCCTTATCAGTCTCAGGGGAGGTAAATTTGGGCGACTGGGACCTTCGCATTGCAGAGTCTTGTCTTTGTACATTCCACGCTGATCTTTGAGTCCCCAAGGGGGTTTGAGATTGATTAAATCGCGATTTCAACACTTGCTCCGAATACCCAGATGACCCAGTCGATGTCCATGATTCGTGTCCAGGGACACGTCCAGCTGGTGACAATGGATCTAAGAACGGATAAGAACAATCGATAGGTTAAACTTTTTATCAAACAAATCATTCCTAAAGGCAATATGGGTATAAATTCAGATGAAAAATGAAAACGGGGAAAAGAGTCCGAGGCCCCCAATGTGTATTTTCCACAAATTCAGAAGCTAGCTTTTGCTGCTGCCTAAAAGGTGAGCCAAATATTGCTGAAGTTCAAAACTGTGTTAAAAATTCAGAGAAATATCATAGATAAAGCTAGAGCCTGGTAATTTTTTCTAAATTAATGCTCAAAAACTACATTCCTATAAAAGATAAAATACACGCTAGTGTGGATTTTGCATTGACAAACGCCTGGTTACTTGCTAATGTGTATTTTGTAATGACAAACTCGTTCAGCTGAAAAAACAAGAGACGATTTCTGGATACCTCTGCCTTCTTTCTGGCCCATTACAACCCCAGCGCTGCTAATTGATATTTGCCGTGGCACATATTCTTTCCTAAATGTTCCAGAGGCCACCTTGCTTGCCCAGGAACTCTCCGTGGGGACTGGGGACGATGTGCTACTTCCAGCTGTAGATCGAACAGAGGCTGAAGAGACTGATTTTGATGCAGAAGTCTTCCTGTTTGAGTTTGCCGTCTGCAAGATGGTTGGTCAAAGCCACTAAACTCTTACTTCAATTAGCATAAAGTTTTTATGTGCACAAAGATAGGTGAAATAAGAAAAATTCTATTGATTTGGCAAGAGTAACGTCATCGTTAAGATAGAAAATTACAAAGAGAATATTGGTCTAAAATGTTTTTTAACTGTAGAGTTATGTCTAATTCGTAACCTTTAAAAATTCCTAAGATCAAATCCACGGGTATTGGATGCATAAAATTGTGACAGAAATACATATCAGTCAATATATAAAAATTTGCAGAAACAAATTTCAGAATAGTGGGTCGATAGATCACTTCTAGGTCATGACACATCCAGCACAACTCAAATTGCCACAATGTCATAAAAACAAATGTGATATTTACTCTGCTAACATCAAACGTTCTCATAGCAAGTAAAGTTACTGATGTGAAAGGTCGAGTTTTAAGTGGAACAAACATTTAATAATGCGAAGGGCTCTTTCTTCGTAACTTATAAGAGCAGTGGAAATATTGACACAATATGTTATTCGATTGCTTAATAGAACGTCACCTACGCATTAAAAACACATTAAAACCTCACTGTAACGGAATAAGCACACATTAAGAAAAGAAAAACAGAGCCTACTAGCACTTGGTAATTTATCTTTACTGTGACAAGGGCTATCGTTTGGCTTATCAGTTAGCCCATTCCTCTTACCACGAAACTCCTCCTTTGCCAAACATACTCCATAGCAGTTCACAGAAAAACAGTAACGTTTTGCATTTAGCAAGAGGATATTTGGTGTCGGCTCGATCAGGTTTTACTACGAGAGCAAGTTTTTGGCAGTAAACATTTTTAAATGGCTTTGAAAAAGGTATTGTGTAATTTTTGCTATTTAAAAACCAATTTCACGTTTAATTACAAAAGAAGGCTACCAAAATTACCGTGGTAGGAGTTGAATAACCATCATCTTGGGTGAAAGCTGCTGACCGCTTCAAAGTCAGCTGCACGGTCTTCTGGAATACTGAGCCACCCTCCTTCAGTAGTACCTCATGTAAATGTTTCGTGTTGCGTGGCTTTTTTACGTATTTCTGCGAATTAAACAGTATGGTAATAAAGAGCTTGATACGTATATATGGAACTCAATGGAGCTAATGTTCTTACCGTCCGCCCAACCACTAACCCATTAAAATCTTGTTCGATTAAATCATTGTTAAATCATTTGAAAGAACATGGAACAAAATATGCAATAATAAAGCGATTCGGGGGTATTATGAGGGTGCCCAACGAATCTATAATGCGGGGTATTATGAGGGTGTCCAATGAATTTATGAATGATTACTTTGAGAGAATTTAGCTGAAATAAAAACATTTAAAACGAATAGCGTTCAGTTTAGACTAAGACAGATAAAGACTAAGACTATTTTTGTAATCACCGACAGATGGAAAAAAGCTTCCAAAAATTGGTCGCATGAATTTTTAATAATTAATCTCAATGTTAAAACATAATTTCCAGGTAATAATGTCAAAGTTTTCAATTTGGCCGTACTGAAAACAGGAGTATTTAATAAGATTGTGAGTATAATCAATTAAAGAAAAGTTTAACGAAATATTCTAAGGGTAATATACCTCGTATGAAACATTGCATTCTACATAGATAGGGGAGTTATCTGACCCAGCAGATTGCCACCGATCAGCAACATATGGTGGCTGAAAAATATTGCAGAATAAATTTCATATTTCAGACTTCAATGCTTCAATGCTTCATTTAGAGCGCTTAATCAAAAATTTCAACAAAATAATTAGATTTTTTCCTGAGGATGAAGTCAAAAGAGAGAAGTTTTTCAGCAGTGATCGATTGTAATGCATTTGGTGCTTTCCCCTGCTAATTTGCAGTCTTGTCTCCTTGTTTACACCAGGACTACAAAAATTCTGCTAAGAAGAATGAGTGCAAGTTAATCTATAAATCATGATATATTGGAAACAGGTCAGGATTCTGGAGTTAAAAACAAACTCTTATGACGTAGTCAAAACTGTCTGCAAGATATACAAAAGCTAAATTTTAGCATTGTCTCAAATCGCTGTAGCTTCAAAACAACTTACAGTAAACTAATTCACTAATACAGGGGATTTAGATTTGAGTGCGCCAGTTAACATTTGAGAAAAAGGTGGAAAATGTTGGCAAGAAAATTGATGAAAGAATTGGGACAGAAACTTTTGATTTCCTTACAGCGAAATAGCTGAATTAAAGCACAAAGGACTTACATGCGTTACAGTTTGGTATTGTACGGAATTCACCTGATGAAATGTAACATCCTAGAAGGAGAATATTGGCAGTTAAACTTAACACTAATATGAAAGACCAAAGAACAAATTAGCAGTTTGCTAAGAATTTTGATTTAAGATTTAGCAAATGATTCATGCGAAGAAGCTAAAATAAAAATTCTTTTAATAAAAAGAGATTCACCATTAGCAGGACAGGCACGCGTTGTTACAATTTTGTTGAGATAATCATAAAATTCTAATATCTTTAGTTTTTTAGAATTCATTAAGAAATACCAAAATGACGCCATAGTATTAAGAAAGACCAAAGTCAATAAAAAGGTCTTTGAAAGAGAGAAAATCCCATTTCAAATAGAAAGAATAAACTAAGAAACCTTAATTAAAACATGAAGGCAGTATATGTGTTAAACACAAGGCAATGTTGACAGCCAAGATAACGGCAAAGAAGAAAATCATTGAACTTGACAAATAAAGCCGAACTTTCTTGGTCAATAGCTCCGCCTCCCACAAGCTTTGTCAAATTCTGGATTATCGTTACTCGTAGCAGATACATACTGTAATGTAGGATAATAACAGTTATTGAATTTTGGGAATAGATTGCCAACCTAAATGTTCTCTCCATTTTAAAGGCTCTATTCAAAAGAACACAGCGCTTATCGTGTTAATTCAGATAAAGGGCAGGGGTTTATATTAAAAACTCCACGCCACATAGTGGGCTTATTCGAGAGCACAGGCTTATTTGGGGGGAGATGCTTGCTCTAAACTTAGACATGTGTCACGGAGATATAACATGCAAATAACAGCAAGATTTGTGACCCGAAATACGATAATAAACAAGTTGGATAAAAACTCTTGATTTGATTTATATTACAAAATTGAACTAACTTAATTCAAAATTTGATGGTAAAGAATGGGGCTTCATCGACAGGGGGCCTATGCAAATAATTGGGGTAACAATTTGTGAGGCCAGAACGAGAATCTTGCTAGGCCATTACAAAAAAACGCAACCCTAAATATTTCTAAATTTTCAACCAAAGCCTTTTCAATACCACTGTTAACCTCGCAAGGTTCTAAGCGGTTTCGTTTCTTCGTAAGAGTTTAAATGGCTAATCAACTTCAAAATGTTTGCTTTTAGTTGAAAAAGGACTCTTAAAATATGATTTTGAGATTGCGTAATATGCAAACTTTACTGAAACAGGTGACTAACATCCATTTATATCAAGAGTCGAGTTGACGTGAAAGAAATTGCCTGGTGGATGTTAATTGGTTATTTTTCATACGAGAATTAGCTACTTATGTAAACAAAGATATATAAGCAAACTCAAAACGAGCCTTTTTGAAATAAAATATCAGAAAGGTCTGCAAAACCTACGTTTTGTGTACCTATGTCTGTGGAAATAAAAATTTTTGCTTTGAGAAAGTAACTGAAAAAGACAAAATTTTAATCTTTGGCGCCCACCTGTGTTTGACAAAATAAAAGCTACAGTGGTACCTTGCAACCCTTATCTTTTCCCGTACAATTCTACGTATAAACATTTATCGATTTATCTTGCAGATCTACCTTGATACACGTGAGGGCATTGTCATCTGCGTCAATTTCCAGGAACATTTTCCATTTATGGTCCTGAAATGAATTAATTGTCTAGTAGTTTCGAGAAATCTCCTAGATTGAAGCGTAAATCTCATCAAGTTTGGCCTAAGCCTGATTTACAGTGAGGGAAATTTTACAAAATGCAAAAAATTACAAAAATCAGAAAAATGTTCTGAAACTCTGTCATGCATACCGAAACTTCGCAATTCGAACTGAGCGAGTAAGGGGAGAACCAATAAGAAGGGGAACACACAATATATAAATACCATGGGGGTTGCACCCAGCCGACAGTGATTGCCAAACAGCAAAGTCATCGTTATGCAGGTGCAATCATCACATTGTGTCTCCTGTTGACCCGACTGAAAAAACGAGTGAGAAACTTGTATTAACGTTTTACAATGCTGAAATCGACAAGAGAAGAGGGAGGGGCAGTGAATTGGCCTAAAAAGATCTCCTCATGAATAGAATTTGAGTAAAAATTTTTGAATTGAGTGCAGATCTCGTGCATTATATTCATGTAAAATATCAAGCAAATAGTGAGAGATAAGTTTGTGATGGTAAGCAAGAAAAAATATGGAATACAATAAAATATACATGTGGGAAATGGCAGGTTTGTAAGACATGGAAATAATAAATATTGAAACATGAACCAAACAAACGAAACTTATCAAATAGCAGCGTCTATCAAGAAATGGCTTTGTGGAGAAGAACCCAAGCAAAGGCAAATAGTATTTGAAAATGGCTTTAAAAATAGCAAACATTTTACAAAGCTACTCCAAATTTTGTACCGCCAAAAAATTGTTCAAATAGTATCCATGGTCAATGAGAAGTTTAGAGAAGCCTTTTACAATATTCAATTCACTCAACTTTCAATCAAAGCTTTAATGTAAAGGAATCGAATCGAAGAACAAAAGAAATGACTAGAGAGCTGAAAAATAGTGACAGCAAATCAAACTAGCACTCACTTGCACATAGAAAAAAGTGCAACTTATCGTAAAATCTTTAGCAATCACAACTGATAGGCTTTTGAAAAACGACACGTCTATTAGAATATAGAATTTGTTAGATACTGAACAAAAAAATCTTTTAAAAAGGCCCTTCCTTCTACTCATATAGTTAAGCAGTTGGCAAGAAGTATATAGAAGCTTGCTGCACTAAAAGTGAATGTTTTTATCCAACATCAGACGACGAAAACAGAGATTTGAAAATAAAAGAGAGGCCTCTTTGTAGACTGTAAGTCACAAACAAGACTAAGTTAATTCAAATCCACCCTTTAATGGTTGCACATCTTAATAACAATTTGCACAGCCTGTAACGCTGGGCTATTTGGAACTTACCATTAGCAATGGTGGAAAGTGAAGCAGATGTTCCATTTCATCCCAAAGCTTTTGTATATGATCCTGTGAAAAAAATTATGGTTAGAAAAGGTACCAGAGACAATTTGCAAGCAGCAGTTGAAAGCATAAAAGCTACTCTCAGATCCATACGAAAAGCAATGGTGCCACAAAAGTTTTGACTTCGTACCATATAGCCTCACAGAACATTCGAAAATACCTCAAAAAATGCCAAATCATTTAAAGTATTACAAATTGGCTAGGACGCGATAAAATTGGTACAGGTTCTGTCCCCATCCAATCTCTATAATTTGGGCTTGGCTGGGCTCTACAATCTATTAACCGAGCCAAAAAACAGTAGTAAATTTTCAGGTTATGTGGTCAAAATGAAAAAAATAGAAAATAGAATTGTGATGATGTCACACTTTGTTACTCTCTTTGTAAGGTAAATTTTCTAAATTCTTTGCAATTTTGTCAATAAATCTAAAATTTAATCTGATTTCAATCAAAACAACTATATTGAAAGACAGAGGCATCTGTAACTTGCTTTCTAAAATTTAATATAGCTTGCATGCAGAAACCCATTTGTTTGTAGTTACCAACCCAAATGAAATTTAAAACATATAAAAACTCATAAAAAAAAGGATGAAACGAACCGACAATTAAGGAAAGAAGCACAATTCTAGGATAAATTTTTATATTTAGACTTCTGCATCAAAATATTCGATAAAGCAAAGCGCATTTAATCTTGACCATAAGAAAGAGAATTTTTCTTGAAAAGTATCCGTTGATTAGAAGAAATGATGACGAGGTATCTAAAAGTTTAAAGGTAATTTCTATCTGAACATTAAGTTTTTCACATACAAAAAGGTCCATTCTGTGGCCGTATGATAGAATGCCCATTTCCTTTAAATCTTCAATTGTCAACATCAGGAGCCTTATGAAAAAAGAAAAACATTAAAATCCCCAGAAAATTCTAAAACGTGAAGATCCAAGGAAACTAAAGATTTCTATAAAAAACGTGTTCTGTCGATAAGCAGAATAAACCATCCGACGGCTTAGCAAAAAAGAAAATTAAATTTGATATCTTTTGTTCTAATTTGCCTTTTGCACTAGATTGCAACGTTCCGCCACTTAGATAAGATATCTATGGAAAGCTTTGACAAGATTAGAATATCCTACAGTACATCGTAGAATATCGTACTAAAATACCGAGTAATTCTCCAACCCAAACATATTCAGACGGCACATTGATACTGACAAGGGCCTGTCACCGTCAATTTACATAAAACGTTTCTTGCACGAAAAGGATGTCTTGCAAGAAAAGGACAGCAGGATTTTACCTTCTTCCGTTGATATGATTGTCTTTCAAAACATCGGCATACTGATAAAGATCTACGGCTGTAAAAGCACAATATTTAGAAACAAAAACTTTATATCTTTTATTTAAAAAAAAACTGCGAAACGCGATTGGAGGTTTGGATAAACGTGAACATTGCTAAGAGCGAACATAACGAAATGAATTATGACGCGGCCTAAAACTAATTTTCGGAACAGATATTATAAAAAAGACGATGTAAAGAATTATAAAAAATATAGAAATAAAATCATTTAAGCGATGAGACCTTTTAGATAACCCAGCTTGTGCCAAGATCTACACTGATGACACGTTTTGGATCTACATACATTCCTGTGCTCACGTTTTTCTGATTGGCCAGTGAGAAATTATAAACAAAAGCATATGAACATAGAACAAACGACCATAATATTTGGTGTAAGTGGAGCTTGAAGCCATGTTGCAAAGTTAACAGCAATACGTTAAGCACCAAACCGAGGTTTTCTTGATCCAAAATGACTAATTATGCTAAAGGGTCTACCTTCATTGCCAAGCTGCTGCATCCATATATGCTAAAAAGAAAATAAATCACGTTGTGTCATCATAATCCCAGCCTAACTTGGATGCGTCTGAATTAGATATCCTTTAGATAGAAATCCAAGTGCCAGATTGACTTTTCATCAGTTTTAAAGACACATGTGAGGAAATTTTAATAACAGTGAATAATACTATCTGGATTCAAGAAAACAGGTGAATATGAGACATAACTGGCATATTTTTAATAGAATAAAGATCGCGACAGTCACTCAATTTGTATCAGAAATAACAACTTTTCCAAAATTAATAGAGGGAAACAAAGTCTTCGGCCAAAGCCTCATCTACACGAACTATTTCCGCAGGCAACTCTCATTTTTGATTGGCTACAAACTTTATGACAAACTTTTACTCAACAAAAAATTCGATGAACGTGTAAACTGCCAAAAAAAGCCCAGATATAAACTTCGATTTACCGTATTCAACATGATGAAGAGAATTTTCTTTACTTTTTCCTAATAATCTACCTTGTATATGCAGCACAATGAAATGAAGTCAACAGAAAATAAAAGTGATGGGCTTAGCGATCAGAGAGTAATCGCTATGAGCAGGACACGTCTATAAGATATCAATCTTTTTAGTAGAAAATTATGAGGCCTAAATTGAAACAACCCAGAAATACAAGCAAATAAACATCTCCATGAAAATTGTTAAGAAAAAATCAACCGTAAAGATAAGGCATGTGGTTTATTGGAAACTTTGGAATGAAAGTATTTCAGAACACAAGTGAAAAAGGTAATGAAAAATAAATTGGACAGAAAAGTCTGTCCCATCTTTCAAACTATAAAACTGTTACTTCTTACCACATCATCCTCACTCCAATCGCTCAAGTCCGCTTTATTGGGCACCTAAAAACAGCAAATATAACGGAAGACGTAACTAACTTTTGAATCAGCAAATGCCTCAGCATATAATTGCGCTCTATATTGCATCTATTAAGGAACACTCAACATAAGGTTTTATAAGTCATTAACAATTCACAGATGGATAGGGGTGCCATATGGTGAACGGTCCCTTAAAATCAAATACGTATTGAAAATATGGAAATGAATAAAAATATATCTTAATTTTCTTTCTCCTTGTCCTGAATAACGAAAGAGTGTAACCTATAAAGATATATGGTAAAGATAAAAAAACGTTCACAATTCATTCAATGACTTGTAGCACCAAACGTTAGCTGAAATCACAAAGTTATATATATTATTTGCTCGTTTCTTATCAACACCATCTTTCTAATATAGGCGATCTTATCCAACTGCATTAACTGAAGCAGGAGAGGACGTCTATATTTATTAACAAACAATGATAGATGTGACCAGAATCCACAATTCTAAACAAGGTTCAAGGTAAATTACCTTTGCAGACAACTGTTTTTCTTTTAATATAAGAAGCAGTTCTCGCTGAGAATGAATAAAAAGAAGTCACATAAATTCACATATCAGTTTACTTCTGGGTGATTAACTAAATCAAAGAGGAAACAAAAACAGCAATGAAATAAATCGAGTGCGTATTAGTATCTTAATTAATAGAAATACATCCATTGGTTGAGCTTTGAAAATGGATTTACACAAGGAGAACTTTTGATCAAACAATTCGAATAAATTTTTGCTGAATGCTGAATGGCTGACTTTGATCATTTTGTCCTCTTAATCGACAATACGTAGATCAAGATTCAATTGAAGAAATGGGGTTGAGTTCAACTTTTGCGCTTCAAATTTTTGTCCTGTTAGTATGAGCCATCAGGACAAGCCTTGTTGGGGGAAATGAACAAGAGAAGGCCCTTTTAATGAATGAGGCAATCCTCCGCCATGGAGTCAAAGAGCATGCATATAGAAGGAAGGCATTATTACGCATGCTTTTAAAGACTTTCGCTCCCTCGTCTTATTAACATAAAATATCATGGTAAAACAGCATATGGTTCAGGGTATACAAACAACAACACTTTGCCTCAGGAACGACAATTTTCAGGGGAGTTAGCATGGAAACCTGATTGCATAAAAATTTGGAGGGGACAAAATTCTATTGAAAAACAAACGTTTGATGGGAGAATTCCCCTCTTGCAAATCCATTTTAGAGGTAGAGGTATAAATTATTATTCTAGCCTCGAAATAATAACTAAAAAACTCAGTTATTAGACAAAACAACGACGGAACAATGATTTCTTTCACCGCAAGATGAAGCACAAATTTTTCTCTCTGGGTTTTCGTGGTCGTTTTACATGAGATAAGTTGGAAGTTGGCAGCAATTACAATTACAGAAGTACAGGAGAAGGAATAGAAGGACTGGACTTAGATGGTGATAGTTATATATAAAGGAAAAAATTGTTCCAACCTGATTTAGGTCTCTTTCTTTGAGATTTAAATTGCGTTCTATATTTTTCAATTTTTCCATTGTTGCCTCGATCTCATTTCTGTCAACAAAAATCAGTATTCAAGAATTTTTAAGATTGTTTAGAACTAATTTAGAAATAATTAAAACGTGTTGCTTAAACTCGGAGAAGTTAAAGACAAATCGAGTCACGTTGGTTGGGTCCTAAATGTGTGAATTACATACAGGACAAAATATCTTTCAAAAATTTTGTTAAGCTTTCTTAAAGTCTAATGGAGAAAAGGTTCTCCGTTTGCTTTCCATGGCCTAATAACGACCTTTACAATGGATCACGCACCATTCTCATCTTTCAATCTCTTTTTCTCGTAGTACCTTCTGAAAGCTTTTCAAACAACTTTAAAGAATTTAGGATTCTCAAGAGACAGCTACCTATTCTCTAAACAGGCAAATACCACATTTTACAGAAACTAATCATCTAAAGTTACAGAAGGCTGGGATACCTCCATTCGCTCTTTCGATGCAGAAAAGTATTTGTTTCTTCTTCTAGATCTCCTAGAAAGACAAAGCCATAAAAATGTAAACACCTACTTATCATAGTTAAATCACTCAAATGGAAACAAAGAGGAAACAAGCAAAGATCAAAAAGCCGAATGCAACGAAAAAGTCAATGATAAAAATGGAAAAATGCTTTGAAGAACGATGGACAAGAGTAGTAAATTCACAAATATTCGACAGCAGCAAGTAATTCTAGAGACAAAGAAAAAGTTATATAATGTCTAAACTATTCGACATATAAAATTAAAGAGAATAATTAACGACTGTAATCCAGATAGCTAGATGCCTAAAAAACCCACAACATGGTAAAAAAAATTTAAAAATGGCCTCTTAGTTACAGAACATAAAACCATGAATTTACCATCTTCCGTCATCGAGTCGAGTATTCCTCTGATTTCCTTAAAATCGGGTCTTTCCTGGTAAGTAAAAATTTCAATTACTACTGAAATTATCATATCTGCGAATATGACAATTTAAGAGATCTTTTTGTCTGTACTAAAGAGGAGTGATTTTCATATTCTCTTTTATTATATATTATTCTGTTCTTGGAAATTATGGAAGCATATATGAGATTATGCAAACTGTTCCATGATAAAAAACAATGACAAAAAAATCGTACCTTTTTGGAGAAGTGAATTTGAAAACAATATGTATTAATAACAATTTCAAAAGGTTTTTTTGAAATTCAACAATATATTTAATTTCGAACATTAGGTATTCATTATTTAGCAGTAGTAGATCTCGAGATAAATTAGCTTTAGTGTTAAGGTTTTCTATCAGGTGCCATTTTAAAAGAAATTGAGAGTGATTAAGACGACAATGATAAAAAGAATACCTTTGGATTCGTGGTCCAGCAGTGTCTCAATAACGCTGCGAACTGCGGTGGGCAAGTGCTTGGAATGGTAAGTCGCTACAAAAACAAATAGTTTTATATGGAAAAATATACACAGGTCTTGAAGTTGGATTCCAAGCAAAAACTTTGGCAAAAAACGATGCAGAATTAGGTAAATTATCTACCTTTTCTTTGACAACAACAACCCAAGCCACCTGGACACCTTGCATTCCATTAAACGGAATTTCACTTGTTAAGAGCTCCCACATTAGCTGAAGATGGAGAAAAGGACTTTTAACAACAAAGAAAATAAAAGAATGTACAATAAGTTAAATATCCAGAAAACAGGTAAGGTAACCAGTATCATTAATACCCTTTTGCCAAAACATACATTTAATGCTTTCTTAATCCAGTATGTTTCTATAGGCTGAAGGGATAGTTTACTTCTTTGAAACATGATATTAAAATTTTGCGAAGATCGAAACATTTTGAACAACTCTAAGTTACACGGTTTTACTTGCACTAACTATAGTCTTATACAGGTCTTATACACTGAGAATTTAATATCATCATAATTCAATTCAATCAATTTCTCAAGCGGGTGTATCTTTTAAAAAAATAAACAGCCGGACTATTATGAGTGATAACTTTTCAATCTTACCACACCATATGAGAAAGTGTCACACGATTCTGAGACTGGCATACTCTGAATGACCTACAATAAAAACGAATTTGACCTAGTAATCAGTTAACTACTTTACATAGTAATCAGTATCAAACGGCAAAAGAAGCAGAGAAAAAAGAATGGCGCTGTTCCATCACTGGCGCTGTTCCATCACTGGCGCAGAAAAAATAATGGCAGAACAGGAACATATGGTGATATCAAGCGTAGGGCTGCAGATCGGGATAAGTGGCGGGCGTGACGTTGAGCTTGCTTCGCAGCAGACAGCCAAAAAGAATGAGAAGAGAGAGAGAGAGGAATCAATTTATTAGTATTAAAATACTTTTTTAAGTTGGTAAAGTTACGTAGAGATACCTGTAGAAAAGAACAAAATAAATTGACAAGGCTTAATAAAGCGGGAAGTGAACTATGAAGTTTGTTGATTCTAATTTGAATAGGAAAGGTTATAAGAACCTGGAAGTTTTAAAGTTTACAAGCTCTTGAAAAAAGGATGAGCTGTGGAAAGAATTTCTGAAGAGTTTCTGAAACGCTCAACCAAAGGGACAATGGATAACTTCTAGTCTTCTGGTTCAAGCCAGCATATCTAAAATCAATGTTCAGGGAAGCGTACGTATAATATAGATAGGTCCACAACAGAGTAGCAATGAAAACAATTGCATGAAAATGACTGATTATCAACAAAGGTCAATATTGCCAAATGTCGTAGTGTTTATAGTAGGACACCTACTTCTGGGGCCATCCATGGAAAGGTCCCTGCCATTGACATTTTTGTAGTTTGAGATATAAATCTTGATGAGCCGAAATCACAAATCTGTGAATAAGAATTGTAACTTTTTCAGCCACAAAGGTAAAAAACAAACAGCTACTTTTAAAAAGGGACAATATACTGATAAATTGACTGGATGTAAACAATTTTACTTCAAAAAACCATTTTCGTCGGGACGTTCATTCTAAGGGAGCACTCCTGAGAATGAGAAAGGACACAATGGAGATCTTGGAAAAAGAGCTTTTAAAAGAAACTTTTTCAAACTGTGATATCAACGTTTAAGAAAAAAGGACTGTACTAATGATGTTATATTTACAATAAACTGAAAAAAAGCAATTGCACATTCTGAACAGCCTCCTCGATCTTGCAGGTCTGGAAACACTGTTAAAACAAGTGATTCTGCCATCGGTCAACATCTTTTAGACAACCCAGACTGTGCTAAACTCTATAATGACAAAGCGCGGTCGTCTTTCCACCTAGCAGTTTTGAAATCGATCTACATACAAACGAAAAAGCCGCCATTTTGTAGACAGAAGGAGTTCGTTTTCTCTCTTGGACTCCAGTGGTAATTTTTTTTGGCACGTGGCACTGATTGGTTAACTATACCGGTCTCGTGCTTGCATTTTTCTGATTGGCCTACTTCGATCCACAACTGGGTATATATTTTTCATCGTGTTATTTCAGACACTTATTCTGATTTTTAGGCTCTGAGGAGTGTCAGACGAAAATACGTTGTAAATATGTTGTAAATTATTTGCTCCTTTCAAAGACTTTTTCAAGTTCTGTACTGCTAAAAAACGGTTCAAATTACAAATTCCAAGTATATTTTCTCTATTATTTAAAATAAACGTTCCTTTCTAAATGGGGGCATTTGTTCCTTGGTATGTTTAAAAGGGGCGAGTTTTTAAATTTATCTATGGGTGTTCATATGGAGGATATCAAAAAGAAAGGTGTGTTCACTTTTTAGTCATATAGTATATCTGTATAAAAGCATAGAATCATAAAAGGGTCTACAGTGATTAAAATGTCTTCGTTTTACCATGTGTTACAAAACAAATTAGGTTGCAAATTTAGAAAAGGAACATATCTTCCATTTTGCGAAATAAAATACTTTGTGCTAAGTGATACCAACCTTAACATTGAGTTCACTTGTGATAACAACTGAATGAAGATACAGAGTTTGACATTAGTGCAATATACAAATGGAAAGATTTTACAGGCTTCAAAAAGCAAATTGGCATTATAGAATCATGATTTATTCATAAACAAAAACATGCATTGTATCTTCCTTAACTAGGAATACTTGTTGTTGCAATGATCTAAGAATCAATTAGGGTTGAGAGCTGTAGTCAATCACATCCGCTTATAGGAATATAACTAGAGATTGTCTTTTAGCATTTTTAATTGTGTTTTAATGGAATTACAAGTATGTAGGAGAAAATCTTAATCAGAATAAACAATTTTCCAGACTCATTTTAGTCCTTATCTAAGCATAAACAGTATCATATTTAATCTTATTTAGTCAGCTATGTAAAAAAATATGTCTACAATGAGCCAACTCCAATTATGACTTGGAAATCCAATTTTGAGTCACAGGAACATAAATTTCTGAACCTAAGAATAATTATGAATTTCTAGATTAAACAAAACAAAATAGAAGTACCATTCTTTGATTTCAAATCCCTGTGAATGATTTTGAAAGGTGCTTCATTATGCAAGTAGTTAAGTCCTAGAAGAGAGATTCAACTGGTTTGAAACAAATCTTGACAGAATTAATTCTAATTGCAGAAGACTCGAATAAAAGAAATAAGGAATAAGGAAATATATGTTGAATTTCTCCTAACATCATCCAACAAAGGAGAGTTTTGAATTCACAATATCATTTCCAGAATATCTAATTGGTGGCATATAGTCAAAGAATCAGAATATCACACATGTTACCTTATCTAGAAAAAATATTGTAAATCTTTGAATGAGCATCCACCTTTGAATGAGCCCCTACTCAAATGAATAAGCATCCCCCCTAAAGCAGTAAAAAATTTAATGTGATCCCTCCTCAAAATGAGCCCTTTACCCCGCAAATCTGAATCCTTTAAGGACTTGTTTATGAAGAGGATGGTGATGAGATGGTAAAATGTTGAAAAATGAACAGTCTGCCTTTTCTTAAACCTTAAATCAAGCTGATTTTATATTTCTTATTTACAGGAAATTTTTAAAAAAAAATAGTAAATAAAATCATCTTTGGATAAGAGCCCTGCTTTAATAAGTGTCCCTCTAAAGGATTTTAAGTCTTAATTCAAGGATTTCAAGTACTGTGATATAAAATCAGTGGAAAAGGTTTCATTCTTATCCAAGGCGTCTAACTAGAACGAAAAAGATAAAAAGTTTGCCTTTGTTTTGTTACATGTTTGTCACCAAACACTCAAAAGAGCACAAAAGAGCCAAACATTTCCAACATACCTGCTGCTATTTCCTTTGCCCATTGCAATATATTCTTGAAATCCAATGTGTGGTTTGATAAGTACTCATACAATGATCCAAGTGCTGCATATTCTTTAACAATGCAATTGAGATAGTTAGTAGATCAGAATTTAACAAAGGTTTGAAGGTAACACTAGTCCAAGAATCTTAAAAATCAAATAAATTTTCTGAAAATTCTGAAATAAGATCAAAATATTAGCATTAATATAGGAAAGCAACTAAACAATGAAGCTTAATTAAATCGAGTATACAGAAAATATTCAAAGGGATTATATAAGACTCTGCTGAAATGATTAAAAAAAGAAAAGACTAATCTTAATTTAATATTAATCAATACTACACAATAAAGCTTATTATGGAACTTAGATAAAATAAGAAGAATCTAATGCTAAGTGTCTGCTATGTACCTGTAACAAGGCAATAGTTTGGTTGCTTTGTGACAGCTCCATAAAACTGGATGATATTTTTGTGGCTCAAAACACTGAGAACCTCACCCTACAAGAAACATTTCATCTCAGTTCATTTCATTTTAAAATCCCATTGCATACAAACTAAAACTCAAAAATTTTTTTTGAGCAGATTAGTTGATTACAGGTCTTACTATATAAAGTTGTTGATAGTCGTTAACTACAATAATTGCTAACTACAAAATAGCTAAGGTAAAACAACATAAATAAAGTTAAATCAACCGACGGACACATGAAAGAAACTCAGAAAGAGCTATCAAAGGCATGTGCCCAGTTGACTTGAGTTGACGATTTCACCAATTGATTTTTGTTTAAAAATTTAACAGTAATAATCAGCAAAGGCTGATTAAACAAAAACAAAAGAAGAACGCAAATAAAGAATAAAGGTAAAAATAATAAAAGTAAAGTAAAAAGTTTTAATACGTCTCATGCTCCTCATACATCTGATGTTCCTCTTTTTCTCTGGTATAAATGTCAGTTAATATCCAAAGGTTAGCAGAAAATTAACATCCAGATGTGGCATAAGAAGCATAAGAGCATATTAAATATTTCACACAGTTGAAAAGCCAGAGAGAAAAAACAACTCCTTTCAATCTAAATAAGATTAATAAACCCAAATGAAAGGTGAACTTGCTTACCCACTTATTTCAAAACTGGAATCACTGAAACTCTTGATTCTTAAGTAAATGTTGACCAATAATCGAATCACATTGTTTTTGCCATTCTAATTTTTACAAAAACATCCCGGCTGTTCTCTTGTTGGAACAGTTTTTTGCCTGATGGTCAGTCATTTATTAGTCTTCTATTTTAACCTCTAGACTTTATATCAATTTTGTAACTTTAAACTAAAAAGTTGTACTAAAAATTGTTCCATTTTAAGCTTTAGACTCAACAATAATCTTGCAATATTTTACTTAAAAGTTATACCAAAAAATTATTCTTGTAAATTTTTAACTTCAATTCATGTCAATTACAGGTCTTTGGTTGATTCAATACAACCAAAAGTAAATTTATCAACTGAACACATTAGCCTGTACTTACTACAAACATGAAATATTCATTCAAAAACAAAACTCTCTCAACAAAAACATTTCCACTATGTTTTTATTTAAGCGCTATATTTTTGTTTTGCTGAATAACACATTCTGCACGAAGCCATGGCCACAATTGGTGGAACGTACTTATTTTCATCCATATTTACAGTTTTACCCATGTTTTACCTCTTCTTCCAATGTAAGAAGCCGTTTGACTGCAACTTCTTTGTCTTGTGATTTCCATCTTGCTCGGTAAACAGATCCAAACGAACCTCCACCGCATCGCTCAAAAAATTCAATGTCATCATAAGCTATTTCTGCAAAAGGCATATTAAAAAACTAGAGGCGCATTTTGAAAACGACACACCTCTACAAATATTCTAAACTAGGCACGTGCAGCCATTTTGCGATTTATTGGTTGTGTTGTTGTTGTTACCGCTGCTCTTGTTGAAAGGGGAAGTGTTATAGGAAAGTTTTGGCTCTTCTCACTGCTCTTTGTCTTTTATAGAGATCAGTGGCTCCTCTCTATTTTTTTAATGAACAAGGTGTTGCAGAGGTATCATCGGTGGCATCGCTTGATCTTCCTGACTAGGGAGTGGAGGGTCATCAAAAGAAAAATTTACCGACAAAGATATAGATGGAGATTAAGTTAGGTGCTATTTCAACTACTGAAGGATGATTTTATCAACAAACTTAAGGATTGGGGGGTGTTACACCCCATCCCCCCGCGAACTACATCCTTGGGTATCATAAAACGTAATCTTGAGTAGCATACTCTTTTTAATATTTGTAAGATAATTTTTAACGTATATATCTCTAGGGAGTCTAGCTAGCCAATGCTTGTAAAAAGTCAATAACTGCATAAAAGACATTCTTCAAACTCGTTGATTTTTCTGAAAGGATCACCAGTTGTTTTATAGCCATTAATCTTGACAATAGAAGTAGAAACAAGTACAGCAAATTGATATGATAAAGAACCTACGTTTTGTTATCAGCAAGAAGTCTTGAAAACTATTCCCAACCAAAACAACTTTATTCAACCAATTTCGAACCGAAAATTTTTCTAGCCAGCCAACATCGTGTTAAAATAGCCAGCCCAGCAATGAAGTACTCACAGACAATTTTCAGCACAGGAAGAGAACCCTACGAAACGACCAAGAACCTCTCTTTTATCCACTCTACTGAAAATTTTGGGTAGTATAAATAGGGTCGCCGGACGCAGGTTTGAAGAAGGGGGGCCAACACAAAAAAAGGGCACGAATACCTTTTTTCCGAAAAATTAGTAAGTGTCAAAAATGGTACAGATTTCATGGTAACTTAGAAATTTATAAGAAAATGACACAAGTTGGACATAGTGAGAATTATCTTCGCTGAAAGTAGACATGGCTATCTACTCCATTTGGGGACCATGCACTCTTGATCATACCATAGTCAATAGAAAAAATTGACAATAGTTTTTCTATGGACTATGATCATAATTAGTTGTATAGCTTCCCATCTCATGGCCTTCAAAGTTTTTTGAGAGTGTAAATCTTTCTTTCATGTATGATTTGTACCTCTATTGTAAAACGCTGTACTTATTTTCCTTATAATTTGCATTGTAACTGGATTTGGTCCCGGGTAAGAAGCAAGCACACATCCTTCTTTCATACCTGTGGCAGGCGAATTGTACTCCACAAATGTTCAGATTTATTGCAACATACCAACGTATCCAACCCAAAATATGAACTGAATGGTATTTTTAAATTCTTAGTGGCTACATACCAACGTATCCAACCCAAAATATGAACTGAATGGTATTTTTAAATTCTTAGTGGCTACATACCAACGTATCCAACCCAAAATATGAACTGAATGGTATTTTTAAATTCTTAGTGGCTACATACCAACGTATCCAACCCAAAATATGAACTGAATGGTATTTTTAAATTCTTAGTGGCTACATACCAACGTATCCAACCCAAAATATGAACTGAATGGTATTTTTAAATTTTTAGTGGCTACATACTTCAATGCCAATTCCAGTTACAATCCCTCGCCCTTTCAAAGGGAAGTTTCAGTCCCTAAAATTATCAAAAGCCCATTCGAATAATGATTTTAATTTTCTTACTTATATATTTGAACAATTTAGTACCCCCTTGGTATTTGCGCCTTCCCATCTCCACTTAAATACATAATTTGTTCGCCTCCATGGAATATTTTTTAAAAGCATATTTTTTAAGTCATCTTTTTGCAATCGGCTGGAGGTGCGAGCACATTCTTCACTGCCATAGAAAATTTAATTTACATCATTGATTAGGTTTATCTCATCAGTCTTATGAACGAAATACGTTTTTAACTCTCCTTAGACTTGACCCCTGCGGGCTCAGTCAGTTGATCTAATGCATTACATCTGACTCCCGAAAAACTCCGAGAAAGGATGGTCTGAAAGATAGAATTCTGGGACATAGAATCTGCTCAGCGGAAATACAAAAAGGCAGCGGAAATACAAAAAGGCAGGAATTTACTGATATGATGTTACAGATAATTTTTTAGGTAAATCGATCGGTGGCATTAAGAAAGTACAACAAATTTAGCATCTTGTCTTGTTTATTGTTCTAATTCTAGATAAGAAACTTAAGTCTTCGTTTAAGTCTTTGCTAGCATTTACTCATTGCAGGAACACAACTTTTTCATGTCTTCCTAAAATATTTAACACAATGTTGTGAAGTAAGCAATATGTTGTAGTTATAGTTTTACAGCTGTCTGATTTTGTTAATATATATTAAGAACCATAAGGGATTGTTGCTAAAATCAAATCTGGTGAACTCTGCTTTTTAACTTGTCAAGACATTAGTTTAAGAAAAAGGAATGGTTCTAACATTAATTGATATAAAAAATTCCTGCTCAAGCTTGAATATTCTCAGTGAAAAGAGTTACACAATTTTGGCAAAGGCACAAAATAGGGTATATTTTACTCAACCCAGAATCAGAGATAGGGGTCCAGTTTCTACTTTCAGGAACACACGCGATATGCATTGGATCAACTGACTGTTTGTTGCTGACGACGTACTACGGAAATTTTTTCGCAAAAAGAACAGTCTCCTTTCCAGTTGATATTATTCATAACAGGACCTTGAGTTTTTATGCATCAAGACCAAGTAAAGATTTAAGGAAATTCCAGTGAATGGTCCTCCAACAACCTCTAGAGTTATGTTATTTTACTTAGCTTTTAAAGGCAGAATATCTGGCATTAAAAAAACACACGCAATATATATATCGAAAAGGGGCACTTGTTTATATTTTTTGCAAACAGGGGGGCTGTGCCCCCGTGGCCCCCCTGGCTCCGGCGGCCCAAACCCATATCATTTATACAACTATGTGAAATCTCAAGTTTCGTTGTAGTTTCCAGGCCTTTTGTGTCCGAATAGAGGTCTCTCTTTCATCTTGGGCAACTGGTATGGTACCTAGGGTTTTTAAAAACGCATTTAAGTTAAGCATTTAAAGATTCAAGTTTTGAAACTGCTCCCACCTGTAAAAGACACAATTTAACTACTATAATTTACATACATCATTAACTTGTTGTGTCTACTGAAATCTTAATTTTTCTGTTACTTTTTACATTCATTAAGTTTGTATACCGTCAGAACAACGATTTAAATCATGTTGAGATTAAGCATTTGAATCTCCTCTTCGCATGAAAAGCAGATTTATTGTTTGTTTTCAAACATTATATTTACATAAATCTTTTCGTCAGATCCAGCATTACTCAAACCATAGAAAGGGCTTGATCATCTTTTAGCCAAACATTTACACAAGTGCTGTGAAGCCTGTCCATATCAGGATTTGAAGGGCATTACTTTCACCCCTGTCCCTCAGGCAACACTTGCTTGGCTTATCTGTAGATAAACGCAAAAATTCCTATAAGAAACAAAGACGTTACTTTGCAAATAATAATAATTCTTAAGCATTTACTACTCTTTGAAATCCTTTCTTTAGCTATCTTTCTAATATTTACTGAAATGTGGTTTCTCAAACAATAGCCAATTGAAGTTTGATCCATGCTCAGGCAAAATTTAACCATTTTCCTTTCGACACTTTTCAGAGTATGAGCGTTGAATGATGACGAACCAAAGGAAAGCAGAAAAACTATATCCAGGTGTGGAGCGACCGCTAACCAGTGGCATCACCAGCTCGAAAAAACTGGGGTGGACAAAGATAAATTTTTTTGGCCACGCCCTTCAGACTCTTTGAAAATCCTTTTTTCGTATTTCTTATCTATTTTGAGATAATTTTCAGACAAGCCACTTATCAAGCAATATTTTTCATAACGGTGGCTTTTTGCCAGTGCGAAAATCGAAATCGATCTAATCAGCCCAATCCCCCCCCCCCCCCCCTCCAAGGTTTTTCAACAGATTTCGAGAATTTAAAAAATCAACTTCTGGGAAAACTGGGGTGGACCAGTCCACTCGGTGGCGACGCCACTGCCGCTAACCTTTCGCCTAGTTGAAGAGTCCAATTGAGAATATGAACTTCGACGTTTATACACTGAAGAGTGTCGGACTAACAAAATTCTATGTTTTCTGTTTATTCGTGATATCTTCAAACTATTTAGATTACCTAAATGACACAGTATATTTACAGTCTTCTTTTTTCTTTAATCGTCTTCTGTCCAACTTCCATCCTGTTTCTCTTACAAATCTTAAATCAATCATTACTTCTTAACTCTTAATTTGCTTATGTTTATTATTGTCTGTTCTTGGCGCGTTGCAGTCTTTGTTATTTTCTACATTTTGTGATGATAAAATGAAATTTCATCAGAGTTAATTTCACAGATGCTTTTGAGATCTAACTAATCCTCAATTCTTACTGTCAAGCTTGCAAATGCCAATCAAGTTCAAACGCTCTAGTGACCTGCTAAAGAAATCAAAATGTGCTACATGGAACTATAACAGCAATTTTAATTTAAATGATGAAGCAATTCTAATTTAAAGTCATTCTAATCTACTAATTTGGCTGTACATTTTGGCTTTAGTACTGTACTATTAGGGTCACTCTGTTAGGTTCTTGAACATATAAACATATAACTGTTTTGTGTTTGGAAATTGAAAATTTTCTTTCGTGTGTGCCTTGAAATTCCATAACTGTTCAACCATTCCCGTGCCAGTTGCAGCACCAGCCACTAGGGTCAGGGGGAGGGGGATAAGCAACAAATATTAGGCCACGCCCATTTTACCACCTCGACGCTAATATTACCCCCTGCTTTTTTCAAAACTCACTCATTTTCAAAAATGAAACTTGACAGGTCTGAGTGACGTCAAGATTGCGTCACAGTGTCACCAAACCGAAAAATTTTTGTCGGTTAATTCAATTCAATTATCAAAATGCAAGAGCTTATATCTCACAAACTGTAAAAAATACCGAAAAACAAATAACGAATTCGTGATCAGCTGGTTCAACTCCTTTAGATTAGCCAATAAGATGCAAGTGAAAAATTTGGCTGGAGAGGCCCTTAAAGGTTTTTGCATAGCGTGGGTCTCACCTTGCTTGATGAAGCCACAATACCAATAGGCTGTTTAATTTCCCAGCCCCCTCTCCCTCATTTTACTTTTCTATGCAAAATGCCTTTTCAGTATAGCTTTGCGTATTAAATTTTATTTACGGTATCGCTAAAATCTTTCATACCTTTAGGCATCTTTTATGCTGTTTAACGCTTTTTGATGCTTTTAGGTAGGACTTGTGCATCGTTTAGGTAGGATTGGTGGGGAAAAAAGGCTTTTCCTGTCCATTCCCTTCCAACTACCAATCAGATTTGGGGCTTGTCGTTCGCCTTCCCTAAGCAATTCCTTCCTTTCAGTGATTCATGGTAGGTTGAGCGATTTGCAACGATGCACCAACGGCCTAACTCTCTCTCGATCTCGATGATGTTGGAACGTAGCCTCATGACTGACTTTCTGATGTATGTGGCAGTTTTTCTGACGGAGCTTTATGCCTTTTATTTTGCATTGGTATTTCATTCCCGAGTAAGTGAATTGATCCCGCCATAGCCTTTTCGAAGGATAATTACTATTAGTAAGGACAGTAATCTGTTGTTTAAATATATGGAGAGTCCCTTGGGGTGTTGGAATGTTGAAAAGACCATATCTACTATTATACCTTTCCTGGCATTTTCCCCTTCCATTAAACGCGTGTGACTTAGTTACAGTTCTCTCATAGTTCTACAGTCTTCAACTGTCTTTGCACTAGAAAGCTATACAGCCATTTTTGTTTTCCATCCCAAATGAAAACCAAAAGCAGCAATATTTTTCATGCCTACTCTTTCTTCGAAGTTTTGTTACTTGGAATTTAGTCTCTAGAGATATAAAGTCAGTTTTCGTGGAACCATGGGGATTGAAATTCATCACAAGATTCCTCCAAATCGTCTTGTCTGATAATATCCAAAGCAGCTGTTTGGACTCAATTGTTTAATCCTTTCATCATCCCCTTATGCCCATCAATGTTGGAATTAGAAAAAAGTAGCTGGGAACTTCATAGATTAAATTTCATGTAGAAATTGCATCAAGAAAAAGATAGCAAAGAATCTTTGAAATTAGGATCTGTTGGTTGTTTGGTTTCGCATGGTAAATGGATTGGTCTATTGGTTTCGATTTATTTCGAACATCGCTTGTTCACGTTATGTGTGAATAAATCTTGTAACGGGAACAGGCCATCTTATGAACAATGAGAAGTTAAACTGAAAATATTTTGCTGAAGATATTCATAAACAGATCTAAGCTATCACAGTTTATGATTGGCGGTATAAAATAGCAGATCTGGGTTACTTTGCTAACTGTGTTAAATATGGTTAAGCTCTAGGGGCACTTCAAGCCCCCAATTTTTTTGACATCTTAAATTCATTTTCCCGACAAAAACGCCTCAAAGGCACACACTCAAAGGGGGGACATAGGTGGGGAAAGTTCGCCCCCCATTTCTATAAAAGCCCTGATAACTCCGATTAATCCCTCTGAATCCCCATCCTTCTGAATCAGGGTGTTTTTGAGGGAGTCGTTTCATTTCATCCATCTGCTTCTCTTCCCGCGAAGAGCATCACACGACAGTGACGCATGCGCTTTTCAATTGGCTTTGTAGAGAAGGAACGCAACATGGCTGATCAAAAGGGTAGCCCCTCCGTGTCTTCTGATGAGAAAGATGGAAGTTCAAATGCAAAGAAGGCAGACGATCATACTCAAAATAACCAGATGACGAACCAAAGTCAACAGGGATCATCTGCAGGTGAAGGCAGTAGTAAGAAAAGTTCGAAGAAGAAGAAGAAAGGTAGAAAGGCGGAGAGTGTCGCTTCGACCGGTTCCGCTAGTGCAGAAGCTGGGGCAAGTCGAGGAAGTGATGGTGCCCCTGCTGCTGTTAATATGCAGACATTAGTGCAAATCCAGAGGGCCATGGAACAACTAATGGCTACAAATAAACCAGCTCGAACGCCCAATGAAGCAAAACAGAGGAGGTACGAGTTTTGGGACACTCAGCCAGTCCCCAGAATGGGTAGGTTCCACTACATCTATCATAATCTGAGTAGCTAGTTAAGCCTATCATGTGAATCTAACGTAGTTCGTGTCACTCAACTTGGAAACAAGTTACAAAATGCTAGGTTGAATGAACTCACCTTCACTGTATTGTTGCCAATTATCTATCCAAAGAAGCCTACCTTAAAAAACAAGTTGCCAGTAAACTGTAAATATTTTTTTCTGCACATTGAACGCCAGAGTAAAGAAATTCACAATCTACACAAATGTTGTATGGGGAAAGAACAAACTTTACAATCTGGGCTACATAGCTGTTTATGCATGCAAACTGTTTTATCCGTTGTTGTCCTCAAGGATGTGCAAGAAACCATTTTCAAGGATGTGCCAGAAAGTCTCCCTGCCAAATCCACAAATTCTCTGGAGCCATAACTTGTTCCATTTCCCGAGCTTGTGAACTTTGAATTAGCCTCTTCTTGCTTTCCAAACCAATATACTTGATCTCACCTCCTTCTCTTTCAAACCTCTTATTAAGGCTTTACCATAGCTTCCTTGCCTCTTCCCAAACCTTACCAACTCAAAATGTTAGACACATCAAAGCAAAAACAAAATTGACAAGATAAATCTATGATATTTGATAAGATGCAATTTACTGCTTTGCATTTTTCAAGGAAGAATTAAATTTTGTCTTGCAAAGAAACTCTCTTTTGTATAGTAACCCGTCCATCTACAGTCCTTTTCGTTTGATAAAGCCATCACTCACGATCACGACAGAACTCAATCAAACTTGATTATGTGAGCTTATTCATACATACATACATCCCAAGTGCAAACTGAAATAATGTGAGAAGATGAATTGCAGGTTTGATTGGTTTTGACCACCAATTTGGTGACAGTTGACCTTTAATAAAGGTAAATTCCTTAGCAATGATGTGTATTAACTTTGGTCAATTCATCTTTTTGATCAACTTTCAAATTTTTTCAAATTTTCAACTTTTGAGCCCCAGAACTGATTATGAACTTGTGTCTATCAAATTTGATTCTGATTTGCTTGAAATTGTTTTGCAGATGAAGATATAAATGAGCCAGTTAATGAAGCATTGGAGCCAGAAAAAGTAGAGATACGACAAACTCCATACTCACTTCCAGCAGGCTTTGTATGGGATACACTGGATATTGAAAATCCAGACACAGTTAGTTGTTTTGCTTATGTTCACATTTATGTATTCTTTTCCTTTTATAAATCCTACTTGTGTATAAAGGCTAGTTCCACTAGTGCTGTTTGTTTGTGATTTCCCTGCAAGTTCCTCTGCAGCTAGCTTTCAGGCAAGTATTTTTGTATTTTCATTTAATGTGCTGCCTTTAAGAGTATCTCAGAATTCCTGAACATTAAAGATGCCAACCATATTTGTTATTTTATTATATCATGAAGTCACATGATTTTTAGGTTTTGGTGCCAATCAAATTATCACAAAGATATTATCACTAGCATTGTGGCAACCACCAGTATCCCTTTGCAGGGATACCCAAGGAATATGATTCCTTCTGCATCTAATATAACTTTTGAGCAAGTTAGGTAACCATACAACATGTAATACAATCACACACAAATTTTCACCTCTCTAACTTTGTATTACGTTGAGTTTTTACTTCTTTAAAATGAATATATACAGTGCTTCATATCACATTTAGTTTATCTTCTATCAACTTCTATTTCCTTGGTAAAGTGTATCCATTTTTATCAATAATTTTTCTCTTGGCATCAAATCTGTTTTTAACTTGAAATTATTATACGTCAATTAACACTAGTATTGCCTATGACATTCTTATAAAATTGAAACCAAATAACTCTTGTCATTCTTTAAAGTTTAACTAAATCCATTATAATGTGAACAAAATTTTTAGCACCTTTTTAAAAGGTGCTGAGTTGAGAGTTCTGGTGTTGCAAATATTATGCATTAATGAATCTATTGGACCTTATCCATTGCATTACTGCTTGGATTTGAGAAATATTTTTCTTACATTAGCAATGTAGTTTAATAAAAAAAATGATTTAGACATTTGAGCAAATTGCTTTATATATAAATCTTAGAGTTTTAAAGCAACATTTCAAATACCTAGTGAGAAGGAAGTGTTTCCATTGATTTTAAAAGGTTTTAAGCCAGGGGCTTTATTTCTATGTGTGAACAACTTCTAGTGGTGGAATTAATCCTTTTAATATTATATATAACAGTACTTCATATATCATTATTATCATTGTAAATATTTGTTATGGTAACAGTGAGTTATTAATAATTTTTTGTTTTTCCAGCTTAAGGAGCTGTATACACTTTTGAATGAGAATTATGTAGAAGATGACGATAACATGTTCCGATTTGACTATTCGCCAGAATTTCTTAAATGGTATGCTATTATTTGTCAACAGATGTTATTTCAGTTGTTGTTTATTTTAACTACTGCTTCTGTTTACTTTCCTTGTCATCAAGCAATGTCATGACACAGTAACATTTGACCATTTTTCTATCCTACAGACCAAGCTATTAAATATAGTTGTTTATTTCTGTTGAGATCAAAAGTGGTCCATATGTCTTCATGTTAAGAAATCACCCTGACTTTATAATGATTAAAACCCCTAAGTTAACTGTCACTAGTTTTCCAGTCCTACATTTTCGGGACCAATCTAACCGTGGTAGAATTAAAAGGGTTTACATGAGATTCAAGGCAGATGGTATTTGCCATTTGTTATTTTTATTGTGGCTGTTTCTTTACTCAATGCGGGTCAGTTAGTTGGATTTGTATGTATTAAAAATTGTATTGTAAAAATATGCCAGTGTCGAAACATTTGCGACAGATTTGAATTAGTTGCCAAGCAATGTTTGCTTGTGGTCCATTGAAATTAAAATGAAGATTAAAAATTAAATTAAGTTGTCTGATGATCACAATAAGCATGAAACTCGATTGACAATTTAGAACTGACCTATTCTTTACACCCAGCCAACTAGACACATACAAACATATTCCCATATTTGAAGAGATTCATTTACCTTTTTTCCACAGAATTTAGGCACATGTATTTTTACCAAAATTTTATTCCCAAATCTGGACTCTGTTGTTGGCACTATTTTGCACACTTTCTTAGCATAAAACATTTAGTCTCAAGATTTGACCAGATCAGAAGGCACTTTATAAAATGTTACTGCAGGATGCTTTGTGAAGATTTGTTTTAGTAGTTTTTTGTTTCCAGGGCGCTGAAACCACCTGGCTGGAAGACGGAATGGCATTGTGGTTTGAGAGTAGAGTCTAATAAGAAGCTTGTTGGATTCATAAGTGGAGTTCCTGCCAACATACGGGTTTACACTCAGTGTGTTTTTATGTTAATTTTTATAATAATGGCTAAGAATCTGAATTTCGTAACCGCTTTATGACTTTGTTGTAGTTGTTGTTTTTGAACAGCAAAAGAATAGTATCAATATATGTTTATAAATTCACAAAACTGTGAAATGAAGGACTATTTAGAATGGGTGTTCTTGGTCTTGTGGCTTAAGTAAACAAATAACAAAGGCAATTACATGATAAGTAGCAAAAGAGGGTTCTAGTTAAGTTTGTTTTCTTATGCTTTTATCAAATTTCCTTGCAATGGTATGCCCTCTGCGTTTATTTTCCTTTGATGGTTGAGCAAGCAATTTATGTACTCTGCTTTTTGACTGAAATAGCGAAAATTGTTTTGGTTTCTGGAAGCTATGTGGAATGTATTCCATTTTCTACAAAATTTCGATTTCTGCTTTTAATTTATTTAAAATGACATGCAAATCAGTCATTTATTTATTTGTCATTTGTTTCTTTGTTTATAAGTGAACAGACGATGGCAGAGATCAATTTCTTATGTGTCCACAAAAAGCTTCGGTCTAAACGAATGGCACCCGTCTTGATTAAAGAAATTACCAGAAGAGTAAACTTGGAAGGGAGTTTTCAAGCTGTTTACACTGCTGGGGTTGTTTTGCCTAGGCCGGTTGCCACTTGCAGGTACATGAACTCTAAAATTTCTTTGTTAATAGGCCTTCAAGAGATTATTACAGATTATACCTCTTAATTTGTTAATTCGATTCAAAGTGGCATTGGAATCTTTCAAAAATGGTTTTATTATGATGTTGACAATGTGAGTAGTTCAACGAAACGACAGAGCAAATTTTAAATCTTGCCATCCTAGCTTAACCTGTTTTTTATTTGAATTATTTAAGTTTTATTCGTATTTCTACAAATTTACAATGGTTTGTTCATTTCCCATCTTGTTTTTGCAACAGATACTGGCATAGGTCATTGAATCCAAAGAAGCTAATTGATGTCAAATTTTCACATCTGTCGAAAAACATGACGATGCAGCGGACGATAAGACTTTACCGATTACCAGAGGTACTGCAACTTTTTAGAATGGGATGTAATTTATATATCACCTAAGTATAAAGACTCAGAGCGTTATAGTACTCTTATAGTTGCTTTTGTGTTTTATCAAGGCCTAACAGCATTCGTTTCCAGTCTACCATGCATACGATGTTGTCATGCCGACGAACTGGGGGTTTGGAGGCCCAGAAAAAAGAACCAATCACCCTATACTTTATGCAGCCTATTCCACAAAAATATCCTTCCCGCAACCACATAACCATGTACTGCTCCCGTGCAGAACTCATATTTACCCAGCAATTTTATGCTTGATGTTATAGTGACAAAATATATTAGCTTGAGTTTTCCAGTTTCTTCAATAATTTCTAAAAGTCTTTATTGAAATTTCTCAGGACACAAAGACTTCAGGTATACGGCAGCTAAAGAAAGAAGACTGCTCGAAAGCGCATAAATTGCTGGTAGAGGTATGTCTAAAGCATGTTAAAAATAACACTGCATTGATGTATTTCAACGATAGCTCGAACAATTTCCCTTACTTTTTCGTCACATTTTCTTTTAAGATGTGAACCAAAAATTTGAGCAAAAGGTTAACATTTTTCTTTCTTAATTGCATGCACATCTCTGCATTTTATCTGATAGCTTTTAATTTATAGAAAGAAAGTGAGCAATAGTCAAATTATATTCAATTATTTCTAATGCAGTCTATTTTTGAAAACTCGACAATGCAACTGGTCGAGAGAAATTTCAAAACTTTCTAAATTGTCTTTAAAGATGATTATTTCGCCTAACAACAAATCTCTTTCATTATTTTTACAGAATCTAAAACGTTTCGACTTAGCGCCAGTTTTTTCCGAGGTAAGTTGAAGTACTTCACGTTTAGATAAAACAATAATATTTATAAAATCCAGCAAATATTCTTATCTTTCGAGTGTATGATTTAGAAAAAATCTGTTTAGGTTTTAAAATAATTTGCTGTCCTAGTATTTGTATCCAAAGTATTTAGGTTTTTCAAAGTATATGCATAGTATTTAGGTATCCAAGTTTCCAAAGATGTTTTTTCCCTGATAAATTATGGCCCTCATCCTGAGTAATCTAATGCCGCCATTTTCTTCATCAGGAAGAATTTCGTCATTGGTTCATGCCCCAGAAGGACATTATTGATTGTTATGTAGTCGAGGTGAGCAGTTTTAAATCCATCGTTTATTTACTAACCAACGGATTTGACATGAATTTCAAGAATGAAACGTTGTTTGTTGGTTCACAGACTTTTTTCAATCTCTTTTTGGATAAATTCAACTTTACTCTAAATTTCAAATACGTAGAGCTGAAGACAAAGGGTGGTAATAAAAAAATTTAATGAAAATGAATGAAATGTCAGATCAAAGAAATTGAAGTTGGAAGTAAAAGAAGCCTAAAAATGGTTGTCTGAATGTATACAGATGTGTCTTTTTTTGTGCAAAAGATTTGAACTGTTTTATTTTGTATCTAATATTTCCAACAACAATTAATCTTCTGCTTCAAATTTATAATCATGTAAAATTTATCAAAACCACGCAACAGAAATTTATCCGTGAAACATCTAGAATAGAATAAACCCCATTCAGTCACTTCATTTAGTTGGAGTTGGGAGGCTGGCAGTAGGGCCAACAAGTATCTTCGTGAAAACATGCGTAGATACAAAGAATTGCAATATCTAATTTTGATGTAAAATTGTCACGGCACTGATTGGACAACTATACCGGTCTTGTGCTTGCGTTTTTCTGATTGGTCTATTTCGATCCACAACTGGGTATATATTTTTATCGTGTTCTTTAGGACCCTTATTCTGACGTTTTATGCTCGGAGGAGTGTCAGACGAAAAAGCTTTTAGCCAATATGTTATAAAATGTTTGCTTTTTTAAAGAAATATATTTCTCCATAAAAGTTGCACTTGACATGAAGCTTATTTTTTGTATTTTTTGTCATCTTTTGCAGAATGAAAATGGTGAAATCACGGACATGATAAGTTTCTACACACTACCCTCCACAGTCATGAACCACCCCTCGTACAATTTACTTAAAGCGGCCTATTCGTTTTACAACGTCAGCACAAAGACGCCCCTAGTTGATCTTATGAATGATGCTCTTATCATTGCTAAAAGGGTGAGATTTATGTGCCACCTTTATAATATTTAATCTTCTCTTCTGCCATCACCTTTTTTCTGCATGATGTTATGGGACCAGCTGATGCTTTTCATCCTATACCAGACTTTCTTTAAGCCGTTTTTAATTTTTTTGTTATATTCTTTTCAATAAAGATGTGGTTTGGAATTGTTTTTCGCTAGCAATACTGTAATGATAAAACAATGAAGATTGTCAGTCTATTTCGTTTTGAAAAATATTGCTTGGCTACGTCGAGGCTGGTTTTGCTGGCAGCTCGTTAGAAGTGGAAAATATTCCTGCTTGTATAAAACTTTATTTCTTGTATTAAAGATAACGTTTTGACAGCTCTGCATTCTTCACTGTTCTGATATGTGGCCATAATACTTTGCATTTCAGAACAATTTTGATGTTTTTAATGCACTGGATCTTATGGATAACACAGATTTCCTAGAAAAGTTAAAATTTGGTATTGGAGATGGCAACCTGAACTACTATTTGTACAATTGGAAATGCATGGAAATGAAGCCGGCACGTGTAAGTACAGCTTGCTTTGTACTATTTCGTGTCTATTTGCCATTTCTTGCTGTCTCTTAAACTTAGGCCGATTGCAAGGGAACACTGATCCTCAAGAAAAGTCTGGTCGTCATCTTTCATTTGTTCTTTTCTAATAACATGGTAAAATACAATTATATTGACGTTTCTCTAATTCCTTACACATATAAAGATTTACACTTGCTGTTTGCTTGTATAAAATATCAGTCTTAATCAAAATATTTCCACCTTTTTTGTTTAATCAAAATCACCGAATGTTAAAACTCATTGTCTCTATTCCAATATTGCTTAGGTTGGGTTAGTTCTACTGTGATCAACATTTGGCGAAAATTCGATCGGTTGGTGTTGAAGTCGTAGGATTTTGAAATTTTCCTGCTGCCATTTGGAAGCGTCTCAAAACTCGCAACCTGATTGTGATATCAAAGACAGCGACGAGTCAAGCATCCAAAATATGAGGCCCTTCAACACACGTTGATAACAATATCTTTCTACTGAAAGTTGCAGCCGAATTCTATTTACCACTTTTGAATGCAAGCAAAATCAGATACCTAGCCTGTTTAAATAGTTAGCAATTTCCCTTTCATCAAACAAAAATTTATTATCTACATTCAGAAACCACAAATTTCAAATGTCATGAGCACTTGTTGAACCTTAAATAAAGCCAATAAACCCATTAAATCATCCTAAATAGGTTATATATTGTTCATATTACACTTAGATTCTGTTTTGTATTCATCTATTGTTTTATAGATTTAACCTACTACCGCTGTCACATTGTTGAAATACGCTGAAACTCGTAAATGTTTCTCTTTTGTTCAGTGTTCACGACGGGTTTCTGTTTTTTTGGCATGAAATGTAAGGCAATTCTTTTTGTAGCCAATTCCTTTTGGCATTCGCAATGTATTGATAATATTCCTGTAGTAGATGCAGTATAATAATTAGTTGCTGTAAAAATTTCAAAATTACTATTAATTATGAATTTTCTTATCCCTATTACAAGACCTTTTTATCTAAAATGAGAAGAAAATAAGACGTTTCTGGGTGTTTAGAGCTTTCTTTAAAAGGTGGCATGCATTCTTACCACTATCGTCTCCGAAGACCAACCATCCCGGTCAGATGGTGATTTTTGCACTCCCCCCCCTTCCTCCTAGTGTAATGTAGATATCTAGAGTTTATACAAGTGTATGCGCACCAGATTTGAATAGGGACGGGGGCTATGATAGGTGTTAGACTCCGGGGATTTGTTTCGCTTATTCGTGACCTTGGGGGTTTGTCCTACGAAAATCTAGCTGAACATTAGGAGACTTGTATTGGATACACGGTCAATGCATATTGCTCAGGGTAAATAAATCACTGCCTCAATTCGCGGAAGAGCAATTTCAGTTACATAGTCTTGTACAACCCCGTGCCTCCATTCCCTGTTGGTTTACTACAAAATGACAGTTGATGTTAGGAAATATGTTATCCATATGACTGTTAATAAATTTTAAAATTGATTTTGGGGAAAAAAGGTACAGATCTGGGAGTGTTAGGAGGGGAGATCAAAAGCAAAGAAATAAGACAAAATCGCTTGATTTTCCAAAAAAAATTTGGCAGACATTTCAAGACAAGAAGCAGCTACAGCGCTCCCAAAGAAGTTTTTTATGATAAAATCAAAGGGACTGTTAATATATTCCATTGCATATCATTAAAGAAAAAACTCAAAAAATCGAAATCTTATGTGAACTCTAGTTTGTAAACTTCAAGAAACAAACGAAATATTTCTAAATTAAAATATTAAACTTCAAAACATCGCATAAATAAAAACTAAGAAATTAATTACAATTTTCATATTTTATTTCTAAATAATAACTCTTTTAAAGCCAATTACAATTTGATTTCAAATAATAATAGAATAGAACTAAGAATAAAATAGAACGAAAGAATGCTTACCAAATATGAAACAAGGAGTTCATAAGACTTATTTTTGCAATAAACGAAAGTAACAAGTGAGGCATTTTATTCTAAATTCAGCTTTGAATGATATGGTGAACATTATGCTTTTTAAAAACAGAAATTTGGTAAAACTTAGTAAGATAATTGTTGCCAATTCCCTTACAGATATTTCATTGTAAGAATCTATGAAAGTGGGGTTTTGTGCTAATGAAAACTCTTCAAAGCTGGGTTTTTTAATGTATTTATGCCAAGTTGTTAGCTATGAAATGGTGCGTTCTTTTCCATATAACAAAAGCTAGTGACTAAATGGAAAGATTTGAATTGACCTTAACTTTTCGCAAAAGGTAAATTTCCTGAATAGAAACAAAAATTACTAATTTCAGAAGTCTCTCAGTTTTAAATTGAAGGCCAATTGGTGGCATTGTTAATAAATGCTTGCAGAGTGATCTTGATAATGTTATAGTTTATCTGCTTGAAACAACACTCTAATTATTAAGAAACAAACAATACAACCAAATGAGATTAAATCTTAACTAAGCTACATGAGAAATGGAAGGCCTACGAAATATTTGCTAACATCTCATTCATAATGGTTTCTCCGAGCTGCACCGTAGTGTTGTTAGTCACTGGTCTCATCTTCGTTGCTTCGGGCACTGGGTCCACGATATTGACAACTGATTGATAAAGGCCCGCGCAAAGCAGAAAGATCCCCGTTATGAAAAGCAGCCATGCAAAAACTTGTTTGCAGTCAGGTTTTTCGGGGTGATGTCGCACTTTCAAGTAGAAAGCTGGCGGAAGTACGTAAATAATTAGGGTGCAGCCAATGGAACCAACTATGCCCCACAACATGTTCACCTGTTCCAAGAAAAAAATGGTTCGATTTTACAACACCACTTCGTAAAATCGGATAGATGTGCCTTCAATTGTGCGTTATTTCCATTAATTTAGATTTAGATACATATGTGTAAAACATATTTATAACAAGATCTGAAATAAGATTTGAATTTGAAGTTGATACTTGACAGATTAAAGACTCATTGCTAACAATGAGCCATTGCGCTACGTAACCATCCCATAATGCATTTTTAGACTGTCTAAAATCAATTGTGGTTAATCCGTAGAAAATTACTGCCATTGTTTGGATCGTCGCCACGCTCGCAAAGGCCCATTGTTAGCAATGAGTCTTTAAGATTACATACCTGTGGAACAACATAAGCTAGTCCGTATGCAGTGAAGACGAGAATGAATGTTTCAAAAAACCATACAGTGCGGGTAGGCCCGTTCATTTTTTCATTTGACACTGCCTTGACAAACCACGACGCACCAAACAGCTCCCAACGGCGGGTTCGTTCATGACTCCAAAGCATCTAAGAGAAATGCATATAATAACGATTTGTGAGGCCACCGTAAAATTTTGAAATCCCCATTTTTTTCTTCAAGTTAACTAGGCTTTCCTGGTTTCTGAATCCTAACCCTGATTTTTATACATATAACATCTTGATTTAAGTGAGGCTCACTGAGCTTGACCCAGTACATGTCTGTCCCAAGTGGCGAGAGACAACAATGTATCCACTACGCCACAGGAGTTACTAAATCAGATAAAAGGATTGCCAAGAGAGCACGGGCGATTCCTTTTTTCATCTTTTGGAGATCAATTGATGCTAAAATGGCTCAAATGTAGTCAAAGGTTTTTGGAACTCTGATTTTTATATGAAAACAACTTGAAAATTACAAAAGCTTGAAACAAATGAATATTTTTAACCCGTTGAGTATAGTTGCTAAAAAAACTTGCTTTTTCTGGCTTGCGCAAAGAACAACTGGGTATATAGATTTCCTAGCGTAGTGTTTTGACCGATGTTCTGGCGTTTTATATTCTAAAGAGAGTCAGACGAAAAGCTTAAGTATGTTTTAAAAATGTTTGCTTTTTTCAATGCCATTATATTTCATTCTCGTAATAAGTGGCAGATCCAGCCATACACTATTCGCTCTTTTTGACATCTTTTCAAGACTTAACATTTTACAGTTTCCCGTGTTGCAGTATAGAACTAACGCCTGCCACTTAAACAAGGATAACTTTGCTAATTTTGCAAAATATTTTAAGGCAAACATGTATATTCTTCCCAATAGAGCAGTCTAGCTGCATAGAACATTTATTGGCTGTAAAAATTCGCTGAAACCTATTCTGTGAACGCCATCAGTGGAAACTCTTGTTTTTTTTTTGTACTAAATTTCTTATGAAAATGTTTGGTATATGGTATGTCATTTGCATTAAAAGAAAACATTTTCATAAGCTGTTACCAGCATTCCTAGGTGTATCATATACAATTAACCCCACTTGTTATCGTTAAATAAAATTTCACAGCAAAATTTACCTTATTCAACGTCTGCCTGCAAGGGACTATCAGCAGTGGAAAACTGAGGAGGAGCACAAATGAAAGGGCAGCTCGACCAGCGGTAATCACTATGTCGTCATGCGCGTAATTCTTTGTTATGTCTTGGTCTGTGTATTGCCGAAACTAACAAAAGATATAAATATTTATAACTCACTTCTAAAGGTTTTTTAGTGATTTAATAAAACATTTTGATACAAAAATTCTGAAGGAAACCTTTCAAACTGAGATTGCAAAGCGCTTATTAAAACTTTTGAGCTAAGGTGTGGCGGAAAACGAAGCAGGGGGTGTCGATTGATGTTTTTCGATTGAAGAAAGCACTTATCAGGGGGAGGACTGATTAGTGGAGGGCCTTAATAATATAGGGAGGGAAGGAGCTGATAATAACTAGAAGGGAAGGTGCTTATGACAGGGAGATGCTGATTAGAAGCAATAATTTACTTGAAAAAATAGCTGTGTCAAATAAAAGAAAGTCCTAGACAACAAAGACATCCAGGCTTACTTTGAAGCACTTGCATGCATAAATTAGATTCTTTGCAAATATTTAGAGCTTTCTAAATGAGTATACAAACCTGGAAGTAGCCAAAGAAGCTCACAGTAAAATTCATCACATAAGTTATTCCCATAGCAAGGAAAAGAATTATCCTTTTGTTCTTCCTGGTTTGGTTCCTGAGTTCAGTGTGCATTGGCAAAATGTTGAAATGACAGGAAAAGGTGAGTTCTGAGATTGAAACGCAAGTCAGGAACTGTCTAAGACTAGTTGGGTGCCATTTGACAGGGTTGTCATGTCTTTGTATACGGCCCCCAAGGTCATTTTTGACTGAGCGGTAAACAATGCAGCCAGTCAGAAGCAGACCACAGAACACACTGAAAAGGAAAGGTAGCCAATTGGAAAAATGGTAGCAGAGGTGGTTCTCCTATTGATTGCAACATGGTTAATGGTGAAGATGATGATGGATAATGATGAAAATATTATAGTGTATGGTGCTATACATGTTAGTTGATCTGTCTGATTCCTATCTTTGGTAAGAGATAGGTCACTCTGATTACTCTAATAAGACTTTTATCAAACCTTTTATAATAATCTTAGAAAAATAAGTATAGCTAAACTATGATGGATTGAGAATATATAATGAGCAGGAGCCAGAGGTTCTCTACTCTTTAAATCCATACCTCATACCAGAAGTGTACTGCAGTGCTGACAGGTTTTTCAACAATGAAATTGGAAATACAAATACCAAAATCATTGACAGGACAACTATTCTTTCCGTCCAAAACCCTCTTTTTCCAGCAATGTATTGAATCAATGGCTCTATCTATTAAGGGAATAAGAATCTATCACATGTGAGAATGCAAATGATTGATAGTATGCCACAAATTATTCTTCTGGTACAAGCCTCTTAGTGTCTTTGTTCTGGAGAGGATTTCAACTAACTGTAGAGATAGAAGGCAGATATATGAAGTTCTAAAAATGCAAATCTAAAAACAAAATGCATTTAGAGGAGACTGGGGCTACAAGCCACTGAGAAGCTTTCGTTGATGATAAATCAAAGTAAAGCCTGGTTCCCATAAGATCATAAAAGTACCAGAGACAGTTCACAACAGTCTACAACAGACTGTGTTGGCAAGGACCGAGATACTGGGGGGCCAGGGGGCCTTGTATAGTTTACGCAATATAATTTTATTTTGTAAAATATAGCTTTTTATACTTATTTATCAGGGCAAAAGTTGTAACTCAGTCTATGTGTGTTGGTCCAAGCTCTTGCAATCATTAAGACTGTGCTGACTGTTAATCATAAGGGGTTAAGAGAGTTAATCTGAGTAAAACCTCCCTGACTCTTATGCCACTTATGATCAATGAACTTAAAAGGTAACACAGGGAACAGATGTCACTGATCCATTATCATTTTTTGTTAAGGTCAATGGGTATTGTTTTGTTTTGCATTGCTTTTTGTTAAGGTCAATTGGTAGCCATGCCTATCATGCTCCCATTGGCATTGTCTTGTTCTTGTAAAATGTACTTTTTTACACTGTGTATGAAAAAAAAATTAAAAAAACAGACACTTGGATGTAATTGACCAATCATAGGAAAGTCATCTGACGCATCTTTACTTGTTATTGCTTTTTTGTCAGAATATTTGATCTCTTTTAGACAGTTTTCAACTTGTCCCTGATCAATCAGAACATGAAAGATGGAAGAAAGGATCAATGAAATGTTTCAAACTCTTAAGATGCTAAGAGAACCAGGCTTAAGATTAAAGAGCAGCTTTCAAAAAAAGTATCTTTTATTATTGGTCAACTGCATTTCTTTCAGTTGTATTCTAACATAAAACCTTTGCAATTGGTTATATCATGGAACTATGATGGTCAAGAGCTCTCTTAATTTATGAATAATTCTTTTGTATACCAACCATACAAGACACAAGTTTCACAAATTCAGCACATAAGTGCAACCAGGCTGGCTTCTGCATTGGCAGTGCCATATACTGACTCTCATTAAAAGAGTTTTTATACTGACAGTCAAAATTGATGAGCTAGTGTTTTTATTTTCTCATTTCATGATGAGTTGGTGCAGAAAAGGTTATGGGCAATTTCTAAAACTAAAGGGCGATTTCTCTATTTCTTTCACATGAACAAGCATAGTATGTTAGTTGACCACATCTTGGTAAATAGCCTTTCATTTCTTGCTTTCTGAATAAACTTCCAACAAAATATTTTGCATGCGTTTTGGCTATCATCAATAAGATTAAAAAGGAGAATGATTGACATATTTGACAGGCAATGAAAAGATGAATAGAATCTAAATCTGAATCTTAACTGAAACAGAAAAACAAATCTCATTTCATTACTTACTTGGTCAGAAATGAGAATGAAATAGACAGCAGACACCAAATACAAAATGAAAAACAAAGTTAATTGGACCAACATCTAGAAAACAAAATGACATTCTCTGTAATTGCTTTAAATTTCTCTGTGTTGCCATACATAAAGTTTTATGTTACTATAACATTATATACATAAACCTTTTTATCAGTGTTTAACTTCTGGAGACAATAAAAGGGAAAGATTTTGTATTGAATGAAAACTTTGCTAATTCTATTAACCTTGAAATGCTTATAAAACATTATTAAACTATTGACAAAACCAGTGCAATCTGAAAAAATTGCACCTTTAAACTTGAAAAGTCACCTGCCAACAAACCAATACAGCGGCCACGTGTAGGAATATATAGTAGGAAAAGTACATTTATCAATTATCATCAGCACACCTAACTGATATGTGCAGGGTAAATGGTTCCCTGCCCAACTTCAGCTTAGCCCCTGTGTTTGAATTGTGACCTTTGCAGGTGCCAATCTTTGCATTCAAAGTGCACTCTATGAAACATCAGCAGTTTATTGTAGCAATGCCTTTGAGCCTTTGACCGTATCTTGCATTGGTAGAGCTGAGAATCAAACTTTTAAACAGATGTAAGACATTAAATAGATTACCTGCCCCTTAGCTCCAAATGCAACTCTGGCTACATCTTCAATATTTCTTATTTTTCCATGACAATATTTCTTGCTATTTATAACCAAAAATCCACCATGTGTTGATGCGATTAGTACAAAAATCAAAACAAAAGATGACACTATAAATCCTCCTTGTTCAAATGCAAATGGCAGTGATAAGAGTCCACCGCCAATCATAGTTGAAACAAGAGTAAATACAGATGAAAAAATAGTTCCTCTTCTCTCTCCTCCTTCACTGATAGTGCTATGAGCACGGACCAATGGGGTCCTTTCATTTAATGGCTCATCATCTGAGACAAAGCTATCATTTGAATCTATTGATGATGTGATTGAAGACTCTCCAGAAGCAGGCAAAATGCTGAAAAGAAATGACAAAAAAAGCTACACATATTACAAACATTGTTTTCATAGTTCACCAGTAAATCTTCAGACGTAAAATTAAAATGTGTTCTTTTACAATGAAATTATGTGATGATGGTAAAAGGAAAACTTGTTTTCAATTGAGTGTGGTGGTTTTTAGATGAGTTGGTCAATTTTCAAGTTTTGTACCATAATGTATGTTTTTCCTTCTAAATGAACACATTCAAAACTACTATATTTTTTTAAAAGAAACAAAGGTCAATGTTGAGTACTCCAGTTTCTTAATGGTCTGGAAATTTCAATACTCATTTTTTCTTAAGAGTTTCTTATTTATGATGTCATGAATGATGTTATGAAATGTTTGTGACCTTTTTTATCACGTCAAGCGATTCACTTTCATTCTGATGCTGTATTTAAATGTGGGAAGTATATTTTTATCCCTTGTGTCTTAAGTTCTAGGCCAACAGGGCAATCTTGTTCTTGGATTTTACAAAATTTCGTTGTTCTCAGTTTTATCACGATTTAATAGTTTCTTAATTTTTTTGCTTCAAGTACTGAAGTTTCTTAATTTTTTCTGACTGTCTAGTACTCGTTTCTTTTAGCCAGTTTCTTATAAAAAAATGAGTGTAATCTTGAACAACATGTTAAAATGATTAGCACATATATCATAAAAGTTACATAGATGCATGTAATCAATGTGTAGCTAAATTCTTACCTTCCATTATAATCTGGTGCCATTAAATCTGCCGGAATTGGGGAATTTATTGACATCATTTTTTCTACTTCAACCTCAAAACAGCCCGATCAGTGATCAATGAACTATAAATAAAATTGGATCCTAAAGTTCATATTATATAAAAAAATTTCCAGTAATTTTTTACAGAACCTAGAAATCATACGGTTAGATAAGCAAGGGACTGAAGTGTTATATCAACAAAAGAAACAACCGAATCCTTGTGAAGGCGATCAAACATTAACAGTGGATCATTGCAAAATTTGCTGGGCGAAAACTCTACAGCTGAGCAACAAAAAGCTGTAACACATCAATAACATTTTGTATACAGGGGAACGTCAAAGTTCACTCAAATCAATGACTCGGAAAGGCAGAAAAGTGACTGTCGAACGACATTACTTAGGCCATCATCAAATTGAGCACTGAATCGTGCTTCTCTTGAAAACGTTAAAAAAGTGATGAATCAAATAAGAAGTTATATGCTTAATCACAATCTTGCCTTAACTTTCAACTGTCACCTCATTCTTGCTTTCTTTTTCTTGAAGAAAAATTGCTTTCAATTTTCTTGTCATCATGTGATCAACCAACAAACATTTTCTTTTCGAGCCCTCATACCCCTGTTAAAGCTCCTCCGCATCAAATAATTCAAAGCGCAGATTCTGGCTGCGAACAGCCCTGAAGAGATTCCAAATTCATTTTACCAAAAATATATCTTATATCAAATGGATTCCAGAGATAATGGAACATCAAATAAATAGGATAAAATAATTTACTTTCGCAATGAATCTTCTAGTTATCAATCATGATGATGTCAATAATTCTCAAGAGACATGGTACTACCTCGACCATTCCCCACATTATTAGAAATCAAAACAGGTTTCTCGCAAAAACATTTTTACGATTCATCAATTTTCCCTTTGCCTTGCGTTTTGAAATCTAAATTGGAGCCATTAAACTAGGTATTGTTTGTCAAGACACCATTCCCTTAATCTGATATCCTATTCAAAATATGTATCAAGCAACTTGTTTGTACAAACTTGTTGAGATAAATAAATTAATTGAAAACGAAAAATCTTTCAATAATACTTGCAGATTGCTAGTCACCTTTTGACGGCAGCTTGAATTTCATTGGAATTCATCTGACCATGGTAATGGTATTGTTGGTTTACTTTCACCAGGTATTAAAGGGAAATCATTCACCAGATGTTACTGGTGTTTCAGTTGACATAGCCAGGAGTTCGTTGCTCTGTGTTGCACTTTGCATGGCTTTGTGCCAACAGAGAAGAAAAAATGGCTTTGATTACGTTCATTCTGGCTTCTTTAGCTGTCGTTTTTGCTAAACCGGTAAGAGTTAGCTTTTAAATTTTTCTCAATTAATTACTTGTTACTTTCCAAATAGAATTTCTCATTTTTCACCACACTTTTGCCAAGAGTTTTCAGCTGCTTTTTCCTAATTTACTCAAATTTGCGTACTTCGAGACAACAAATCAACAATTTAATTCCTTTTGTTTCTTTTATAATTTTTGGGACAATTATCTATGCTGTTCTTGCAATGTAAAATATCAAATTTCAAGTCGTAACTCGTCAAAGAGTAGCATAATCCATTCTATAGCTTTTCTCGATATAAAATCTTAAATTCAGACATTTTTATTTTGTTTTTAGCCACCAAATAAATCAAAACGAGCAACCACTACGCAGCATGTTACAGATACTTTCTCTAGATTTCAAAGTACCTCAAAAGGATGGGTATGCTTAGAGAATCTGTTTTAACTTTCTTAGAGAGTCTGCTTTGAAAATGGCTTTAAAAAAGCAAACATTTTTACATCATACTGAAAGCTTTTTCGAAAAAATCTTTGACGACAAGCTTTAAGCATGAAGTAAAATATTAGCTTTTTTCAAAGCAATTTTCAAATTTTGTACCGCCAAAAGAATAATAGCTAGAAATTATTAGCTTTCCTTGCCAGAATTGTTTCTTTGTACATTAGAGCAGAAAAGGTAAACATAGAACAGGAATCTAGGAAGGAACAGTAAAAGTACCTTATTTTAGGAAATGAGCATTGAATGAACGAACGCGAAGGAAATGAAAAACAAATTATCAATTAATGTGTTATTAACAATACTAACATGAACCCATCGACATATTCTAACGCAATAAAATTGACATAAAAAACCAACCTAGCAAAACTAGAACAAAAAAGATTAAAGGAAGTGTGCCAGGATATTTAGCTAAAAACACTCATCATTTTTTAAGAGGTTTTAGCTACATACACTCAAGAAAGAGGTTATAATAAACGGTAGGTTCAATTTTCGAAACTTTGATAATTTGCAGTTTTATTTTTCCGAATTGACATTCGAAACAGTCTTGACATTGAACATCACTGTATATTGCAACACTACAATTGACATGCAGTTTGCATTCATTCTCAGTAAAGTAATGAGCACACTCAAGAAGTTTCCATTTAAAAATTTGTTTTGACTTCAACTCGACATTGATGAAGTTCAATGAGCCTAACTGTTTACAGATCTCAACAGAGTTAGTCATTCTAGGAAAACAAAATTCTTTGATCACTTTCTTAGTTTATCTCCGAATGTGAGTGAACTGTTTATTTTTTCTTGGAAGCACATTTAAAAAACTCATTACCTAAGAAATTTAAGAAACATGTTAGAAACTTTTGATAGCAAAATGGCAAGAAAATTTAATAAATTGCCTTCCAGCACCGGAACTTAGTTTCTTATAAAAAATACGTGTATTTGTTTGTTCTCATATAGGTTTTTTTTTAATTTCCCAGGTAAAAAATGCCAGCAAAAACATAGGGCAAATGCTTCCTATCAGTTTTGTTAATTTTTCGGGCTTTATTTTCCTAGTATAATGTGGTACCTATTCTATGAAGGTAAGGTAGACTGGAATTTCGATATAACGAACTCTGAAGGAAACCAGAAAATAGTTCGATGTATCGGGAGTATGTCAAACCGAGAGAACACGTCTTTTCGCCTAAGAAAACCTTCGGTGGGCTTGTTTAGGTTATCTCAAACTTCCGTGCACATTTTACGGGGGATCCCGGGACACAAAACAGTGGCGGTTTTAAGAGGGATCCAGGGGGCCATGGCCCTAGCCACCGCAACTTTTCACGGAGGCGGGGAATTCACCCCAGCTACACGGCCCCCCTCTCAACGGTACTGTTCGTTAGTATCCGTGTACTAATTCGCAGTAATCAGGGCCGGTTCCATGGGGGGGTGTGGGGGGGTGTGACACCCCCCCAAGAATTGAGTTTGGCGATTTACTCGGTAAAGTTCGATTTTTGGTCGGTAAAATTATGTTACGAAGTTTTATATTAAATGCTGTGTAGTGCATCACTGCGCAAAAAGCAATTAAATATGCAAAACATTTTGAATATCTAGTTTTCTTCATTATTGCCCTGTGCCTACAAAGACCATGTGATATTTGCTGGTGTGGTCTCATTCGGTGAGAACCTGAGAAACCATTTGTGTTTCCTGCTTACTCTATTGTTCCCTATTGTTCGAATTCCACTGATCGATTTATTCAATAAAACTAAACATAGTGACTGACGCCACCTGTGAAGAAGGCGCGAAACCCGCGAAGCAACATTCTCTGGTAATCCTTTATCTGAATGAAGCTGAGCTGACGAACAAAAGTAGAATTGAAAAAAATAGTAACAGTAATAAGTATTACGCTACTTGAAAGGGAAACGGCAGCTTTTCAGGTAACTCAAAAACTTGCTTCAAATAATGATCTTTCTGTTTTTTGAATTTTATTTTCTGAAGACATATCCATATAATCATTTGTTTTGAATTTTGTAATTCTCGCGTAAGCCTGTGACAAAAAGTCTAGGCCTGTTTGAAAAGCAAGATTTTCCAAGATTTGACAAGGCCTGAGTTTGAGCTTTTGAGAATTTTTTCAAGTGGGTCTCTTCATCTGAAGTAAAACTGAGAACAATTATTTTTACCAGGCTATGTTTCACTGCTATGAAAAGAAGACAAGTAAAAATAAGATGCAAGGCAAAAGGGTGTAATTCCCAGTTCAACAGTGACTATCGCCTCCAACACAATAGAGAGAAACATGAAGGCAAAAATGTGCCATATGAAACAGCAGGTGCAGTTAAAAACCCTTTCGAAGCAGCTAAACGCAAGAAAGATAATCCAATTGAAGAAAAAGATTCATCTTCTTCATCTTCATCTGAGAAGATATTGGATGACAAAACCGAAGAGATTGGGTTAGCGAATTCTGCAAAAGAAGAATCAGTATCTAATATTAGTAATGTTGTCGGTGAGAATGTGGTTGATTCAGGAGAGCGAGAGTGAGGCTGAAAACTCCGAAAACGATGACACCGATGATGAAAATGATGATTATTGGATTAGCTGTGCGGGAAAGCTCAAGCATCTGCTATCCACTTTGGAGCAAAGAGGTAATTTGACGTTAAACATTCTAACACAACCATGTACCCCAAATATCGAAGAGTTTGCGATATCTGCAAAAGAGTTTGCCAACGAGATTAAAACCCAGTGTAATGATTTAGAAAAATCTGCTGAACGACTTAAAGTCAAAATTGACAGGCAAAAAGGATCTGTACAACCTGGAGAAGCAGCAGCACTAATAGAACACGACCCTGGAAAAAGAAAAAAAGATTTGTCGGATAGCCAACGCCGTTTTGTGATAAACCTAGGTCCCTACCAGCCTCGCTTGACAGTTTATCCAAGTAATGAATTCATTGAATCTGGTAAACAAAATAAGTTTTCAAGCACCTGGTTCAAAGATTTTCCACATCTTGAATATAGCGTTCAAAATGACGCAGCATTTTGCTATGTTTGTTCCTTATTTCCAAACGGCGCTGGAAGACCCTCTTCAGATGCTTCATGGACTATTAATGGCGTTAGACAGTGGCACAAAATGAAGAGTGTTGGAAAAGGAAAGAAGGGCAAGCTGATACAGCATTTCACCAGCCAAAGTCACAGAGAAGCATTACGAGATTTTGCAAGATTCACTAACCCACATCAGAACATTGATGCACTTTTGGATTTGTCTCGTCGTCATGAAATGATTAAAGAAACTGACGACGCAATGTTTAACACCAAAATTATGTTAATATTATGTGATGCTGCTCGCACCATGGCTATGCAGGACCTTGCATTTCGTGGAAATACTGACGAATCCAGCAACTTTCATGAGATTGTGAAGTTAATCAGTCGACATTGCGGCATTTTGAAATACTGGCAGAACCAAACAAGGATGCGACCATACCATGTTACCTATATGAGCAAAGACACCCAAAATGAGTTGATAAAGTTGCTAGGTGACGCAGTGAGGCATCGTATGGTGAAGGAGCTAGAGGAAGTCTCAGCGTTCTCAGTAATGGCTGATACTACCCCGGACACAAGCAATAAAGATCAGATGGCAATTGTTGTAAGATACGTCGTCAATGCCAAGCCGGTTGAGCGTTTACTGTGTCTGAGGATTCTCAAAGACAAGTCCGGAGAAGGCCATGCTGCAGAAATTTTGAAAGCTCTCAATGAGTGTAGTGTGGACCCACAAAAACTCGTCTTTCAATCGTACGATTTTGCGTCATGTATGTCTGGAAAGTATAAAGGATGCCAACGAGTGCTAAGTGATAAAATTCAAGAAGATTTTCCACACAAAAAGGAAATCCTTTACATCCCATGCCAGGCTCACAGGCTGAGTACATATGTAGAACGAAGCTCCAAAGCAAGCAGTCTTGTATCATCGATGTTTGACATATTACAGTCATTGTACACATTCTTTTCTAGTAGCACCAAGCGATCTGAAGCACTTGAAAAAGCACAAGTTGAAATAGAAGGGGCCTTGAAGATGCGAAATCTTTCGCAAACTCGTTGGATTGCTAGATCTGAATCTATTGACAGTGTCTGGATCTCTTTGACAGTAATCGTCTCGCTGCTCGAGCAGATAATGGATAGACAACTTGACTGTGACAAAAACACACAGGATCAAGCCAAAGCAATTTTGAAGAAAATGAAAACATTTGATTTTGTTTTCAGCTTGGCTACTATGAGATTCATAATGCGGCACTGTAAGGTTCTGGTTGTGCAACTTCAGGAAGAGGGTTTGAATTTACTCGACGCACTTGAGCTAGTGTCATTGACAACTAGGGCGTTAGAAAAGATTTGAAATGAAGATGACGTGCAAAAGCAGATTGAAGCTGCCACACAAATTGCAATGCACATGGGAATAAATCCAGAAGAGGAGTTTCAGCACCGCCACAGAAGAAGATTGATTCCAAGAAGAATTGATGAAAACCGAGACAACGAGGAGGCATTCTCCTTCCAGACGTTTTATTCGAAAGAGATTTATTCTGTACTTGATCAGATAATTACAGATTGTAAAGAAAACTGGGGTAGCATTTTGAAGAAAATAAAGCCGTTCAGTGTTTTGTTGCCTCCTTGGGATAACTTAAGGGAAGAACAAGCAGAGGATCTGGAGCATTTGTTGTCGGGGAAAGTTTCAAGTGGCAGTCTTTTTGCAGAGCTTACTGTTTTGAGAGAGGACTTCCAAGAGAAAAAGTTGGTGAAGAGCATGACAGTCCGTGAAATTGCAAAGTTCGTATATAGTCGAAGGCACATTTATCCGGCAAGCAACACAGCATATACATTCCTTCAAACAGCACCAATTACTGTGGCTTCAAATGAAAGATCTTTTAGCAAACTAAAGTTGGTGAAGACTAAGCTGCGGAGCACAATGCTCCAGGACCGCCTGGAATCTCTGATGCTGATATCATGCGAGAAGGATTTCTCTGAAAATGTCAACTTGGAAGATGTTGTCAAGAACTGGATACACTTAAAAAACAGAAGAGTTCGATTTGACACTACTTAAAGTTAATTTATTCATATATTGCGCTATAAGAACTGAAAAAGAGGCTGGGTCAAAAGCTCCTAATTAAATGACTCGCAAAAATCTGAGGGTTATTTTTTGACCCACCATTGACTCTGTATTTTTATTAGAACGTGCTGTATTTGGTTGAAACGCTTTTTTTCAGATTGAAGTTAAAATTAAAGTTCTTTCGTTAAAGTTAAATTTCTTAAATTAAAGTTAGTGTAAGTCATTTAGTTGTTAGTTCTGATCACGATTAGTTGAGCTCAAAATTTTTGGTATTGTTTTTTCTAAAATTACTCGGTACATACGAGCTTACACCCCCCCAAGAAAATTTCCTGGAACCGGCCCTGGCAGTAATTTCTGATGCGATCAAACTTTCATCTTGTGGTCTGTTCTGATGCTGAGAAAGTGATAAAGGAACACCGGAATAAAGTAAATAAAGAGAACAGATGACAAATCTATGAAAAGTTTGTTATATCGAGGGTAATTATTATGTAGAGACCCCAAAGTTGGTTTGTAATATCGAGAGTTCGTTATACCAGCGGCTCGTTATACCGAGAGAATTTTAAAGAAGTTTGTTAGGCAAAATCTAAGGGACCAGACTTAATGCTTGGGTGTCTAAAACTGCTCATTTTCTTCACTTTTTTGTATCAATAGCTGTAAAATAGTAGGCATAATAAAATGGCTTAATATTTGCCACTTTCCACCAAATACATGGCCATTTATGATCAACTTGGTTCTTCAACACCTCCAAAGGTTTAAAAACTGAGAGACTGTCCAACAAAAAGTTAAATTTTTTATTTTTTAGAAAGTATTTTTTTTCAATTTTCAAATTGAAAGTGTTGCCAACGGTTTAAAGTTTGGCTTCATTAGATTTTAACCATAAAAAGACGCCTAATGGCTTCACAAAAGTGGTTTGAATTTCGATCGCTTTGTTGTTGACTACGCGGGCGCCATTACTGAATTGTCAAACCACTTTTGCAATAGACTTTTGCTCTGGTTCAACCTGATCCTATTACCAATAACTATTCTATTTTAACAAATTGCCTCTGACCGTTTCGTTAAAATTTAATCATTACCTTGTTAAATTACTACCTCGACATAAACAGCGCAACTTTGATATCTCGATTTTATTATGTGTGGACTACTAGCACTTGCTGGTTAGAAACACGCTCTTATGGGTTCTTTGGAATCTAAAAACGACATTGCTTATGAAATATTTTTTGCTTCTTTGAGCGAATGGATGAAAAAATCTATCAATCTCCAAAGAGATCAATCAAAAGCAACTGGTAAATTTCAAGGTTTGCTCTTATTTAGGAACAGCTGGAATTAAAGTGCTCATCAAAGAATTAAAGTATCCACGTGGTATTTACTCCACTTTCTGAAAAGCTCGTATGAGATATTTAATGTTTGTTAGCTGTTAGCCAATTCTTTTCCACTGATCTATAAAAAGACTGGATCGTGCTTCTTTTGTGGCACGAGTGTGGCCATCAAGGAAGGAGGCCCCAGGACAGCCCAACTGTAGAGAGGGCTTTCACGTTTACTACAGACAACGTTTTCTTCTGCTATGCGCCTTTTCTATCTCGACACTGATATACAAAGCATGGCGGCAGTCGCCTATTAATATTATTCAAGCACTTGTTTTGAGAAATGGAACCTCGCTCTGGGGCTTCAAGACAGTAACAAGCTCTATCCAGTCTATTTTATATCAGTCATGGCTGCAGCAATCCTTGCCACAGTGCCACCAGGCAGCACTTTGATACCGAATTATCGGAGAATTGTTAAAATTAGCAAGGGAGGGCTGGGAAAATTTCACTGTCCAATTAGTTGGGGTTTAATGTGTGGAGGGGTGGAAATTCTTTCATTATTGATTAACGGGGTACATGCGCTGAACATGCAAAAAATATAGTTGATATCAATTGAAACACTAAATTTGATAAACTACATGTTTGAATAAGGCATTTGCAAAAAGAGGATGGCAATGCGGTTGCCAAAATGTTCCTTTTTAAAGGTTACAGTGAATCTTCGATTTCCAAAGATGCGGTTAAAATTTCTCTTTCCTCTTCACGGAAACTGTCGCTTATTCATTTAATGATATCTATTCAATACAACTCGTTACAATTAACTATTTCTCAATTTAACATGTCTTAAAATATAATCCTTACACAAATTTTCAGGCAAGCTACTACGGAGAATACCCTGTTGGCACCGGTGCGTGTTCACTCGATCCACTGCCCCCTGTCTACAAACAGAAGGGTTGGATTAAAGTGGCAGCTGGGGCACCTACTTTCAAGAAGTCCCTTGGTTGTGGAATGTGTCTGAAAATCGAGGCCTCTGGGAAGCCTGTTGCGAAGGGAAACACGCCACTAGTGGGCACATACCTTGCTGTCGTAAACGATTTGTGTGGTGCGTGTGGCAAAGGTGAGCAATTGCAGGACTCCATCGTAATGAACAGCCAAATGGGGTGTATCGTTTTAATCCTTGGCATCCAATTGTAGCCAGTGACGCAGAGAGGGGGGCAGGGGGGCAGTTTGCCCCAGGGCCTCGGCCTGAAAGGGGCCCCAAAATTATTCTGAAAATTTTTTTAAAATGTCTTTTTTTAAGAAACTGAAAATGCATTCAAAGATATATTTGTTAATGTCGAAAATGATGGCAGTAATTTCATTGGGTCCGTACACTGAGTCTTGTTTGAATTTAAAGCCTATCAGCTTTATTTATTGAGTCTGGGGCCCCGAAAAAAGTTGAATAAACCTTAGATCACATATTTTACGGATTCGTCTTTTAAGCTGAGTTTCCCTGAGTTTTGCAAAATCGTACTTATTGGAAGGGAGCCCTGATAAAAAATTAGGTAACCCATATAACCCATATTAGGTAACCCGACTATCAAGCCTCATGACTCTTTCGATCGAGCACGAACTAGCAAGACAAATTGATTACGACAATATCATTGATCAGTTTACAACTGAAAAGCAAGAAAAATTAACTTTTGAAAGACGAAAGAACTGAAAAGCGTAGTTCCATGGGATTTTTTAAATAAAAGTGCGTAGAATAAAAGTTTCCTTTCATTTTAAATTTTAATATTGCGTGGCTCACCAGAAAAAACAGTCAGAATTGAAGGGAAGTATTTAAATCGCTTACCTTTAGAATTAATCCTTTTTATTACATTTTTTGATATTTTAACCATATTCTATAACGTGCGCAAACGTTTGGAAATAATGGGCGTTTCCCATTTCAAAAAGGGCGTGGTCTCGAAAAAAAATTTGTATCCGACTCTAGGGCCCCAGCCAGGACTTTGCCCCAGGGCCCAGGCTGCCTCTCGGCGGCCCTGATTGTAGCCATTCTGAAATTGAAATTCAGAGAAATTCGAATGATCTTAAATGTAAAACATTTATGAAAGTCATTGCGTAAAGAAAACGAAAAATAAATTGTTGGAGCATAAAGATAAGAAAATCAAGATAGCTTTTGAAAACTCCTGCATTGGAGAGAGAATTCATGTTTAAATCGTTTATGCAAAGATTTAAAGTGGAAAGGTCAAGGTGTCAGATAAAGGTCACTGCGGCTTTAAGGAAAGAGTGAGATGGGGCTCCTGTGTACAGACGCAAGAATGTCTCAGTCAGAGGTGTAGAGCATGTTAAAACCAAGAGCAAGAAGTAACATAAAATACATATTTGTCTTGTTTCTTGAGGCGAGGGGGGGCGGGGTTTTCTTGAGACGATTTTGAAAAAGAGATGAATTTCAGAAAGTAGTATGATTATAAAAATAAGTTTGGGGCCCATTTTAATCGAGGGCCTTTTTATCGGAGGCCAATTTCGTTCAGAGGATCCTATTTATCCTAAGATATCCTGTTATCTACGATATCCTGAACTGTGTTACGCCACGACACATAAATGACCTCCAATCTCGAAGCAAAAGGGTCAATCATTACACGTCTGGTTTAGTGAATTTTTTGGAAGCTTCGTATTTATAAACTTAACCTTCACGTAGAAAGTAGAGTAGCTGGTGATATGTCACATTCGAAGTAAATCTAATGGTGCTTTGTTGCAGGAGATCTGGACTTCTACATTCCAGGGGACGGTAAATGGGAAATCGAATTTAAAGCTATCGACTGTCCTGATGTGTCAGGGTCACAGGGAAACATTCAGTATCGTTTCACGGGTAGCAATCCGTGGTACCTCAAGCTCCAAATCACCAATGCCAAGTAAGTTCCAGAGACCAGAGGTGTAGAGAAATATAAACTTTCATATTGGTGAAGGGGGGGGGACGGGGGTGCTTATTCTGTGGATTCAAGTTTGAGTAACTTGCTGGAACCATATGATACATTGGCTCCGCCACTTGTTGGAAAGTGGGGGAAAATTTGATAATCATAACAAATAATTTTTAGAAAAGCCCTATTGTTTTCCAAAAATTTCCAAAAGCCCTCTTCGTCGGAGGCCCTGAAATATTTTCGAACTTTCTACTCAACCAGAATACAGTGCAAATGTTCATATTTATTCTATTCACCGTACTTACTCTTCACTAAAAAAAATTTTTTTTGATGTTAGGCAACCAACAGCAGCAGTAGAGTTCTTCAAAGAAGGAAAATGGCATTGCGCTAAAAGATCAGCTGACAATCATTTTGTATGGAGTGGTGTGGGAAAGATAGATTTTCCGTTGAGAACACGACTTACAAGTATTTCGGGTGAAACTGTTGGAGGTGATGTTCAAAAACTGATAAACGACAAAGATCAAAATTCTGGATTTCAGTACAAAAAATTAAAAAAAGGTACAGATGTGTCTATTATATTAAATTTAATGTCATACCAGTTGCTGGTGTACTTGATCCTGATTTATGGAAAATAAATGGATTTTCGAAAATGAAGTTATTTATCTCCTGAAAAATTATTTCGTATGACAGTTCACGATTCTTATAACTGGATAGAAATTTATGCTATTTCTTAAAATTACGGCTTTTGTTGCTCTTTATGTCCCTGTTTTGCCCAAACATTTTATTCTGATTAAATCTGATAACTTTACATCACATATTGTGCCAAAATATTTTTACTGGTTAAACAAGGAAATTGGCGTTATTCTGACTTCTTAAAAATTTATACAGATCTTAAACAAATTTCGACTAATCCTGTAGAATTCGCACAGTTAATGTTCAGTATACAAAATATATTTTGCATTTCTCTCATTTTACTTCGTCTTACCATGTCATGTTTTTTCATAGTGAATAGCGGTAGCTCGCCGAATCTTCCTTGTCACGGTCAGGGAGGTCTGGTAAGGAAAGGAGATATTGGTGACGTAACAAGCCAAAGACAGGATGAGACTGACAAAGGTGAATGCTGGTGTCTTTTGAAATGCATCAAAACTTCTTTTGAACATTCTAATAAGAGTTAATATTGCGAGAAATGACACTGCTAAATAACTTCATGAAAAACAGACAATTCTTATATCAGTTAGTAATGTAAATACTTTTCAAACGTTTTTTCAAATATCAGATGAACTTTCCCAATGTTGTTTAGCTGCATTCTTGTAATGAAACCTTTCAAACAGCCTAATTGCATTTCAAAAATTACGCTTAGCAACTGACATTCAAATATTTTTAGGCCCTTCAACTGAAGCACCCACAACTGAGTTTGAAATAACACCTGTACCAGAAACGAGTACCACGCCAGGCAAGGAGACTGGTGGGAAAGGAGAACCAGATGGCGGAACAAAGCCTGGCACATCAGAAGGGTCACAAAATATTGAAGACTTCTGCAAAACAAGATCATCAGGGTTTTACAGTGACCCAACTGACTGCCAGTATTTCATACAATGTGCAAATTCAAAGACATACAGAAAGAAGTGTCCGAATGATCTGCATTGGAACGACAGGATAAAAAACTGTGAATATCCAGCTAATGCAGGCTGCAAAGTGAATAGGACAGCGTCAGATTAGTTTTCAATTTGGCATAAATTAACAGTTAATTCTTAAATTGTTTAATTGGTCATAAATTGATCAATATTTTAGTTGAAATATAACCTGCCTTATTTATCATCGACAATCCTTCCATTTTTCCGTTACTTTGAGAGCATTATTTTCGAAACCATGTTAAATAATGTCTCCGCCAGCATTTGGAACAATATTTATGTTACCAAGTGGTTTCTTTCAGGGACGAAGTAGTTAACAAGTGACGAAGAAGTAGTTTCAAAACTGGTCTTGTATCCGTGTTTGAAAAAAGAGACATATTAATCATGGCGTCTTTTGAAGAAACTTGACAAGCTGTTTATCTAAGAAACAAAAAATATTTCTGATAATATGTCCAATGATGTGTTCGAAATTTTATCCGCTGAAAATGTTTCCACTTAATGTAATCGTTTTCGCATAAACTCATTTTACAATGAAACTTTTAATTTTATTTCACTGAAATAACCTGAATCGGATACAACAAATATATGAATAATTTCATTATTCGGTCGATTTCCTTTGATTCAGAAATAGGACATTTGTGCATTCATTAGTAACCAACAACACCTATGACTTATTTTATTTATTCTTTATAACTTAATTTTTGATCGTAATTGTGAAATAGGCGTTTCCAATTGTTGCCTGTAAAATCCGCCTCCCCCCTCCCCCGATAGTTGCCTGTAAAATCCGTCCCCCTCCCCCGATTGTTGCCTGTAAAATCCATCTCCCTCCTCCCCCATTGTTGCCTGTAAAATCCATCTCCCCCCCCCCTCCCCGATTGTTGCCTGTAAAATCCTCCTCATCTCGTGAGCTGTATTAGCAATTGCAAGGCAGTATTACCTAACAGAAAAGGTAAACGTATTAACAAACAACGGGTGTTTACTTTTCGATTCTACACTTGCTTACCAACCAATGGTTTACTGAGGTTCTTGTTCAACATGGATACTGATTTGATCGTGGCAAAAATTAAAAACAAAATGAGCATTGTGGCATTAATCCTAGTTTCTCTAGCTATTGCTCTTGCTAAACCGGTAAGAAGAACTCGTCATTATTTCGCCTTTGTTTCACTACTTGATTCATTTGGCCTTATACTTTGTTGTGTTTCTGTCCTAGCCTCCAAACATGACAAAGCGCGCGACTTCTGAAGAGCACATAAAGGATACCTTTTCTCGATTTAAAAAGACCTCGAAAGGATGGGTATGTCACATTCGTCATTTCTCTGAAACGCAATTCACTAATTTTTTTAAATACGCATTGAATTGATGTCTTTCTCAATTTATATGCGATAGTTCTTATCGCCAACGAATTGTTTTGAAAAAAGGCAGAGACTGTGAACGCGTCAACCTATAAACAGAATTACAAACGATCAAACCTCGTTTAGGCTGTCAGTTCGACAATAACCTCGGTCTCGATTGCAGTTGATTCTGCGTACAAAGTCATCTGCAAACATGAGTTGCCCACAATGAGGTGTATAGAATACACCTCATTGGTTGCCCATCACTGCAGACAAATGCCACAAAACTGTCTTCTCTTTTCCGCGAGTGGCAGGCAAAGGTCCCGAACCTGAGGATTGTAACAACTTGATGGGGGTGTTGCAAACTTTGCTCTTGATGGAAATAAGTTTAGATTGAAAACTATTACCTCTGTCCATCAGCTATCCTTTCAACGAATAATTTGCATTTACTTAGGTCGTACAGAGAACTTGTATTTTAGGCGAGTTACTACGGAGAATACCCTGTTGGCACCGGTGCGTGTTCACTCGACCCACTGCCCCCTGTCTACAAACAGAAGGGTTGGCTAAAAGTGGCAGCTGGGGCACCTACTTTCAAGAAGTCCCTTGGTTGTGGAATGTGTCTGAAAATCGAAGCCTCTGGGAAGCCTGTTGCCAAGGGAAACACACCTTTGGAGGGCACCTACTACGCAGTGGTGAATGACTTGTGTGGAGCATGCGGTGAAGGTTGGTAAAGCTTGAGTTCTGGTATTGCAGGTTTTTCCCAACCATCAACGGCTCTTTTGCTGTCTTTTCTCAGTGTCGAGCTGTTTTGGCTCATTTCGCATTTGTTGTTGGAAGCAAAAAACTAAGCTTGGATTTCTAACACTGAATCTTTTTGCCTGCTTATTCTGACGAGAGTATTTTCATGCAACGTCAGTTAAATTAGCGTGTAGTCAAGGGTGTGGCATCTAGAGAGGCCAGAAGGTAACCAACGCCCCTGTATTTTTAATACAGCAGTTAATTTAGCTATGGATAATTGCCATCTTTTTCTGCAGTTTTACTCTGTAACTAGCTGCTCAGTATTCCGAAATTATTAAATTGAAGACGTGATTGACTTTTGTTGCAGGAGATCTGGACTTCTACATTCCAGGGGACGGTAAATGGGAAATCGAATTGAAAGCTATCGACTGTCCTGATGTGTCAGGATCACAGGGAAACATTCAGTATCGTTTCACAGGTAGCAATCCGTGGTACCTCAAGCTCCAAATCACCAATGCCAAGTAAGTTCCAGAGACCAGAGGTGTAGAGAAATGTAAACATTCATATTGGTGAAGGGGGGGGGACGGGGGTGCTTATTCTGTGGATTCAAGTTTGAGTAACTTGCTGGAACCATATGATTCATGGGCTCCGACACATGCTGGAAAGTGGGGGAAGATTTGACAATCCTAACAAATAATTTTTAAGAAAGCTCTATTGTTTTCCAAAAATTTCCAAAAGCCCCCTTCGTCGGAGGCCCTGTAATATTTTCGAAGACTAACCAAGAACTTTCTACTCAACCAGAATACAGTGCAAGTGTTCATATTCATTCTATTCACCGTACTTACACTTCACTCAAAAATTTTTTTTTTCGATGTTAGGCAACCTGCAGCAGCAGTAGAGTTCTTCAAAGAAGGAAAATGGCATTGCGCTAAAAGAACAGCTGACAATCATTTTGTATGGAGTGGTGTGGGAAAGATAGATTTTCCGTTGAGAACACGACTTACAAGTATTTCGGGTGAAACTGTTGGAGGTGATATTCAAAAACTGATAAACGACAAAGATCAAAATTCTGGATTTCAGTACAAAAAGTTGAAAGAAGGTACAGAGGCTTGATAATGCTTGAAGAGTTTTTCTAAAAATAATTGAGTATTTCCATTCGTAGCTCACTTTCTGCAAATCCATGGCCTCCCCCACCCCCCTCCCTTCATTGGAGGCCCTGTAATACTGCACTTTGATGTTCATCCTACCATCAACGGAACAGAACGAAATTTTTATACTGCTGAGAAACGTAGCTCTAAAGTGGTTGGATATAGGACTGAGTAAATACTGTAGGTGCTAGAGAGGAGTCTTAGTTACATATCATAATCTGAGGTGCACGACACAAACACATCGCAGAACAGATATTTCTGTCTGCATCCTGCCGATGGAATTGCTTTAAAAGTGAAATGTATTACAACTATAACCATTAGCTTTTGTCCTAAGGTTATCTGGTGAAGACAAAATTCTATCCACATCTAAAGCATGTAAGTGATAAAAACTTAACACTATCATAAAATCATAGAATAGAACGTCTCAATCTTCAAACTGTCTTATGCAGCCCTCCTTGACAGTTAATGTTTGCTCAACTTAAAGTTTTATGCTATGGTTGCTTTCAAAGTGAACGAAGGTGGTGCACCAAAGCTTCCTTGCCATGGTCAAGGGGGACTGGTGAGAGATGGGAGCCGTGATGACGTAACAAACCAAGGGCAATCCGAATCTGATAAAGGTAACATGTTCTGAACAATTGAGATTTCTTTCTCAGTTACCTCAGAAGTGTAAGGAAATATTCCATTTCCATGTTTCCTGTACTTTCTATATTTCTACAGACTTTTTTAGCCGTTTTAAAGTAAATTACAATAAGTGTCCCTTCGAACACAAATGTTCAAATTCTCTGGCTTTACGATGGCTATTACAAAAAAAACTATTACTTGAAATCAAAAGGGAACGCTCTTAGTGTCTTTGCAACGGCTTTATCTGAAAATTCTGTAAATTCTTTTTATTTTGGGTTTTCTATTATTCTGAAGCTCCGAACCGCCTTTCTGGTTTTAGGTCCTTCAACAAAAGCACCACCAGAAGAAGTCAAGACAACATCAAAGCCTGTAACGACCATAAGCTCAAGCAAGGAGACTGGCGGGACAGCAGGGACAGGGGGGAAAGACGGTGGAACAAAGACTGGCACATCTGAGGGGTCGCAAAACATCGAAGACTTCTGCAAAACAAGATCATCAGGGTTTTACAGTGACCCAACTGACTGCCAGTATTTCATTCAATGTGCAAATTCAAAGACATACAGAAAGAAGTGTCCGAATGATCTGCATTGGAACGACAAGATAAAAAACTGTGATTATCCATCTAAAGCTGGGTGTAATCAGAAAAATGAGCAAAGGTCTACGGAAAATTCTACGCTCGCGTCAACCCCAGCAAACAGTGAAGGGGTAAGGATAAAACTCTATTATATTTTAGTAATTCAAATATTACGATTGTCAGTGTCAAGGGTAAATATTAGAAATCATTTACAATTAATCCAGAATCCAGAATTTTAACAGCATGTGTAGCTGTAAAGAAGTATTCAAGAACAGGTTAGTTCGCAAAGTTAATTCTTTAGATGTATTGCCCAGTTTTAATGCTCTTCTAATCAAAATAAAAAGTAAACCATGTTTTCGGTCACTGGCTTTTTGAGCCAAGGATTTTTAAGAGATCCCGTGCGTTGTATGACAAATCACAATTAGGTAACTCGGTACCTTTAATGTGTTTAAAAACCATAATTAAAAACACATACACGATCAAAAATGTTTTTCTTATAATTTTTAATATGGTTTATAAACACACTAAAATGTACTGAGTTACCTAACTATAAAAAGTAAACCCTTTTGATTATAAATGAAACAATGCTTTTGTGAGAGCAATGAAGGCTGAGGGACAATTAGCATATAATATTTACTAAGGACCAGATGCACTTTTCGATTGCAGCTCAACCACCATTTGGAAGCATTTTGGTAGTGCGTCTTCTTCTGTGCACTGACCAAGACTAAAGGCTTTGAACAGATAAACAGAAAAATTGGAATAAAAATGGCACTGAACTAACTCTTCGGGCACCGCGGAGCAGGGGGAGCTTGGGGGCTTTAGCCCCCCATAATTTTTGCAAATAAATGCCAAATAATAAGTAATAAACTACTAGTAAAGCCCCTTTTTAAACGGTTTTAGCCCCCCACTTTTGTTAGACCGCCCACTTTCTCAACGCTCCGCGGTGCCTGCTTTTACCTTTTTCCTTACCTTTAGCTAAAGGGGAACCATAACAACGAGAGTGAGTTTTGTTTCAGGTTTTTTGATTTGCAACATTAGGTTTCTTAAAAAATGAATTGTGCAGGTCTTGAAAATCTACATTCAACTGATGAATTTGGCTTTTAATCACAGCTAATTGCAATTGAGAATGTAGAAGAGAAAGAGGAAACATTGAGATCCACAGGTCGCTGCCCAGAGATCTTCAAAGATACACAGAGACACTATCATCCTGGGGATTGCAGCAAGTTCATTTTGTGTACAGGGTCCAATGCAAAGACATACAGATGCCCGGACGGATACCTTTTCGACAAATACCTGACCAAGTGTCGCAAGGCCAGCTATGTCAATTGCAATGAATCCGAGAAGCCAAACAGTACTGCAGTTGACAACGACTTTTGTCTTGGTAAAGTGGATGGGTTTTATAAAATGGCAGGAAACTGCAGAGACTTTTACAAATGTACTAGGGGCACCACTGTACGAAAGAGTTGCTCTGAAGGGCTTTTGTTCAATCCGTCACAAGAAGAATGTGACTGGCCGACAAATGTAAAATGCTGAATAATCGAACATTGACATATTGTATCTAAATAATTTCATTCAGGTTTAAAGTGGTGATATACCCATTTATACCCATTTTATGTGGTAAGAATAAAACATCGCCGGTGCTAATATAAATGATAAAACTTTTAGCTTTTTAATATTTTTTATAAAACTTTCGAACTTAATGGAATTTTCTAAGTAGCATCTCAAGTATCACAATTGGTGCCCTGTCTCTTCGAGTTTTTATTTTGAAACTCTTCTAGAGATTTTGAATTCGTCATAATCTTGTGATTCGAAGCATAATTTATCTGCCTTCATTGTTACAGCGAAGTAAAATACAGGAAATTGGCCAATGCATTGATCATGTGTATTATTTATAAAATTATATTGAACAAATTTAACGTTTGGTCTGTTATAAAATATTTTGCACTGCTTGAGTCATATCTGAAAGAATTCTTGCGATGTTTGATCGCCCAGCATAAAGAATCAAAACAAAAGATAGAAATGGTTCAAAGATATATAGGTCGCTTTGCAAAGAATTTCTAGTCTTTATTGGCAAAGTCTAAAGGATTTGAACTGTTAAACATTGTAATTCTAAAGGACACGTCCATAAAATGTCGACCAGTGCAGTTGCTTCCTTTAATTTTTTAAATTAGACTCTTAATTCTGTTTTCAAAATACCCATTTTTAGAAAATTACATTGAAATTTGCACGTGTCGACAAATCTTTGTTCTTTAATTCTCTTGTATCAATGTAGGAAATATTTTATCAACTAACAAAGCTAAGCGAAACACGTCAGATATATTCTTGAGCTTATGCAAAACACTACTGTCAATAAATTTAACATTGGTTCAGTTTGCGTAGACTTCAGTGTCAGCCTTTGAGGCTGCTCTAAACTCTATGAAACATACAAAAATAACAGGTATCTATCTAAAAATTAAGCTCTTTCACTCTCAATGTCTCAGTCAACTTTCATCTTATTTAGTCGAGGTTCTAAAAGGCTAAAAACATTTTTTGGATGACGTCAGACTGTGATTCTTCTATTCAAATAAAATTTAAGCCTTTTGACGATTTTCTTAATAATTCTAGCATCTAAATATTACTCCAAAATGGGGAGAGCTTTCGGCTTTTGGCATAAAATGTATATAATATAAATCTATGATATATATAAAGATAAGACTCAATAAATCTATGATATGATACCCTTTCTTAATGATTCCTACCTAGACTTTTGATTTATCAAATCGGAAGCGTAACCTGTTAATGGCCTTTTGCGAACTGCCTTAAATTATTGTTTATGATTTTGTAACCAAAACCAGTAGGCCTAGGCATAAACCTACCTAGCTGATGTAATGTTTTACGAAAAATCGCATGTTATGCTTGCTCTGTTACTGCAATTTGCGGACGCAATAGCTTGATTAAAATCGCTTTTTTAAAATCAAATAAAAATTTAAGTTTCCCAGAAGCAGCCGCTTATGATAAGAACCATTTTGCGAAATTTTGAACAAAAGAAAAAGATCTTAAAATGAAAAATGATAATATTCTTTGTATTTTTCTATTTCCGTGTTTACAGTGACTTTTGACTTCTTTTTTCTCTGAAACTCTGTTTTAGCCATAAGATTATGCTTTTAATTGGTAACTTTGTAGTCCAGTTTAATTCAAACTAGATTTAAATCGGATCTAAGCATGTTTAATCATGTTTATCTATGTTTAATGAACAAGTTTCAAACAAATCAAATGTAGAAAATTTTTGCCTAACAGAATTGAGCTATTATAGATAACTTTGTTGAAATAAAGATATACTTTCTAAATTCACATCAATGTTTAGATTATTACGTGTGTTAATTAGCTATGTAGAAATATACTTATAGAAAGAAGAAAGTTATGGTAGCAGAAATAGACTGTTTTCACAAGGCATGGATTTGGGAATGCTAAAAAGAATTTTGATTCTGCTCATGGTGAATTTAGGAGTAGTGGTACACGAAACAAAGGTATGCCAATGTTGTTTTCTTTTGAGACAATGGTTTTAAAAATGTCATCATTCTAATACACCTACATATGTATAAACAATTGATTAGATCCCATAAACTCTTTTATTGATTTGTTTAATATTTCCAATGAATTTTGGAATAATACGATAATATCTAATTAAACAACACCATGAAATCTTGAATCAGCAAGTATAAAGTGTGCATCTGCTACTTTTTCAAATAAGTTTAACTTTCAAAACAATGTTATTTTTCAACAGCTAAAATTGTTTATTTCGAACTGACATTCGTAGCTCTAACAGAGGAAAGAAGTGACATGAACTGTGACAAAAGATGTCCTTATCTTTCGCAGGCACGACCTTTTGCGGTTAAAAGAACAACACGAAATGCCAACGAAGATGTCAAGCTTCTGTTCAACCATTTCTCAAAATCTTCTCTTGCTAAGGTGAAGTAATTAAAATTACCTTTATTACCAGAGTTGCTGCTGGCAACAAATTTGTTGCATACAAGCTTGCAAGAAACATTGCTGCAATTTAATACCACTTTCATAGGAAAAAACTAAAACGACTAAAACACAGTTTCTAGGTTCATCCTTTCTTGCTATTGCACAAGACACAACGCAGTTGCGTCAATAGTTTTTTGCTGGAGTTTTCAACCATATCAATCTAGCAGTGAGGATTTCAATGTAGCTTTGCTTCTGCTGATGCACTAAGTCAAGTTGTTAGAATTTCAGAAATTCTAAGTTGATATTTCTCTGCAAGGGTATCTGTTTATATATATATATACATATCCTTGTCTATAATTCTTTTTGTATGTATTTTAGATATCATATTATGGAGCGTATCCAGTTGGAACAAGTGCTTGTTCCCTGGACCCAATACCTCCTCTGATTAACACGAAGAAATGGATTCTGGCTGCTGTCTCAAAATTTGATTTCCTGGACTCGCTCACATGTGGAACATGTTTGAGAGTATCCATGATAGACCTGACCGCTAGGGAAGACCCAGAGGACATCTATGCCGCTGTTATTGATAAATGCAATGACTGTCAAAAAGGTATTGAGGCAAGGGGGTATTATTCAAAATCGGGAGCCTCAACAGAATTGGCCAATCGTCAAAAAGACATTTTAGCAAAACTTGATTACCTTATTGTTTTGCATGTTTATTTCTGCTCTACAAAAATGTATTCAGAGGCGTACCGTATAAATTAATAGGTAACCAGGTTGCCTTTGCTTACAGATACACTCATTGATATTCCCCATCAACGCAGAAATTCAGAACGAGGCTTCACTTGCTTTTTTATTGCTGAAGCATAAATGTCATACATGAAAACTTTAGATAATGAATTTGATAATGTAAGCTATCCAATGCCATTATAGTGTTACTTGACGAATTTCTTCAAAGACGAATCCCTTTGAATGGTCTGTGAACCGTCTTATTTAACCTGATGTAATATCCTTCTTAAAATGTTTGAGCAATTTGATAGAAAGGCGTATTGCGGTGTTTCATATTTGCTACATTTATACCAATCGTTAGCCTGGAGCTGTTTGTTTGTAACGCTACTTCAAAGCTTCAAGCGCAGAATGACTCAACTTATATTCTTATAGGTGAGATTAACTTGTACATGGATGGTAAAGGAACAATTAAGGCAAATGTAGAAGCTATTGACTGTATGGATAAGTCACGCCCTGACGAGAAACTGAGATTGGTTATTCAAAGCGCTGAGAAAAACTCGTCTAAAATCCAAATCAGGAATTCACTGTAAGAGCACTTCCACGGATAAAGAATTGAATTTTCCTTTCAATGATAGCGATTTGCCAACTTACTACTGCATTATCGTCTGTTAACACAATATAGAAATTTTTTTAACTGGCGAAACATTATGTCTTCTCAGTTCAAAAAACAATGATATTTTTTAGAAAAACATGTAAAAATCTATATACAAACATTTTTTGTCGCAAATTAGCAGGACATCTTTTTCTTTTCATCAGAGCTAAATCCTCGAAGGACGTAGCCCTAGGCCCTCAACCTGTAGCTCATGCCCTGCATACTCCCAAACTTATACCTTAAAGGAAATGAATACCTTAATTACACAAGTTAATTTTTTAGGCTGCCAGTGGTTTTAATGGAATGTTTTCGTGATGGGCGATGGGTTTGCCTGCGGAGAGAAGCAGACAACTACTTTGTTTTAGAAGATCTTCAAGCCCTTGTTCCAGTGCAATTTCGTGCAACGAGCATAGCTGGAGAAAAGATTGGTTTCTCGCTAGATCAATTTGAATTGGGTGTGGAAATCCCACTAAAACAACAATTCACGCCTTTTCATTCAGGTAAATGTTACGTTATCATAAAAACCTTTTGCTGTCTGTCATTTCAAATAATATTTGACAATGGCAATTGAAGATTTTGTTCCAAAATTAGCCTTACTGACAATAGGCCACATTATTTAATCGATAGCAATTTAATCAAGAAAAAAGGTTCAAACAGCAAACATTTTCACTATTGTAGTTTAGTAAAAACCAACGAGGACCTCGTTGGTAAAGACTCTTCTACAATTAGAAATTTTTGCACATAGTATTCGGTGCTCGATAATGGCATTCTATTAATGTCTTGATAATATCAGCCAATTCTTTATGAGCCCCCCCCCCCATTAACTTTAGGCCAAGTGGTGCAGCTGTTATAAAGAGGGCCCTGCTTGGGTCTATGCTATCGTTCAAAATGTTATCTTGGAATTTTAGGAAGTCGTGTTAATAAAAGTCCTATAGTTGCCTGCAACAATGAAGTGAAAGCGATGAACTCATCAAAAAGCGGCACTTTAGTGCAAAGAGGCAACCCTGTGGAACAAGGTACGTAAACTCCTACGCACGTATACACGTTATCAAAAACTGAAAGAAAAGAGCGTACAGTACATTCAAGACCCAAAGTGTTGCTATCTTTTTTGTAGCTGACAGAGAATCCCGTCTTTCGGATTTCTTTAGTTTAGCTTTATTCTTTAGTATACGATTGTTTATCTTTAGTTTCAGATGCAAAGTCTTCCAGCAAAGATCAAGGTAAATTCAAAAATGACTTGTCAAAAGGAGGAAAACAAGTCAAAAGTAATTTAACTGAAGTCGGTCTTTCGATGCAACAGCCTTTAAACAAATCTTTTTGCAAGCAACGTCAAGACGGTTCGTATCCACACGAGGTTAACTGTGAAAGGTTTGTTTTGTGTGTCCAAGGAAAGTCTCTTGACAAGATATGTCCGAATAGCCTTCGATATAACTCAAAAGTGGGTGTTTGTGACTGGCCTAAAAACGTTATTTGCAGCAGTAACAGTACTAGAGAAAGATCAGATTCAGGAGAAGACCACATGACACCGGTTGATAACGACGATGATGTTTACACCAAGAAATTTATTGGAAAAGAGAGAAGAAAGTCTCCCATAAGCCCTTTGAGAAATAGAAATTGATAATCATCAAAAGGATTTGTCAGTAACATGGCGACATTTGCGAGGAAATGTAAAGTGCTGTTCATGTCTTTGTTTTTTCAGAAGTGTAAAATAACGCTCCTACTTTTATTTGGAGTTTTGTGATTTTATTAGATATATCTTTTGCCTACAACTTGTTTTGTCTGCTTATCAGCTTTACTCTTTCTTAATCGTCAAATTAAAGTACTAGAATAGTCTGCAATTTTAAGGTGTCATAATAATTTGGAAAACACCAAGATTATTTCAAGACTCGTATGAACAATGCAAAAAAAATAACCATGCATAGAAAGATAAATTGGAGCAAATTATGACAAACAAGCAGTTTTTTAGCTGGGCAAACCGTTCAAAAACTGGATTAAAGAAGGTTCCTTTAAAAACAGAAAGAACAGTGTTCACATTTATTAAGTAACGAATGTTTTTCACTTTCTAAAAAATTCCCCGTTACAATAATGGGAGGACCGCCTTCGGCGCGTCCCGTTACAGACTTACCCAGAAAGAGGCTATTAAATTTTTCGACTTGCGAGGTAGATACATAATGGCAAAGTGAATCACATGGACTAAAAGAAACATATGGGAAAGAAACAAACATCCTAGCCGGATACCTAAGGTAGGAGAACGTTGAATACATATAAGAAAAGACCTAAGAAAAGAAAAAAGCAATAATCGTACGTGCTTCTGCCATAATTTTCAGACTAATTTGCTTGGATGCAGGAATTCTATTAAGAGCTTATACACAAAAGTGCAGATATTGTGATTCATAATATGCAACGCTATTACAATAAAACTGGGCTTTAACATATATTTAACTGCTTCGTTTATAATAGCTTAACATCAGCTAGGCTTCTTTCAAAAATTTTCTTTTCAATAGGTCACTCAAATTCGCAAATAGATCTTACCGCTCCAGTATCAGTTCAGTTTATTTCATTCTTAACATTTCATACGTACAAATCATCAGTAATTAAAGTAAATTTGCACTTTACCTGATAAAACTAACTTTGTTCAATTTCACGTCGATAAAACTGCACGTAGGCGAATGGTTTGCATAAATGAAAAAGGATGACATGATTATTAAAGATGACATTCTCAAACGAATTTATTCAAAAAGAAACCACATATCTATCAGGTCTTCAGAGAACGGTAGATTACAAATACATCTACTATGTATTCACAAAGAAAGGGATCTTTTGTGACATTTAGATTTGCAGTTTCTTGGCGGAGAAGTAAAAATCTTTAGCTGCTAGGTATTTTCCCGAAGGGAAGAGATACCTGACAACCCAAATAGGGATTAAACCATGGCACCCGAGAGTTTCAGAAGCATGTGTCTGATATTTTGCAGGTATTTTCGATATTTTGATGGTATTACAAATGCAACTAATCAACTGAACATTATATCAAAATAATAAGCATTGAATATTTGTCTGTTTGATTTTACAACCCAGTGTGGAATCCATGTAACTTATGCCGAAGATATCCTGCATAGACCAACGATTTTCCATTTTCTTTCTATTGTATATGTGCGTGTGAGCTTCACATGGATTCCACATGAAAAAAATTCTGGATCTGTGCCTGAGAGTAATACAAAATTTTCTATTCTATATACTGAAGTATGTTTTGATTCTGTGAAGCTTAAAGTGTGGATGATATGAGCTTTAAGTTCGATCTTTGGCCCTGCATTTAGCTTGAATTTAGCATTAGTTTTCGAACCTGGATGTTTTCAATCTAAATTTCTTAGAATCCTTGAGCTATTAATTTTTTTCAATAATAGTCTTGAAAAGTTAAACATTTTAAACAACATTTGAAACATACTTAAAATTTTGTTAAAGCTATCTTCACATTTGGTCCAATTCAAAATTGTAATCGCTCAAATAGTTTAAAAGTTGCTGTTTGTGTGTTACTGCATTTGCCTCTTTGACCAATCACAAATATGGAAAAAAATATTTCAAGGTTCTAAAGGAATTTTTTATAAGAATCAGCTATCAAGGATTGGAAGTGACAGCTATTAGCAACAGCATACAACTTATAAGGTGATGAGCTGACCGAAAATAAGCAAAGTTAACTGAAAGTAGTTTTTATCAAACAGTTTTTCTATTATTCGTCGAACGTTGCCCAACTTTGATTCTGTTTGGCAGACAAAAAACAATAATTACCTAGATCATTAGAAATTTGATATAAAGTTTTATCAATGTGCTTGACTCAACCCAAGACATGTGAAATGAAGAGTGGTAGATGCCTTAAGGGTAGGGTAAGAACGAATCTACTTTATGCCTTTTTAAGTTTTATATATATAGTAATGCATTGAGCTGCAAATGAAATATTGTGTTTGCAGTTTGCATTTGATGAAGCAGTTAGCATAACTGTTAAACAAAATGAATTTTCATCACAAAGTATTAACTATTAACATGCATCATGTTCAGACATCTACTTATAACTTATAAATGTCATCACATCAGTTTTGTAACTTTTAGAGTAAATTAAAAATAATGATCATCCAGATTTGAATTGATCTGAATTTAAAATTCTAATTTAAAACATTGTAAACTAAAATGCATGGAACATATTAGATCTGTTGTTTTGAGGAAAATATGTCAACGAAGGGATTAAAATCTATACTCAAGATTCCCCACGTTTTCATCTTATCATGATTTAGACTTTTGAAATGGTTCTTATTAGAATTTTCTTGAGGTTTCCATGATTTCTAAACTTTCGTTGTTGGGATTCAAACAGCTACCAGAATTTGCTTATTCTCACATAGTTTCTGAAATAGCATTAAGTTCGAGGTGAAGTCAACCAAAAGAATCAGTGGAGAAATCTGAAGATCATTTTGTTTACCCATTCAAAATAACATACATACAGATTCTGGAAATGAAACTACATGTTATCCTGCCCCCCCCCCTATTCTCTTTTGAAAGTTGTTATAAACATTTCCATTTCCTTTAATCATCATAAGACCCATTAATTTTCATGGTTGCACATATTTTATTAATATCAAATAGGGATCATGTTGCAGTTCAATTGATGGTTAAGGAACACCATAAGTAAAATTGATTACTGCCTTCTAGACTATGTGTGCTCTAATGGAAATTTAAATAGCAAGATAAATGCATCCATGAAAGGAAATCGCTTTAATCAGATCTGTAATAAAAATCTGCAGTTTCTCATGATTACTTTTAAAGTCAATTTTTTTACTCTAAATGAAAATGAAAATGATTAGACCATAGGATGTCATTAAAGGCAGAGGATGACAGAAGCAATATGAAATTCCTTCCAACAAGGAGCTAGAGCTACCAGATTTAGTGGCAAAAAAGCAAATGAAAGATCAACAAACAAGTACTTGGGAGTTTATCTTGATTCAACACTTACTAAAAACACAAAAGGCTGTTCCCAATTGCAATTGCTTTCAAAACTTTGCCTGAATTTAACCATCAATGCAGCCAAAGTAATATACAAAAGTATTGTTATTCCAGTGTTTACTTATTGTTAAACTGTTTATTGTGGAACAGCAATTTATCGAGAACATCATTTGGAAAACTCAACCGAATACACAAGCATGCTGCTTGCATAATCAATTACACTAATCAGCAATGTGTGAAGCTTTCATGGATAACAACATCTATAAAACATGGTGTATGTCAAATTTTCAGAAGATCTACAAGACTCATTTGGAAAGCAGTTTACTATACATTTTTATGAAATGTATATACTGAAACGACTTGTCCTGTTTAAGTATTTTATAAATAGAATGAAAAATGAAACCAATAGGCTTAAAGGAACTAAAAATATGGACCAATTTCTCTACAGCAATGAAGAAACAATTAAGAATCTGACAAATAGTATGAGGATATAAATGAAGCAGTACTGTCCTGTCAATAGAATGCAATTAGTAGGCAGAAAAAAGGGCTGCCTTATGCTGATTCTAACACTCTGCTATATTGAAAGAGTGTTGTGGTTACATGAATTTACTAGGACTTTAAGTGCTAGTAACATCATACTAAAACCATTTTCTCCAAAGCAAAATTTGAAATAAAGTTTTGAAATAAAAAAGAATACCTAAATTTATTCCCAACTGTTAATTGGATGATTTGCTATTTTAAGCAATATATTATTGACACAAACTTATAAAAAAGGGATTTTTCAAGCTTGTCAGTGAATGAAAGTTGATGAGCATCTTGTAGGTAAATGGGGCCTGCAAACCCACCTTTACAATAATAGCTAGAGACGGTCCTTGCGAGAAATGTCAACTTGAATGGGTCATTCTTCTCTGCCCATAATCCTGAAACTGTTTTCTGAATACGTCTATATTGAATAACTTGCAACTGCTGCCCACAATGTTTGGTTTTTGGTACAGTCACTTTTGTTTAGTTGTGTTTTGTTTGCTCTGACTTTTGTAGTGAAAGTTTCCATAAAGTTTAGAATCTGTATTACAGAGCCCTAGCTTTTTTAAATTTAACTTACTAGTCTATCACCGTTAGAATTTTATTTCATTTATCAATCCAATTTCAGTAAGGTACAATGTGCCTAACTATTTTTGCACCCTTCACCGTTGAATAGCTTAACTAGCACTTTTTAGCTTCAGAACTCTTAACTTCAAGTTCTCCCCACATTGCTCAGTAATCATTGTTGCATTGCTCTTTTTATTGAAAATTTATACATATATTTTGTAGTGAATCAAAGCATATAAGTTAACCAGTGCTAATTTCCAACATAACGTAAATTTAGTCTCTATTCATAAACCTGCTTTTTTTAATCCAAGTTTCAACGCATTTTCAGGTATATAGGTCAAATATATGAAGGCTGATAGATAGACCTAAACATCCAAAATATTTCATTAAATTACCTTCTGCCAAGCTTTACGCATTTACCTAGTTTGTACTTTAAAGGTTTGAAATGGTGTTATTTTTCTTATCAAGGCGTGATGTCGGGGTTGGAGCTTCTTTCAGCAGAAGGCCTTCGTCTTGATGGAAGAAAACCATTAGAGTTAAAGCAAATAGTTTGTAAGGTTGGTATTTTTAGCGAGGCTGATGGATCCGCAAGCATAGAGCATGGTAACACAAAGGCCATTTGTAGTGTCTATGGACCACATGAGTGTGTCAATCGCGCAAAATCAGTTCACGACAAAGCAGTAGTTAATTGCGAATACAGTATGGCCACGTTTAGTACAAACTACAGGCGAAGTAGACCCACTGGTGATAGAAGATCAACTGAATTGACAATTGCACTGGAAAAAGTTTTTGAAGCTGCAATCATGACGAGTATATACCCAAGATCACAGATTGATATCTTCGTACAGGTATGATATTTGTGGCCTTTCATTAGACTTTTTAAGCAATTTGGGCTCACGTGTTTACAAGCAGAGATCATGAAAAATATTCCACTCTAAAACAATGTTACCAAAATGCAGGTTGATTTTGGAAGGGTGATGCGTAAATTCTAAAATCAATAGATTAGTTTTTTAATCTGTCTGTTAGGAATATCGTATTTATTTTGAATAATGCAAAACTAACGTGTCTGTCCGTTTAATGTTTCATCTAACATCTAAACTCCCATCAATGTTTAGCATCGGTCCTTTAGCTAAACCATTCACATCAATATTCGTAGACACCAATTTATCCAATATAAGCCCCCCCCCTTTTCCCCAGCGCAGTATCAACTGAGACATGACAAAATTGGGAAAACGAGATCCCTCCTCAACTGCTATGAGTGCGCCCATCAAGATTTGTCCTTGCTGGATTTGTTAACTTTTGCCCATTCCCTCAAAGATTCTGCTGTCCTGTCTTTTAGCAGAAAGAGTTCTTGACAGCAGATAGTGAAAAAATTATTTCCATGATTTCTAGGTTTCATGAAGATATCCTCATTTTGGAACAATATGTTTCATTTAATTTTTGCGACCTCTAGGAGAATCATCCTTGCCAAAAAAATTTTAATGCGAATTTATCATCTTGTGGGCCACAAAATTTCTCTTCACGGGTCGGATTCTTGCCCGCGGGCCATAGGTTGCCTATCTCTGATCTAAGAGAGGACTTTTAGATTTTAGGACAAACGCGTAGATTTTAGACAGCTATAGGATTAAACACCGCCGCATCGAAGGCTTCAAAACAGGACAAATGCTTGAGCGTTTACTAAAGGAAATACAGTAAAGTTGGCCTTACCTCTACTTATTTACCACAAAAGATGAGTACACGACAAATATCCTATTTACTCAGAGTAACATAAAAGATCTGGAGATGTCCAAAATTAGAAACTTAAGATGACAATTGTAGCTGCTGGCTGACTTTTGCTTTTGTTCCTTGAAAGATTGGGCTTTTTTATCGCATAATGTTATCCCATCGAGTGTTATTGACGTCAGTGAGATTGGGGTTTCAGTTTTACAGGGCAAGATAACGATAAAAGTCTGAAGATAGGAAGCAAAACTGCTGTAGAAGTAATCATATTTAAGGCATTAATAGTTCATTCTTTCTTTATCTCACTTGGTCTGCTAAACCTATATGTAATATGTTATTTACAGCGATTTTTGTGCTATGATAGACTTTTAATGGTTTCAACGGATACGCGGAAGGAAAGATATAAGCTAAATCCATCTCTAATTCTCGTCCCATAGTGATATCATAATCTCAACGCCCGAATCGATAAAGGATATTCTCGTGTCATAAAGCCTTATCTTATCTCTTAGAATCATTTGAAAACCTGTCCTTCCACTATTTCTAGTGAACATAACAAAACGGTTTCCATCAAGACATTTTGAGTCCTACTTTGGCATTTGGTGAATGCCAATTTTCATTTCTCTGATGTATATCCCTGATGCCTTATTCCAATGGTATTGAGAATGACGGGCGCTATGTGATGTTTTTCAAAGCTAAATGTCTGGGGGAATATCTGCTAGTGTAACTCTCTGTTAGTGCCAGTCTTCTTGACGCCATAGCCTTTCCAATCTCGGATTTATGCCGGTGCTTCCAATTTTTTGATCTAATAGGAAATCTATTCGCTCTTCTTAAGCCGTTTTTGAGTCATTCCTAAGATTTTGTTTGCCTAGGATTGAGGATGCCACATCAGGTCATTTAGGGTCTTTTTGTGTGCTTATTTTTAGACCATCTCTATCTACTCTTTGTAGTCGGTTTTCAATAGGATGCTTCTGACATCGTAAACTGATTATTGCATTTGTTTTGAGTTTTTTAGAAAAAAGTTTCACAGGCTTCCCTCCTCAAATGTGAAAAGCCATATGCTTCTAATAAAAAACAATCAACTTTAAACGGCACGTCAGACAGCTTATTCTATGAAAACGATGCCAGAAAATATTCATAGTTTGGGAGAGATTGCATTAGTTTTTAGAAAAATAACTTTTTATAATCTTTAAATCTAAGTGATTTAGTAATAGAAGATGATTGATTTGCAAGGAAAAATACATTCACTTAATTTTTAATTTCTGCAATCCGATTTCTACAAATATTTACCGTTTTTATGCTGATTTTTTACCATTTTCCACAATTTTTTTACAATGAAAATAAAATCATTCAACATCATTTAAATAGTTTTTCCTGAATTTCTGTGCTTTATAGTAATTATTATTACTGAGAAGGTTGTTTTTTATTAATATGGTTTGTTATAAAAACGATCTGAAGTACAACATCTATCAAAATCTGCACTACGACATCTATCAAAATTTGCAAAGATGGCATCTCTCAAAACATCAAACAAGCTCTAAAGGCATTCCGTGAAGAACATCAAGGACGATGGACAAATCCCTTCTCTCCCAAAGAGCCATCCCCTCATCCATGCTTAGCAAGTCTATGAAAAAGCTAAGCTCTACTTGGTCTTCTGTCCACAAGAAGATGCAAAAAATTATGTTAATTTCACAGTTCTCTATCTAAATAACCCGCTACCAACAACAAAAAACATATGCCTACCAAAAAACATATGCCCCGCTCCTGGCTGTCCTTTTTGCATGCCACTTGAATCACTACTTCATGTCGTTGCAAGATGTCAAGTGTACCCGCAAGAGGGTCGCTACACTTGGAGACACAACTCTGTGTTAATGTTCATAGCCAATACCCTCAAATCCATTGACTGTTCTTCTTTATGCGTTGATTTACCCGGTTCATCTTTCCTTGTGTCATAACTGGAGATTAATATCGCCCTAACTTGCTTCGTACAACCAATAACAAATGTTTATACATAGTTGAACACATCTTATACAAATGTTAATACATAATGGGCTTTGAAACACATTTTGAATTCTGATACTGCCAGGAAAGACACAAAGTATCATCCATTCATTGCTCGTCTCTGACTCCAGTACCCTGACATTAGATTTGTTACTCTCTTTATCAACTGTCGTTGCATGTTTGGTACACCATACAATTTATTCACTTCAAAGCTCAACGATCTCGGTCTTGCAACAAACCTTACACCAAACTACATCATTTCCAAAATCATAAACATGGCAGTTCAAACATCGTACTGCATCTTCTGTCATAGAAACAAATCACAGGATTCCGCTGAGTTTTCATCTTAACCTTGTTCTTGCTTAACCAAAAAGAAAAGAAGAATAAAAGGAAAGCAAAATTTTAGCCCTAACATTTGTATGCATGCTTTGTCCACTGTGCCAGACCAGTCAATTGTAAGTTTCCAAATTATTGTGAGGCTTACAGTTGTATTATTAAATAAAATTTATAAGATGAAGTTTCAAAGAAATATAATTTGCTTGGCAAGGATAACCCTTTGCCTTAAGGAGTAACCCTTTGAAATAAAGATTAACCCTTTGCAATAAGGAGTAACCCTTTGAAATAAAGATTAACCCTTTGCAATAAGGAATAACCCTTTGCAATTTGGAGTAACCCTTTGCAATTTGGAGTAACCCTTTGCAATAAGAAGTAACCCTTTGCAATTTGGAGTAACCCTTTGCAATAAGAAGTAACCCTTTGCAATTTGGAGTAACCCTTTGCAATAAGGAGTAACCCTTTGTAATAAGGAGTAACCCTTTGTAATAAGGAGTAACCCTTTGCAATAAGGAGTAACCCTTTGCAATTTGGAGTAACCCTTTGCAATAAGAAGTAACCCTTTGCAATTTGGAGTAACCCTTTGCAATAAGGAGTAACCCTTTGTAATAAGGAGTAACCCTTTGTAATAAGGAGTAACCCTTTGCAATAAGGAGTAACCCTTTGCAATTTGGAGTAACCCTTTGCAATAAGAAGTAACCCTTTGCAATTTGGAGTAACCCTTTGCAATAAGGAGTAACCCTTTGTAATAAGGAGTAACCCTTTGTAATAAGGAGTAACCCTTTGCAATAAGGAGTGACCCTTTGCAATAAGGAGTGACCCTTTTGCAATAAGGAGTCAATTAAAAATACTAATTAAAAATGCAGTCAAAATACAAGTCCGTGTCAATGTTTTCTGACTAATTTGAATCCTTATGTGAATTCTATTATATCGGAATTTTTCTTCTATTTGTTTTGGTATTGGTTAACAAGTGAAATCGCTTTCTGTCTGGGTGGTGCAGTTTTATTGATCCATGTGCGTCAGTTGAGTCAAGCAAACAATTTACTGTGGCTTCTGGACAATTTGCTATCCTAATTAGCAATGTTAAAACCTGTTTTATGTTTTGTTGTCTCGCGTGGGTGGTTACTTAGGGCTTGGTCTTATTAATTTCTTGATTCAAATTTTTAACTCTCATAAATGGATCGGTTTATTAATTAACAATTCCAAGTTAAGTTTAAATTCTATCACTTATCGTCACTTAGCAATGACGAGAAATCTTCATTTCTTATAATTTGTTTGTAATTCTCAGTTGTGAATGCCCCTGATCTTTATTTTTTGTTGCATTGTGGACCTCCTGAGTAGATTTGATCTCTTTTGATTAGTTTTATCTAAATGTGTGGTCAACTGCATTTATCTGTACTTGTAATCTAAAATTTTCTTTTCCATACTTTTCTAGAGTCTTCCCATCAAATGTCGCTGTTTTAAAAGCCTAAATTGACATCGCTTGTCACATTGAAAACTTACATTAAGCTTTTGTCAAAAAATGTTTCTAAAAAAAGATCATCGGGCATATATATTTTCTCTGACAATGCAAAAATCCACTTGAGTAAAAATTAGGGAGCATTCCTTGCTAAAGAATTGCCAACTTAATACATTGCTACACATCCCAAGACAACGATAGTTCATCTCTGAGGAGACTGAATAAGCAGCTTTAAGTAGATGAGAATAGCTTTGCCCTTTATTGTTGCAATTTGGTCGTGCCTTCTCAACCCAAGAATAATACATATTTGTGTGTGCAATATTAGTCATTTTGCAGTTT